AAAAAAAAAAAAAAAAAAAAAAAAAAAAAAAAAAAAAAAAAAAAAAAAAAAAAAAAAAAAAAAAAAAAAAAAAAAAAAAAAAAAAAAAAAACAATAATAATGATAATAATAATACAACAGAAAAAATAACCCCCTTTGACGATTCGCAAGTAACAAATACCCAAATGCTCGATTGTATCTCCTAAATCTGGTGATTGAACTGGTAAACCTGGAATCCACGCCGGTAATGCACACTTGCTGCGCCACGTGGGGCAATGGTAGCCTAGTCCTGCGAGGCGATGAGCACAATTTCAGGCGACAAGGGTCGGCTCGCTAGCTTTTGGCCTGGGGCACATTGAACGGTGCGTGGGGGATGTGCCAATATGATGGACTAGATTCTAATGGCCTGCTCCACCCGATGATATGTTATTGGGCAAATTGGCTCAGGCCGGCTCAACGCGCGGAACCGACCCGGCCTATGGAATTGGAGTTTGTTTTTAGCATGAAGTATTCGCTAGAGCTGTGGAGATCCTGGAATACTGTGAGCTGCCCGGATATTGCTTCAGAAAGTAGAATGTTGGGGGCCAGTGCCCAAGAGGTTTATCAGCTGTTCAGCCACGTACAAGGCATTTTCCAGTTGAAGCCAACTAAACCCAAAGATAGAAAGCTATTCTCGTTTATCAAAGACCGCTCTATGATTTTTTGAAGCCAATTGTACCACATGGCTATCTATGATTACAGTCATATCACTTCCCTTCATAGCGAGCCACCACGTTATTCACAATCTCAGACACCTCCTTCGCTCTACTAAAATCAACCGAATGGCCGGAGTCCAACTCATAATCCTCAACCTCAGCCCCCTCCTTTCTCATCATTTCCACCATCCACCTCTGATAGTCAACAGGAACCGTCATATCCCTAGTTGACAAGACATATGTCACAGGGATATCCCTCCAAGCAGCCCGCTTCGCAGTAATAGGTTGGTACATGCACTTGCCATTCCACCGCTGGAGGGTCCCCAGATACCATTCCACCTCGGACTCAGCCTCCTCCGGACCAGGCGTAACAAGTAGTCCCTTAGGATCGCGGTCCACGCACGTCCCATCCTCGGCGAAATCAAACGCCATGGGCATCAACGACGCGTGACCGAACTGGTCCACGATGTCAAACATGCTTCGTCCTTCGGTAATGGTGAAGGCGGACAGGGAGACAAGATGCACTACTCCGCCTGGTAGACCTTGCTTGCTGCGGTTTGAGATTGCCAGGTCCGAAAGACCATTGGTAGCTACTTGGCCGCTGTAGGAATGTGTGATCACAATGATATTCTTGCCGGCGTCGGCGAGGTTCTGAGTGTATTCGCGGAAGACAGCTGTGTCGGTCTCTAGATCGGCTGTTGGAGGCCGTGCACCGTTCATTGAGTGTAGCGCGGGGACGTGGACTTCGTGGCCAGATGACTTGAGGAGGTTTGTGAGCTTGTCGTATGAGGTTGGGGTGTGCCAGCCTCCTGGGATGAGGAGGATCACGGGCTTGGAGGTAGACATGGCTATTGTGTGATAGGTAGGAAATTGGAGATGAGATGAAGTGTGATTAGAAAAGCAGAAGGGCTGAGAGTGTTTGGGGAAATACTTATACTCGCGTCCACAAGGGTGGGGTAGCGTTTGGGAAGACAAAGAGAGAATGGGAAGGCAAGGCTGTGAGCTGTTAGTTAGACTATATCGATCTTCCAGTCAAAGCTACGCTTAGTGGTAAGCTAGTAGTAGCCTAGACGTTTTAGTGCTTACCATGGCATGTTGGCCGTTCAAGGGTTGGATAATTCCACGCACGGGGTCACAACCGTGTTTAAGTCCAAGAAATTGGAAACTGATTGTTTATGTCTTGCCTATTGCATCCAGGAAGCATCCTATGTGCGCCAGTGATTGAATTGGGCTGGCCATTCTCAGGGGAGGTGCTACCGCCACACCATCCAGGCTTTCTCCACCAACCCCATTTTAGCGCCCAACAACACCGCGGAGTACTCAAAGTGAGATCCAACGCGCCATACTTCAATTACGTCTCGGAATAGTTTGACCATTTTCAAAGCCATGCTACGAGCGAGAAGCGCTGTGAATGACGGACTACAAATTACAGCATACCGTGCTAGGCCTGATGATATCCAGAACAGAGACGCCGTTTCTACTTGAAACAGCTGTTCACAACTACACCTTTCTCCCTCTTCCAAAACGATCAACAAATTTACCTATCTCTAATGACTCTCTGGTTCCAATCTCCCACTCCAGTGATACAATCCCGCTAAGATGCCGGTCTGGAAGTCCTCAGCATAATGACACTCATGCCGGAGAATCCACTCCATTAAACGGAAATGGATTTTATGCGGTTGACGAGCAGAATGAAGACAGTGAGATAAGTAGAAAAGAAGGTGACGCCCTGTGGCTTTTAGTCCTTTCAGGGACCTCTTCAGGGAAGTAGTGCGCTCAGTAGTGCAAACTCAACCTTGGAAATAGCAGAGGTTTCTCGCCTAGATGGACTTATACCTACCCAATTCGACCCCTGTGGATATTACAGCTGTTTAGTGCAACTTGTTAGTATTGTGTAGGCTCGGAACTTCACTACGGATCTGAAAACATTGAAGTGTTTGAGCCACCACGCTAGCTGGCAGTCTTGTCGCATACCGTTTATACATGTACCTTGCCCAGACAAAGGTCGGAGCGTTCGGTGATACGGCCCACACTAGGATCCATTGTTTAAATCTGAAATATTTTTATCCGGATACGGGGTATGTATTTGTTGTGCAAATTGAAGCTCCAATAGTTGTATTTCAGGTGAGCCCATTGATATGAAACCTCCTACTCAGAGGTTTCTCCGCGGTTTTCGTCCAAGCTATAGGGAGGCCCTAAGGGTGCACCCCACTTATAGGATTCGCCAATCTCCGCATTAGTCCAGCACGCACGTTCCTTGAGATAACAAGGGTCGAGGTTCGCAATTTCGGCTGCGTGCATCGCTTTCTCGCGATAGTAACGGATTGCGCGTCCACATTCGTCGTACCAGATGATGAGGACAGTCCCTGCGTCAGGGCCTTCGGAGGCCAACGTTTTTTCATCAACGATGTAAATGTGCCCCGCCGCTAAACGGAATAAGTACTCCGAATAAAAGCAAATCCAAGGGTTGCCATCCTCCTCTGGGTCATAGCCGCTTTCCTCGGCACGCTGGGGATCCGTCTCTTCAGATTCAATTCCCTCTTCTAGGGCCTCCTGGACATTCTCTTCGTATTCTTCGAACAAACAAGTATTATCCAGTAGCTGTGGGACACGAAGAAAAATCTTCTCCCAGTTGGAATCAAAGTTATACAAAGATGAGTCGTTCAAAACTGTAGCTGAGCCCACGACCTTGGTATTGATGTAATCTTGAATCCGGGCCCACGAGCCTTCTGTAGAAGGGTCGTAGCAGGTGCGGAGCCAACATGGATCCTCGTTCAAGCCACGCTCAGCAGGTAGGCGGATACGATCCAATAGCTCTTGACTAGGTACTGGAAGGCCTCGAATAGACCTCTTCTCTAGTCTTCGCTGCTGGTTTCGATACGGCTAATCCGTTATATTAGTTTTCTGGTTGGAGCAATAAGGGGCCAAAATCAAATTACCTCGCGACTGCAGACTCCGAGTGCCACATATTTAGCGAAAATTTCCTCGCGTTGGGCATCAACGGATAGCGGCGAGTCTTCTTGCCAATGCTCCTAAAATATTGTCAAAACATGCATATAATCGCTGAGTAATAGGTCTTACCAGAAGGAACAGATCAGCCTGCCAGGCCGTAAAGGTTGACATCTTGCAGAGTATTCTGAAGGATGCTGGTGGGACAGAGTGAGAGAGTTATTCGATATTGTCTCGGTACTTGAGCCCTGGAGATGAGATGGCTTTCTTGGCAAGAGCTTATTCAAGGTGAAGTGGGGAATGTCTTAATATCGATGAAAGGAATTGTGCAAGTGAAGCGGAGTTTGAAATAAAATTGGAAAATCGAAGATGAGTGGAAAGAAGGGAAAAGAAGTGAGGGAATAAAAGGATTTGAAGATGGTGAGCTAAACCTATAATAAAGGGTCCTCCCCACTATAATAGTTTGGTCCGCTAACATTAGCTTGGTAAACTACTCTAAGCGCAACATATCTAGCGTGATACGGTATGAACTAGAATTGATTGCATGAATTCCTTCAATTCTCGCTGGTCTTCCGGCCACTTGTCGACCCGGAGTTCCGCGATAGTTTTCGTTACGAAATGGCCACTCAATAATGTTCTACATTGTTTGAATTTCTTCTCATCTTGACTACTGTGAATTTGAACATTGTCCCTTCAATCCTGAATTCATTCTATCAGGGGAGATGGGTGCCGATACCAGGTCGATCTCGATCTTGGGATCAGTGACGGTTGTTCTAAGTCTGGCTGTCGACGCCGTAGCATTTCAGTTTTTTAATTCCACTCCATCCAGCATCCCTTCAACTTGCGGCGATGCCCTGGTGAGAAATTTCACGTGTGATGAGCTCTTCTCAGTCTCTGCAATCGCGAGTCAGCAATACGTTGGGAATAAAACCCTCGAATCAATTTGTGTGCCAGACTGCAAAACCTCATTCTATGAGTATCCCTCAGCCGTGGAAAGTGTCTGTGGAACCACAGTATATGATTTCTCGGGCGTCAACCAAACTGTCCAAGGCTTCTTGGACCCTCTGGCATGGGCATTCAATGTTTCTTGCCTGACTAGCGGCGCTGAATACTGCTATTCGGACATCACCAACCGCAAGAACAGCATTGAGCCTTGCTCTGACTGTTTTCTACAGTATGAGGCTGCTATGCTAGGCTCTGTGTATGGCAGACAGCGCGTTGATCCAGATTCATTCTCTTCTCTTCTTTCGTCTTGCAGTGTACCAGGCTCAAGCTACCCTTACTCGACACCAACGAGCACCAGTGGTTCAACAAACTCATCTGCTACTAGTTCGCCTATTGCAACTTGCACCGGGTCCGCTTACACTGTCCAGGAGAGCGATAGCTGTGACTCCATTTCGGAGGCGCATGAAATTGCTACGGATATTTGCATTCAGTTAGAGATGAAGATAATATAACTTAGTTTAAGCAGCCTATGGGATTTGATATAGCTGGATTATCATTTCAGGGAATACTAGTAATTCCATTGAGAAAGATTTATTACTAATTAATACATCACAGTCTAGAAAGTTATTCTTGATATTATTCACACTGTCAAACACCTGAGCCGATGACATGGTGGTAATTTAGATATAAATCCATATATAGTAGTATATCAACACAAGATACGAAACGCGCTATACTAATAATTACTTAGTGTAGTATACAATTTATCGCATCACACGATGTATACTAATCCTAAATAGAAAGGCGAAGGGTGTAGCATGAGCGAAGGCCGGTGTGGAAGAAGCCTGGCTAAAGTGGCGGTAAGGCCTCCCATTCTCAGCTGTATGTTGCCTTTTAAGGTGATGCTCTCAGTGGGATCAGTGATACAGTGTATTACCATCGACTATCCTTGGTTGACTGCCCACGAGTACTGCACTTCACATCAATGAGGCGTCAATTCTAGACGCTGATATGTCCTCAATCACAGCATGATGGAAGGTGAACAGCAGACTTCAGCCCCCTGACCCACAACTGCTATTATTATGTTGTGCGTCACTACTACGCCCCGCAGCAGATCATTATATATCTAGCCTTTCATATGCTGTAATAAGTGGAGAAGACATAAACATTGACCCTTGAATGCAGAAGACATGCTGGTCTCTATTTCAATACATGGCAGAAGGAAATCATCTCTGCCAGGAGGTCCCTCTTCATCACTGGTCATGTGACCGTCGGCTTGACTAGAGCACGGGATGCAAGTATTTGCACTGTTTGTCTTACGGCTCGGGAAAAGTCCGGATCTCAGCGGAAGGGACCGGATCTCTACTTCCGGGCAAGTCTAGCCTACGCGGTTCCACGGGGCATTGCTCATCGGGCATCATGATACGATTATTATCTATCTATTCTATCTCAACATCATCATCGTCATGAGTAATAATACAGGTTGCAAAATAAGGAACAAGAAATCGTGATCATGTCTACTGGCGAACCAGCACACCACGGTATCTCATCTTGCCCTCGCGCAGGGTCTGCATCGCCTCCTCAATACCCTCCTTGTTCAAGGGGAAAGTCATGATAGTGGGGTAGATCTTCTTCCTAGCAGCGAACTCGAGAAGGCTGCGGATACTCTGGCGAGAAGCGACCAGGGAACCCTGGATGCGGACACCCCTCCATACGAGGCCGAGCATGGGCACCTTGGCAGGCTCGAAAGCCACGGTCAGAGGGTAAATGCTGCCGTGGGTGGCCATCAGGGGAATAAGACTGCATTCACCTTAGCTAACTAGCACGAACAAAAATACTAAAAATAGGAGAGGGGATAAGGGAGGCAGGAGGTCAACGTACGAAGGGTAATCAACACCAGCATTGCCGCAAAGCAAGAGGTGCTTGACGGGCTTGAAGCCCTCAGGAACGGGGCCACCAGACTTGAAAACGTGGAATTCAGAAGCACCAAAGTCCATAGCTTCCTGGCGCTTGGACTCGGAGCTGGAAAGGACAACGACGTGGCAGCCCATCGCAGCAGCCAGCTTGATGGCAACGTGACCAAGACCACCAATGCCCATGACGGCGACGCGGTCAGTCGAGCGAATGCCATACTCGCTCAGGACGGTCCACACAGTAGCACCGGCACACATAAGAGGAGCAGCGTACGCGGAGTCATAGCCATCGGGGATTGGGTAGACGCAGTTGGCGTCCCAGACAGCACCGTAGCTGAAGGTTCCATTGTCGAAGTCGTGGAAGCCGTACTGCTTCTGGTTCTCGCAGTACTGGTCCCAGCCTAATTCGAATGGGTTAGCCTGGACAATGATTGATTTGTTATGCATGTAGGGGAAGTACCAGTAGCGCAGTTGTCACAGGCAGTGCAGATGCTGTGGGTGTATCCGAATCCAACACGGTCTCCAACCTTCACGGAGGTAACACCGGGGCCAAGAGACTTGACGATTCCAATACCCTCGTGACCGAGCACCTGGTTGGTCTTGAGGTAGTGCTCATCTGTGCCGCAAAGACCAGAGTGAGTGGTCTCAATGAAGACCTCGTTGTGTCCAAGGGTGGAAGTAGCCTTGTCAGCGACAATGCGACCCTCGGCAGAGCCACGGAAGACGTCGTACGTAACGCTCATGGTTGGATATTTTATTTATTGGAAAATATGAGGGGTATCTAGAAGAAAGAGATGTGGATGGATCAACACGAGAAAATGGCCCTAACCAGTCTTTATAAACGCCCCATGTCTACGATTTTGATCATACATTATTAATAGGGACTGCTCCGAGCAAACCGAAACGGCTCACGGCGTTGCTGCCATTTGAGTAACATTATCCTGGTGGAAACCCAAAGAACAAGTGAAGAAAACTTCACGTCGGCCTCTGTGGAGTGCAATTCAAGGAACGTTAACGGCAAGTTTGGTCCACCAGATCCACCTTCCAACCGCAGATTTTCCGAACCAAGTCCGCATGTCGCATTCGAGAATCCAGGGCTTGCTTCTCGCGTCTCGAATGAAAAGAATGTCTTTATACGCTCTGTATATTATATCCCTTTGGCTCACCTTGAGTGCCAAGGTACCGTTGACAATATTTAAGTAGCTTTTGGTTCGAGATAAGGTTTTTCATGACTCTTTTCGCATCGGTCCCGACAACGGGCCGAGAAGAGAAGAATTCGAGAAGAACTTTTATGGCGCCACGGATCCACTCGCTGCCGTGCCGAGGCTGTTCGATAATCAATTATCGCCTTCCCGAGACGTTGTTGTCGATCCCTTTATTCCGGGTTTAGAAACCCAGGGTCGAATTCTCACACGTGGTATGATCCAGCAGATTATTCGCAGAATATTGCTACCTGGACGTTATTGAAATATCCACGTGGACCACTAAGGACTCTTCACGTCATACAGCCATGGATTATTATATTAAGAACGTTGCCGCTAACGCACATCATTGTGGGAAGTGGAAACCTCTTGCGTTAAATTTTTGTCTCTGGCCGGGATTAGCCCCTGTGGCCGTGCTTTGCCTTCACCCGAGCCTCGTTAACGTTAGCCTGGAAAGAAGTGAGGCTATGTGGTCATGGCTTGTATCAGTCACATTGACTGGTAGAACTGAACGGCCCTACTCACCGCAACTCTGTCTTGAACCATTCTCCCAGTACTCCAAGAAAGCTCAAAACAATTACGATAAGGCAAACGTTGTCAAACAATCGTCCACAATTGCTTTTTGAATAAATGCTCTGACTAACACAGACTATGAAGTGCGATAACTATCTTTGAGACATTGCTAACGTTCTCATCCCCGCATCTTGATGCCTTCTCCTTGATAGCGACTATTGGGTGTCAGCATTGGATGCTGTTTGAAGCGTTGTCCGCTGGGTCGAAAACTTGGAGCAGTTTATCAGAGACTAATCATGTCTTCCTGGATGTGAACTGGCTTGCTTGATAAAATTTCGGATGTGGAGGTTCAAGATCGTAGCGTACCTTGCAGAAGCTAGTAGGCGTGTCAAGCAGAATCAGGTTCACTTGAATGGATCCGATTATGTTAGTTAGACTCTCCTTAAATGAATTTGGTTTGTTCGGAGACCAGAAGCCACTAGGATCGGAATGCTCCATTATCAGGTTCATACATCAGACGAGTACCTGTATAATTACTAGGATGGCTGTAATGGATGCATTACGCCTCAGGTATACATAGTCTTCTCTTGTGGATATTTGATTAATCAAGTGTTAAATCTCGACTCGTCCCGATTTGCATCAGTTTTTCTTCATTTATCCCTGTTCCTCAAATTCCCCTGGACTTTCCCTTTCCCTGTTTTGTATCTCCGCATCAACCATGGTTCCTGCCAGCCTACCACGTCGAATTCATATATCTCCATCAGGATTCGCATACCTGGACACCCCAGCCACCGAATCATAGCCGAAGCTTATCACGTCCCGGTTGTCTCATCTGATGCCGTAGAAACGCGCGCCGTGTCTCTGACAGCTTTTCCAGTTAGAGCAGTACTGCAGTACTGCAATGTTGCACCGAATCACGCTAGCTGAGCTCTATGTCCCTTGTTTGGATCTGGAATGACATATTTCTTGATTCCTTGTCTCCCGTCCAGTTGAATTAGTAGCAGTTAGACGGATGTCCAGTTTTTGTGGTGTGTCCAAGGTCAATATTGACAATGCTGCCCTTCATTACTGGCTGTCCTCATTCTACGATATTATGACGTGTCATCTATGCAGCTCCCTCTATATAGAGTGCCTCCTCTTCGCCGATGAAAGACTCCTGCCCCGATACTTAGTTAATAATAGCACAAAAATAAATGGTTTCGCCCCAAAGCTTTTTAGGCACAGTTAAACTAGACAGCCAAAAGCTTACATATAAGATTCATCGATACTTACATCATGGCTAAGCCAGAATATGTCTTTACTCGTGACTTCCACGACGACAACCGGGACGTTTTGCTTAATTTACTCCATGTACACCTGCTAACTAAAACCGCAGGATTAACCTTCAACATTACCTGTGGACTGAACTGTTCGGCTACCACATTCACCCTTCCATCCCTATCAGCAATCCAAACTTGAGAATTGCCGACGTTGGCACCGGAACAGGGTAGGTGGAAAAGAAGGCAATATGACAAAATGGCTCGCTCACTGCCAACCCTCCACGCAGAATTTGGTTGACAGATCTATCTCGCCGACTTCCGAGCACCGTATCCCTAGACGGCCTTGACATATCATTCAGCGCTCTTCCCCCAAAAGAATGCCTTCCTTCAAATATGACACTACATTCATACGACATACTATCCGAGACGCCTGATCATCTCCGTGGAGTCTACGATATTGTTCACGTTCGGAACTTTTCCTTCGTAGTAAGGGACTCAGAGGCTGAGAGGGTTATCGGAAACGTTTTACAACTATTAAGTATGTATCCACTATCAATCGTTGGGGCCCACCCCAAACCTTATATTGCGTGCTAATTATATCACAGAGCCGGGCGGCTACCTACAATGGGCCGAAGTAGATGCCCTTTCATATCGCATTGAAAAGACCAACCCGAACTGCAAAGACAAAGCCCTTAAGGAACTCATGCGCTTAGGCAGGGCGACGGATGATCGTACCACTCCCCACTGGGTTCCTGAGATTCCTTATTTCTTTCAGCAGGCCAAGCTACAAGAGGTGCAAAATGATGTCAAGGAGGCTCCGCCGTACATGGCTGTAGCAAAGCATGAATGCAACCTGATTGTTTCAGAAATGCTCGCCCACACGACGCAGGATTCGGCTCTAAGCGAGGGGCTTTCACGGCTCTTACCCGAAGTTGTGGAAGAAAGTCGTGGAGGGGCCTACTGGGCTTTCACTCGGCTTACAGTAGTTGGTAGGAAGCCCAGCGGTTAGCTAGATGGGTTGATCTAAATCAATTCGGGTATAGGTGGGTTCTCATGTTTACATACAGTTGAGTTCATTCAGGACATGACTGCTAGAGTGAAGCAAAAAGAGGAAGAAACATCCACCCGCCACATTTTAATGAGCAACGTATCGCGCCTTGCACATAAAAGGCTATCTCGTTTGCTATGAGCAACCAAGCTGCAGCATCTCATTCCCCTCTCTTTCGCCTAGAATAACCTGGTTTGATTCCAAAGGACACCGGAATAGCCATGTTCAAGCTTTGAATTTTGAACCTCCTACTCATGTCTCTAGTATCCATGAACTACCAACTCCTTAGCTCCTCAATCTATTAACGGCCGCGTTGGCAGTAGTATTGCGTCTACAACTCAGCCGCACAGTTAAAACTCGTCCCATCCGTTACACTCTGCCGTCTGTCCTAACATTTAAACATCATAGCTCTGCCAGCTACTGACGACCACAACATCGATGGCATCCAGGTATTTCAGACGCTGAGTCCCGGATATAGAGGGTGACGATAGCTTCAGAGAGCTGCATATTTCTATGCTGTCTTCATAAAAATTGTTAAGCCGGCCTGTGTTTTCGGGTGTGGGGATACAGTCGGCAGTATGTCATGCCATGAGACTATTTCTGGCTGTAGCTAGAGTTGAGGCTGACGAGATAAGATAAAATGGCGTGACTGGCCCGCCAAAGTCTAGTTTCGATCACGTCAGTACACTAGCTAAATGCCACCTACCCCCGCCTCCACCGCCACTCCATATCCATATCCACAACAATCAAGACTTGATTACCATCAACCATATCCAATATAAGCTATGCCTACTTCCATCGAGTCTACCGTGAGCACACAGACCAAGAACCGCCCCACCGTCCGGCTCGCGGCCGTTGACGGGAATGCCCAACAGGTTCGTTATAACCCCGCTCTGCTTGCTGAAATACAAAGCATTTCGCTCACCACGCTTGCTACAGCATCCCGATTGGCTGGTCGAACTGCACACCAAGGGTTGGACGGTTGTGCGCGGAGCCCTACCCAGGGACCGAGCACTGGCGTATGCCGACAAGGGTTACGAATGGCTTGAAAGCTGGAATCTGGGGTTCAACCGCAAGGACCCGTCCACTCGCAAGACAGCAAATCTTCCCTGGCACACTCGGGGAGGGCTTTATAACGGGTTTGTCATGAACACGGGTATCATGGACAGCGTGGTTGTCAGCGGCAACACTAACACTGCCGGGAGCATAGGTACGGCATCGGTCACGAGCAGTTCGTATGGGATTTGAAGTCAGAACCGAGTCTTGTGGAGAAGTGGGAACAGATATGGGGCACCCGCGAGCTGCTAGTGTCATTTGGTATGTTCTACCCATTCTCTGGTTATGAAAATATTACTGACTGCGCAGACGGGGTGAACCTTTCCTTACCCGAAAGGGAACGTCCCAAGTCAGACCCTATTTTCGCGCCGTGGGCGCATGTCGACCAGTCCCCGTTTAACAACAAATCCGACACCGTTCAGGGAATTGTGAATCTGCTACCCAACGGGCCCGAGGACGGCGGTCTGATGGTGCTTGAAGGGTCAAGCGCCTACTATACTGAGTTGTGGCAGCATTTTGACCACAAGAAGGGCGAAAAAGGATGGAGCACGTGGGCCTTTCAATATGTTGACGACGAGATGTGCCAGTGGCTTGAGGCGAAGGGGTGCAAATGGATCAAGGTGTGCGCAGAGCCGGGCGACCTGCTGCTCTGGGACTCGGTGCGTGCTCCTGTCTTCAAGATATCTTGATTTCGTGGTTGGCTAACAGCGCACTAGCGCACGATCCATTACGGCGCCGCCCCTTCTTCGGTTAACGACCGCTTCGCTGCCTGTATGGCCAACCCTTCATTCCATGCTAGTATAGGGATGCTAACGTTTGAACTAAGATGTCTGTTACAAGCCGGCCGCTGCCATCTCAGAGGAGGCCAAAAAGGTCCGCCTGCAGGCGTTTGAAGCGAAGCAGAACACAACACATGATCCAGCTGATTTCCGAGTCAGGGAGTACCTGCCGCCGGCGGATCATTCTACATACGAGATGGCCACCAAACGGTCTTTACCCAGCCCAGTGCTTTCGAAGCGGGCGAAGGAACTGATCGGGCTGGATTCTTACTGATGGGTTTATTACGATCAGAGGTTATTTTAGCTAGCAATTCACAGTTATTATCTTGATACAAACTGCACTGGAATGCCTATGCTTTTTCTATCTATCGAAGCCACATATCAGATACCTGGACAAGAGTAGATAACCGGGCTAAGAGACAGCTGCAGCTGGTTGTGCAGCAGAACAGCTTAATCAACCGGGCATGATTCACCCCCGCCCAACCCCAGTAGCTACCCCGGACTACCTCATATTTGTGTACTTCAGTCAAGGTCACTGCTTCGCTGAGCCAATCCGGGGACAGGCGGTAAGCCTTGCGCGAAAAACAGGTACTGGGTCGCTGCGAAGACCTCCCAGGCCATTCGACGACGATCAACGCTTGAGCATGACAAGCGAGTACCCAGACCTTGGTACTCTTCAAGCCCGGGGATACGGACAAACTGGCCTCGTCGTACGCAGCTTTGACTGTTCCTTGGGAAAACACCTTTCCAATCATGAGAAGCTCATGAGATAATGTCTTTGATAGTTTTGTAGCGGTGACGATATTGGCTGGTTCTTCTGATATTTCTGTGAATCATTGGTATCGGCCTTGGCATACTTCTCCGGATAATGTCTCTAGACAGGTGGACCGCAGTCTGTTGGCTTTAAACAGAAGGTCGCACAGGGTGTTCCTGTTGTGCTCTCCGGAGGCAACAATTGTGGAAGAATTCGTGTGAGGAGAATACAGCCAGGAGCATCATTCCAGTTACAGACCTGCCGAGCCGTCAGCAACCACGTCGTTCATCAAAAACCCCATCGTTTGGGGTACAGATGACAACACCGTCAACATGAAAGCACATGCAAAGGCAGGATTTCTCTCATTCTGGGCTCGGGGAGCGCAATTGTATCGGTAAGACGGGGACCATGGCAAATATCTAGAACAATGAGTACGGTTTTGAGAGGGTATGAGTTTGAGCTGGTTGATAAATGGGAGAAGAGAAGTTTTGGGGAGAGGCTAGGTTGCCTGAGATGGTCAATTGAATAATTGATTAATTAGTTCTGTAGTATAGTCTGGTCGAGCCCTGCTAGTGTTGTTTGATGACTATGCAGACTTGCAACGACTAGGATATAGGCGTCATCCTATTATGTGGATTATCATAGAAAATTATAATTCTGGTTCTAGCGCTACCGTGCATGTGTATAGATGAACAAATTTCACAGATGAAGTCTCAAAGATCTATAGAAATCTTTTATTTGTATTCAGTAAAGAAATAGTAGTGGAGGGAGATATAATTGAGACTTATACTCTCTAAGTCTCTACATATCTTCAGGGTATACAAAATGCGTCTAAGTATCCTCCCTCTAATATGGTCAGTTATGGCAGCTGCAGCATTCAAACCTGCTGTATATTTTAGTACAGACTACACCATCCAAGCCACGAAAAAAATTATTCGTTTCGTATTGGCGCTGCCCGGAATCGAACCGGGGCTGGCACGGCCACAACGTGACGTCATACCACTAGACCACAGCACCTGTTGTTGTGTGGCTTTTCTGCCAAAAATGGTTAGTGTGGGGATGTAGTTATCTTGGGGGTGTGTTGCTTGTTAGGGCGAGGTTGAGATGATATTCGGGGGTCCATTGAGCACTTGAGGACTGGATCTTAGGATCATATAACGTCCTGAATTATCGAGGAATGCCTACTTCCTCGGGCTACGATTCGCGAGAAATGATCAAAGTCCCACTCAATAATGACAGAGCGGGATAATCTAGCCCTTTTTAATCTTCGCAGTATCCACCACCGTGACCTGACTACACTTGAACCTGAAAGCACTAAAAGCAACCTACAAGCCGCCTCTCGAGTATCATGGTTAAACGAAATTTATTGAGAGGCTGGGAGCAGGGCGTAGAAGACCTGGTGTTGTTGTTGAATCGAGTTGGCGAGAGTACACGGATTATTGAAGCACCATGTCGTTAAGCGTTATATATTTCACACTCAGCCATGACTATACAGCATAAAACATGTCATCTGGATTAAAAGTCCAACAATCAATTTATTTGCGTAGTACTCCTAGTAGTCCTTCTGAGATCAATTGCCCACCTCACACTTTTCTAAAATGTCACGATTACTAAAAAATACCGCCGCACTCCTCTCCATGCTCCCTGCAACCCTCGGACAGACCTACACCGATTGCAAACCTCTAGAAAAGACCTGTCCGTTCGGCACAGGCTCCACACATTCTACTTAAGGCCCCCAAGCTAAATAAATACCTTCTACTGCGAAACAGGAAGTCCTCGGAAGCTACACAACCCAACTCAAAACCGACTACTTCGGCGAAGGCGACTCATCCACCTCCAACCGCTGGACCTGGGAGTCCATCGATGACCCCCAATCCAAGTTTCACAACTACACCCTATCCTGGACAACCGCGGCCCTGACGTGGAGCATCGAAGGCACGCCCACAGGTTTCACGAAAAAGACTACTGATATCCGAGGTGGAACCAAGCAACAAGCTTGGACCAGCGAGATGCGTGATATGCCACGTGACCCTGCGGCCGGGCGCACGATGTATTGACACGTGACAGGCTTCATCTGGTCGGAGAATAAAAGTCTCAATGATAGAATTAATTCTCTTTTCAATCATCGTTATTTATCATATGGCCGAAAGAATTGATCTAGGGGAATCAACCAACAAGAAAAATCGAGGGTTATAGCTATACCTGTAGTGGAAATAGTCTGCGTCCTGTGAGAAGACATGGGAGCCGAACTCACTCTTTCTCCTCATTCTTTGCCAGCCATTTCCTTCGATGACTTACTATCGTGTCAGTATGTTCCCCCGCTTCGAACATCTGGATGTGATCATTCGATCCTCTGATGCGTGATGTATGCTTAGCGGTTCGCCTCGGCGAATGAGATCGCCTCATTAAGCGCCGGCCATGCAAGTCCATCACGATAGGCTTCCGGCTATCAAGTCATCCCCACTTATCTAGCAGGCTTCACTGTTCAGCGATCAAAGTATGAAAGGAACTCCTCGGTCGGAGTTATCGATCTGAGAGGTCGTCTTTTCCCTCTATCTCCCTCTCTTCCGGCCATGTCCTTAGACGGCTCACTATGGGCACGCTGAAATTGACCCTGCCCAGCTCTCCTTCAGTCCAGGTATTTAAAAGAAACCGGCAGAGAAAGTTACTTTATACGGGGCTATCATTGGTTTTTCTCCTCGTGTTGTGGGGTACCTTATTCATAAGTTCTGGTGGACGGTATGCTGGGGTGCAGAGACTCGGTTCATCAGACAGATTGAGTTTGGACACAATCAAGAATGAAACATTAGGGGTAAGCTTTCATTGCAAAACATACCATACACCCGAGTATTAATCATGGCGTAGTTCGAAAGGATATTTTGTATCAATCTTCCCAGTCGACCTGATAAACGGGATGCAATCACACTAGGCTCATCAGTCACGCAGTTCCGCGTGGACTGGATCGATGGCGTATCTTCCGAGGATATGAGCCCAAAGGCTTATCCACCAGTAAGATTCCTTCGGCTACTACACCTCAACCTATCCGCTAAGACCTCTCTCTCAGCGATACGATGAACCCGATAGACCTCGCATGTTAGCCGGTGAAATCGGGAGCTGGCGAGCTCACCTGAACGCAATGCAACGGTAGCCATAACCCCCACCAGTATCTAGACACATAACTGACATTCGCTCAGTATCGTCTCAGAGCGCATATCCAGCGCCCTAATCCTCGAAGACGACGTCGACTGGGACGTGACACTAAAGAACCAACTACAAGAATTCGCGCTGGGAACCCTCGCTCTCCAAGCCGAATCCCACCCCAAGACCACACCCTATGGCGACGAGTGGGACATCCTCTGGCTCGGCCACTGCGGGACGAAATGCCAAAAGAACATCCCTTTCTACATACTGAAGAACGATCCAACATCTATCCCCGTCTACGGCCTCCCACAATACTGGGCCGGTCCAGCCGTCCACGAACTCGTCGACAACATCAAACACAACCGCATTATCTGCAAGACGTCATTGGCAGTCTGCTCCAGCGCATATGCAGTATCGTTCAACGCAGCACAGAAAATCCTCGCTGCGTTATCTGTCTTACCCGATGATGAGAGCATGCCGCCTGGTCAGAGCGTCGTGTATGATGTTATGTTAGGGAGATTGTGCGAGAGTGGGTACTTGAGGTGTATTTCGTCGCATCCTTCGCTTTTTGGCAACTGGAAGGGCGCGGGTTTGCCTTCTAAAGCGTCGGATATTCAATATAAGTATGATGGACCGAGGGAGCAGAAGACGTTTGAAGGGGCGAGTTTCCAGGGGTTGGTTTATAGTACCATGTATAATTTGGGGACTTTGCTCGACGGGGAGAGGGTGGTGGTGTCCAATGTTAATGATGTTATGAAGCCGAAGTTGGATCTTACGAAAGTGAGAAGGGTGGAGGGTGGGCTGCATGTGTTAGATTATGAGGAGATGGTTTTGAGTCGTGTAGGATAGTTAAACATATTGAGATATCTCTTCAAAACAATGATGCATAGGAAGGACGAGTTCTACTAGACGAGGGAAGACAATATTCATATGCTGGGTACGATTTGGCTGCTGCATAGGGCATAGGACAACCATGACAACAGAACTACTTGGGTCTGTCTTACCCTCAATAGCGTCGTCCGTCTCTAGATATGAGGTCCGTATCCTTGAAAATATATGCCAAAATACATCGCATGTTTCAATGCTACATGCATGTCAAGTCCCCATCTTCCTTTACATTAATAACCGTACCAAAACTTCTCTTTCTCAATAATGAGTACGTATCATTGTGATATCACGACCATGGTATATACAAAAGCTTCATTCATATCCAACATGACTCAATGGAAAACAGTCACTTCGCTCGAATGGTTTCACGAATCGATCATCTGCGGAGCTATTCAATAACAGTCAGCTCAATCCTAACCAAATGAAGCTCGACAGTAGCACTTTGCTTACCTCGACTTGCGGCTCGTCAGGGCTTTAGAAACGGCCGGGACCTCCGTGGGGGCCACCAGGGCCACCAGGACCGCCGTGAGGACCACCAGGACCACCGGGGCCGCCGTGAGGGCCGCCGTGGCCACCAGGGCCTTCATGAGGACCACCAAATCCTCCAGGGCCGCCGGGACCGCCGGGACCGCCGTGAGAACCACCGGGGCCACCGGGGCCGCCGTGAGGGCCGCCAGGACCTCCAGGACCGCCTTGGGGACCGCCGTGGGGGCCTTCATGGCCGCCAGGGCCGTGCTGGTTCTCGTGGTGGTGGTGGAAAAGACCCATGTTGATTGTTTGTAGGAAGGTAGATTGAGAGTGTTTGTTAAGAGTGTGTGGCTTGAAGATGTTGTTGGAAAGTAAGTGAGGGGTCAACGAGAGATCGTGGGGGATCTTATACTCGTGGCCCCCTAGGAGGCAACATTAGGCGTGTGGAGACCACATAGGGTCTGCGATCGAGCGAAGAGGGATAAGAGATAATTTTGGGTGCAAATGACGCTCATTGAGGGGTTTATTCCCCAATTTGGATATTGCATCTGACGACATAGGCTTCGAAAGAAACGATGTTGCCTATGGCCGATGGGGGTTTATCGACGAGCTAATCGGACTATGACGCTAGTGAACCTTCAGGCCATCGCCCGATTCGCTTGCGATGCTAAAGTACCGTGGGTTAAGCCAGGAGCAGCATGGCTCAGATCTCGTCGTCGCCCCGTAAGGGGGCAATGGGGAAAATCCCGATCCAGAGATGATGGACATTATGAAACTTTGATGACACGGCTGTACGCGTTGACTGCATTGTGTTGCGAATCGAACAAATCCGGCTAAAAGATCTGTGAATTCCGGACAATTGTCCGCTATAAAGCCCTATGGTCACGGTGAGCTTCATTGCCACAAGTGGATGAAAAAGCGTACGTACTTCGACCCACTTCTGTTCAGCACAGGGCTGGCTAGTGCCCTCAATAGGAGGCGCCAAGCGGAGGTCATACGAAAATCATGGCCTCAGCCACACCGCTGGGTGAGTTGCGTGTTGCTTCATTGAGTCATAATGACCGTTATGGGTACATCAAGGGCCTGGGGAGGTCTCGTTGAATTGTTGTTGTGGCTGATATCCGACCAGATGCACGCGGTCGAGACGATTCGGCCTGGCATTCCGATTTCGGCATGAACCGGTGCCGATCTCAATGACTAAGCGGGATCGGGCGCCATTCCCAAGCCACTCTAAGACTTCGCCAAGCGTTGGCATTTTCCTACTGGCAAACAATGCAAACACCCCTCGCTGTTCTGCAGTCTTGTGAACATAATTTCATTGTTAGAAGGGGTACATGATAGATCTTTTGCTTTGGGTAGAACAAAGCACGATGTTAGTCGCATATGTAGCCCGGCTTAAGAGGCAATTGTTTGACATCGGTCCTTCCTGTCTCCGAAACCATTCCTTCAGTGCATATTCGGCAACCGGCCACTAGCTGGTCCTCTCAAGAACCCTCTTCTACTTCTTGAAGCTGCTTTCATAAGACATCACCTGAACATCTCCTGGAGACAGACATCTTCATCCGCGGAGAAAGAGAATTCATTTGGGACCGGATGTTCGTTCTAATTGACTCACGTCGACACCAGCCCCGCCAAATCAAGCTTCATAACTAATGAGAAGCCAGTTACTAATCGCGCCATATGTAGACCCTGGAAGAGCTGCACAATATATCAGGATGAGTCTTTCTGAAATATTCGTCGTTCCTTTTGGAGGATCCTGAGATTGTCAGCACGCGCAGCTATCCTACAGCGCAGAATCATGCCTTCTCCGCCTCCTCCTGTGGACTCTGGATTGAACGCAACATCATTGAAGAAGCCGAGTGCCGTGGCACGCTAAATCCAGGCATGACAGTCGTAGAAGCCACCGGTGGCAGCACTGGTTCTTCTCTTGCCTTCATCTGTTCGGTAGAGGGATACCGATACCGAATTGTTTCGTCGAATTCCTTTGCAGTTAGGAAGCTGCGAACTATGAGCGTACTGGGCGCCACTCTTGATTAATGCCTTCTGTGGTACGGTTGGAGGTGCCGGTATGGTTATGGGAGTATCACGCGTTCTGAAGTCCAAGTGGCCGGATACACGAGTTGTGATTTTAGAGCCGGCCTCTTCTCCTGCCATTATTGAAGGTCGCACTGGATCTCATAGTGTTGAGGGAATTGGGATTGGCTTTGTGCCGCCGCACCTGGCATTCAAAGCTGTATGATGAAACACGAGGAACCTCAGAGAGAGAAGACCGTGCTATGTGCAGACGGTTGGCTCGTGAGGAAGGCTTACTGGTTGGAATCCCGACTGGTCTTAATGTTGTTGCTGCCATTGCTCTTGCCAAAGAACTCGGCCCTGGCAAGACGGTGGTTACCGTCGCCGTGGATACGGGCCTCAGGTATATGAACGGAAACCTCCTGGCAGATGCTTGAGTTCGTCAGAATTATAATAACTAGATAATCACTATTGAAGATTCTATAGGCTTTGCTGCCACGGAAATTTCAGATTCACACACATCAGCTGTGCCAAGGAGTCTAAAAAATATGAGGGGCCATGGCGTATTCAGCATCAACTATAGCACTTGCTACCGTCACATTTTTCAAATTATACACTTAAATCTGAGACTGCGATTTCGCGTGCACGCTTCTTTTGCGATCCGGCTACTGTATCAAGTCAAATATGTCATTTCCATGCGATAAGCTTGGCCAGCATCAAGTATACAATAAGCAAATGAGCACTAACTCAGAGAGGCTAATGTTGCAGTATCTCTCGCTAAGCTAAATTTTTTCTATCCTCACGTCACCATGCTAATTAGAAGCGCTCATCTTCAAAACAACCAATGTCGAATCTTTGTGCGAAATAGGCCTCTGCTGACCCCATCTGACTTCGAGTCGAGATATGACTACTCCTCGTCCGTATTACTGGCCTTCCGCGGTCCAACCGGGCTCGACAGCAACCATCTTGTGAACAAATCCATTGGCGCCTCACGCATAGTTTCGAAGCTATAAATGCGACTGTGCGCCACGACCAGCTTCCCATTATGCATATGCGCCTGCAGGATCCGGGCATGTGAGGGTATCATAAATGAAATCATTAGGACCTATGATCGTTGTCCGTGATCAGCGACTTTTGACCTCAATCACAGGGGAAACAAAGACATACAGGAAGCATCCCCTCCGAATCTTCTTCATCTTTCTCTAGTCGGGTGCGCATCGTCTGAAGTACGCCCAGGAGCTCAAATCGCATCATAGAGTCCTCGGGACATGCTTCTTTGCACCAATGCTGAGTGATCATGACAATATATGGGTACCCATCATCTATACATTCGTAAATTCGATTCACGGTATACAGATAGTCTCCGAGCTTGTCGTAAATGTTCGATATCCGGCCGTATAATTTGTCGATTGTACTGTTCATGTCATCGGTATGTTAGAGTTGTGAGAATGTATTTAATGGATGAATTGAGTTGTACTAAGTACTCACTTGGATGGATACCAGGGTCCAATATGCGTCATAGTACAGGCGAGGGCGCTGTAGCGATGAGTTCGTGGAGCGAGATGGATCCATCTCTCTAGCTTGATGGCTAGTTCTCTCAAACGGAAAGGCGGATAGGACTTGCACGGATCGTCCTTGATGGTGTCGTAGTCGTGAATCGAAAAGCAGGAGCCTTCACGCTTGTCTATTGAGGCGTAGGGGTGCGGGTCGATAGGAAAGGCGTACAAGGCTTCGATGGGGAGAGGATCGAAGAGGAGGGGCGTGGTTGATGAATTACCCTTATAATGGTGCTCAGCTTCGAGGTCCAAGGGCAGCAGAACTATGTTGTTTGCCTCGCAAAGAGAGGGGGATAGAAAGTTGAGGACATCTCGACTTTCTAGGCTCTTCATTATCTTTGCGATGCTTCTTAGGGTGCGGAATCCATGCTCCGGGTTGGGTGGCATTTCGGGTGGCTGATTAGTCTGCATCCTTGACAGCCTGTGATACCTCAGTAGGTCTAGTGTGAGGGATCATGTTGAGATGATTGGCGTTGGTTTTCATCGTGTATATTCTGTGTGAAGTGAATGCATTCACGCTGAGTTTCAGGGCTTCCAGAAGCGTAAGCGAGGGTTCATCACTATTTGCTTTGTATGCTTTTGTGAATAGCGTCATGGGCGATAATGTTCACACTTTCTATCTCTGTAGCATTGTATTGGATGCGCTGGAGTCTCTTCGTAATCACAACATCATCTGTTGTTTTCAGATGAGAACGTAGAGGGTATTGCGGGCCTAAAATATTGTGTCCAGATTAAGCAAGACAACCTCATTGACTTTGTAGGTTTTCAATTGGGAATTTGGGGGTGTTAATTATCATATGTGAATTATCTTTGCGATATTTGTTATGGATCAAATATTAGTACATTACATGCAGAAAAGTGACTCTTTCACTTCCTCAGTACTTGCTGCACACCCAAAAGTCAGTAGGATGGGTAATTCGAGTCATCCGCACCCTAGTGGTCCCCTCCCGATGGAGTGGAATTGATAACCCCTGGAATGATGCCAAAGCAAGTACACCCAGCCAGTCCTTTAATTTTCTTAGTGTTCTTCACACATGCCTCGTAATAAACTGCATTTTCAAAGGCAGATAAGGTGAAGTCACGTGGAAATGTTGTGAATGCGACATGCTATCGGAGTCACCGCCCTGGGAGAGGCAGCTTCTTCTCCCTGCAAGTGATCAAGCCAGACGTGCATGAAACGTTCGCGCCAACCGATGGCGTGATTCGCGTTGATCCTGCCAACTCTTCCCCTCTTTCTCATCCCTTCAGCCTCATTAACATCCACTCATTAACCTGAACAACTGTCATTAATTGCCCTCCATGTCTCCCCACGATCGGTCGGAGGAGGGTGTTCGCCGCCCACTCCTGGCCGATTCCAGAGGGACCGATGGGACCGAACCCGGGGCGGAGTCTACTTCCGCATTGGGCCCCAAGTTCACCCGCAACCTCGGAGCCATCGAGGCATTCGGCATCGTCATCAGCATCGTGATCGGTAGTGGTATCTTCACTTCACCCGGTTCTATCGACACAAATGTTCCATCCCCTGGAGTCGCGCTTATCGTGTGGCTGGTCGGAGGCATTCTGGCCTGGACCGGTGCTAGCACCATGGCCGAGCTCGGCACTGCTATTCCGGGAGAAGGTCGGTTCACTCTGCTGCCATCAGATATATCGACAGGATTGACTGTACAACAGGAGGCGTGCAGCCATATCTTCGATACATCTATGGGGATGTTTTTGGCTTTCTTGCTGCTTGGACTTGGATCATCGCCGTGATGCCTGCAACGCTGGCCATTTTGAGCATCGTGTTCATTGAAAGCATCTTCTCCGCGGCTGGCGTCACTGACCAGGCTGGAAGCCTTTCGCATAAGCTGCTCTCCATTCTTGTATTGTTGGTGATCGGAGTGGCCAACTCCATCAGTACCAAGGTCAGCACCCGATTGAATGGATTCTCCGTCACGACCAAATTCATCGCCATCGCCGCAATTGTTGTGGCCGGCCTAGTCGTCGTCATCCTGCAAGTTTCGGGAATCAACCGCGATGCTGGGTCCAATGACTGGCTCAAGCACTCTTGGTTTGGATCTAGGAACACTTGGACTCCAGACGGTCGGGAGATCGACTGGAGCTCCATGCACGGATGGGAATCGCTGGGTTACTATTCAACCGCACTCTACGGTGCTCTCTGGGCCTATTCGGGCTGGGATAAGGTGAGCATATAGCCTCTTTCTGATATAATTCGTCAAAACGCTTACCATGTTTTGGCAGGCTATCTACGTCAGCGCAGAGCTCTCTGCTCCTGCCCGTCAGCTTCCACTGGCCATCAACACTGCCATTCCCATCATCATTCTTTGCTTCCTTGCCGCTAATGCCGCGTACTACATCCTTCTTCCATGGAAGATCGTTTCAACCACTGATAGCGTGGCCGTCGTACGTAAAACACCTTCCTATTGATGGCTTGTGCTAATAGGATACAGACCGCAATCACCCATCTTCTAGGACCAGCATGCGGTATCCTTGCTGCCATAGTGATCTGCCTCGTGGTCGCCGGCTCCCTGCTCGGAAACTCCTTTGTGGCCGGTCGCATGATTGTCGCCGCATCAAAGCTGGATTGGTTTCCGCGGTTCCTGGGCGTGCTCGGACATGTGGGAATGCCTCCTGACCCGGAGCCTCCTTCTCAGTCGACCCCGCGATCGGATGCGCCCATAAATGCCACGATCATGGCCACTCTGCTACCAATCCCGTACCTGCTGTTCGGAAATTTTCGCGCTCTACTCACCTTCAATGGTCTGGGGGAATACTCGTTTTTCTTCTTGACCGTTTTGGGTGCCATTCTTCTGCGATTCCGGCAGCCTGATCTCCATCGGCCGTACAAACCTTTCATTGCAATTCCGCTGATATTTGCCCTTGTCAGTGGCTTTGTGGTGGTAAGGGGAGCTGTCTTTGCGCCTCTGCAAGCTGTGATTCTGATTTCGGTCTGGATCATCGGCATGGGGTTCTATTACCTCCGGGCTTACCTTCGGAGGGAAAGGGTGACTAGAAGAAGCGAATAGACTCGGGTAGAAGTGGGTGCCCTGGCAGTTCCTACAAAATTCGGGCACGCGTCTAGGGAGACTTTTCTTCTTGTCGCAATTGGTTCTTTAAGTCCTGATACACTATTTCAGCTGATACTTTCCAGACATGCGATGTACTTCATACAACACTGTGATTACATGACAAGGCTCCGTTGTGGAAACCGGTATCCCTCATATTAGTGCGGTGGGCATTAGTAGAGGGGAAGGAATTGGAGAATTCGATGTGCATAACTTTTGTCTGCGACGGCAGTAACAAATTTAAGTTGATTAGAAGTTTTCGGTTGTGCAATCATGGGTAATGGTTATATTATCCATGGATCAAAACGTAGACCCAATGTCGCGCATCTTATCAATCAAAGGTAGCCTTTCTTGGCGAATTCACTATCCGCAAGCGTTATCGCCAGTCACCGCCCGCATCTAATTCTATCCCGCGGACATCCTTTCCTCCCACACGATTTCGGGGTATGATTGATTCCTCAAACTGAATAAACAAAACACACTCTGTAACAGGCACGTAAATATTAATCAATTAAGTTGGACCGACTATTTCGTCAATAATACCACCACCATGGACCAAACAATCCGCGTCGCCGTCGCCGTCTACGTCTTCAACAAACACGGACAGACCATTCTCGGCCAACGCAAGGGGAGTCTCGGCGCCGGTATGTCTTACTCTCCATTTCACCCAACTGCTACAGCAATTTCATTCTACTTAAGACATCACTCTAACCCATTGAAAGGATCATGGGGCCACCCCGGGGGCCACCTCGAATTCAACGAGACATTCGAAGCCTGTGCAGCTCGAGAGGTTCTCGAGGAGACAGGCCTCGAAGTAACTGATATACGCTTTCTCACAGCTATTAATAATGTTATGCTGGAGGGAGGGAAACATTACGTTACGATTTTTGTGGGCTGTAGGCTTGTGGACGAGGATGCGGAGCCTGTGGTAAGTATACTTGTTCTTTTCGTTTACCTCTTGGCTCTCTGAAGCTGGTATTTGAGAGATTGGTTACTGAAATTTTGTATGTAGGTAACGGAGCCTGAGAAATGCGTCCGCTGGGACTGGGTTACTTGGGATGAAATGAGGGTGACTATTGAGAGGCAAAGAGAAGCAGAGCGGTTGGGGAAGATGGAGGAGTTTGAGGGGAGGGTGCTGTTTAAGCCCATTTTGAATCTTTTGCAGCAGAGGGTGGGATTTGATCCGTTGGAGATTTATCAATCTGTTGGGCGGTATTGATTGGTATGGTTAAGTCTGGTTCTATTCGATAAATCATTTCCAGACGTTGTTACGCAGAATAGCATTGAGGCGCATTAGTGGTAGTGGTCTTAGATTCTTTTGTATTGAACAGAAACGAAATTGCATGTTATTTGGTGTCTCATGGTATATATAATAGAAGACAGAAAATGACAGAAACCAAGAATGAGAAGCACATATTAATTACAGCAGAGAGGAAACGCCATTAGAACAAAATATACATGAGCCATTCACTCAACTCACGCCTTGGCAGTAACACACTTGAACGTACCCTGGCTATCATGTAGCTCAGTCATATTGAACTGAATATCCAGGTCAGACTCGGCGAAATCCGCCGCTGTGGCATAAGACACATCGAGCTCGTTCTCAACTTCTTCTTCATCGCCCAGCAGCAGAGCAGCCTTAGGGTAGAAGTCCTGCACATCGAAGGACTTGTTTTTCCACCCCTTCGGCACGATCTTCATAAGCTGGAAGGCGAACACAATATCATTTTCGCTCTTCCCCTGATGATTGTTTGATTCCTTCGAATAGATCTTATTGTCCGTGCCAACACTGACATCGCCAATAACCGTTCCCGATGTACCGGCTTTACCCCCGGCATTTGCTTCCTTGGAGCTGGAATGGCTTTCAGATACACGAAATCCCTTCGCAATCTTGACGCCCGTGATCATATAGACGGGCTTGGAAAATACACTATCCAGACGCATCAGATCTCGGATCTTGCCGTCTTGGGTCCGTCGAATGATCTCTTCGTGGGAGGGCTCGTCCCTGAAGTAGCTGGTTGTCAGGGAGTCGACAGTGTAGTCAGCATCAAGTGACCTGCTACCCTCAAAACCGAGATCGACGCCCATGGCGTTGAGGAAGTGGGTCCAGATGCTTGACTTGACGCCATTCTCTCTTTGGTGATGTAGCGACCAGTCGGTTTCGACTACCGTTTCGATGGGAGCAGTCGGGATGTCTGGGTCAGGTCTTGTCAGGACCCGGTGTGGTCTGAATGGATCGACGATGATGTTTCCGAGGGCAATGGGGCCATCTGGACGAAAGTCCCATCTAGGTGCGAGGACGTATGTATACGTTCGCTGATGCATTGTGAGTGGTGGACAGGTAGGATAGAGGAGTGATAAATTATACGTAAGTTGGCTGGCCAAAATGGGAAGTTGTGTTGTGGTTGAACGACAGAAAAGATCGTGAACTTGCTTGTAAAGGGCGAAAGGGTTCTCCTTATATGTCTTGTCGATATCAATAGGCGCCGATGAACTCTCACCACGTTCGATGACAAACAAAGCCACATCAGCACGTTGTATAGGGCGCTTAGGCTCTCAGTGAGTCAGGGTCAATAGACGGGACCGATTATAATGCGGCGCATAGGACTTCCAATCGATAGCTGGTCCTATCCGCCGACTAGGTATCTCAGCTCATGAAAGTCCTACAGCGCGTAAATAGCGTTTCATGATCCTTACAAGTACTCAACTTGTTGTGTAAGGCTTTGCCGTCGAGTGCCAATAAAATCATCGGCGGGGTGCACTTGAAAGCGCTCAAGGATACCATCGGTCAGTTTACGCATTCTACTAGCGACAGCGCTTACTTGTAATATTGCATTGGACTATCTATGCTCTCTACGGTGTACCCATTCACTGAACGATGCATTGTATCAGCTTCTAATTATGGAAGTCATAGCCTTTCTGTCTCTTTTATTTTATTTTAATTTTATTTCTATTTTTATTTTCCTTTTCGGTTCTTCTTCCCCCTTCAGTCTAAGTGAGTGTTACTACTGATACCTTCAGTTATAATCCGTGTGCTCCGGAATGAGAAATATCTTTCTCTCGAGATTATTTATCACTTTAACTAAATCAACAATTACTATAAATGATAGCCATAGGCAGGCGAAGTTTAGATGCGACTCTTTCTGCAGAGTCTTTGGGGGTGGTCGGCAAAGAAGGGGACTCCAAACCAGGAGGCAATACCAAATGTGGAATAATAATTTAAAGAGCGTGGCCAATACCAAAGTTCTGGATACCAGGGGATTGTTGTTACGGAGGAGAATTCAATGACAATGAGGAGGCTGGCAACCCCACCCGGTCGGGGAAGGTGACCAACTGGATCCGAACCACCGGTCTTTTCTGGATGATCCACCTTGCCTTATACCGATGATCTTCGGGCCAGTGCACAGAAGAACGTTACCTCCTCGAACGCACTTTAATCACCCAAGAGGAGCGATAGTTGTTCTCGAGTCTCTCATTCCTCCCAAAGTGTGCTGGTCAAGATCGAATCGGACAGGGTGAAACCGTCAACATCAGCTCCTGCAAATATTTGGCATCCTACACACGGCTGGATCGAGGGAATTTCTCTATCTTGATCCTAGGTATATCTCGTCTTCAATACCACACTGCCTCTGCAATATCACGAGCTCACTTGATCTCAGGCCGACCTCCCCTTTGGACTCCACGCAAAAATCTGAAGCTCAAGGCTGACCCTGACCGTCCAAAGCGTCCTGTCTTCAAGTCCATCAAGGAACATGCATCTTTTGAAGCTATCCGGCGGTAGGATCCGAGGTATAATCCTCAACGCACCGACATCGTGACCTGTTCAGCCACCCTGAGAAGTCTTCTTGGTTTCATCAGTGGTCTCACCTCGGAGATCCGCTTTATTATGGAGCGCATCGGCAAGACGGTCGTGCTTGTTGGACGAGAAATTCCCCCTCCGGTTTGGTTTGCTAATCAACATAAATACGAGGCCGATTTTGCGAAGAAATTTACTACATGGGAAGACGAAGCCGCTAAGTTCAAAGGCTCATCAACGCATTATTCAGTATAATTTCGTGAATATCCATATGGTCGTTCGCTCTGCGTCAGATACCTCTATTCAAAATCAGGAGTTGGACTCTGAATATGGAAATGCATTCACCAACACCACAAGGTTAACATCAACAGTCCTACTGAAGGCATTGGCGGGCTGCAGGTACATTAAGGCGGCGAGCCAGTTGCTCAGAACATAATATTCCAGATCGATGTGCAATTTCATGTACAACGACTTTGGCTACATTCGAAGACTACGCTCGGGTGAATCGATAGCTTTCCATAATTACAAGCCTGTGGTAGTTGAACCAGACATCCATCAGGCAAGACTATGCTTTGTATTTTGCATTTCAAACAACCAAAATAATCGGCAAAGGGCCACGGTGACCAAAGTAACAGCGCGTAGTTCCTAGATCATTCCGTCTGGACAAGAGGCGCCTCCACACGACCCATGTCTTGCAGAAGATCAACCACGGTTCTAAAATCAACATAGTCGCTATGTTCGCGTACTTCCAACGTCTTACTTCCTGGTACTGCGGTAATGTTCTTCACCTGATAAGCCAAGATGATAGAATCCTTCCACTCGAAATGATCACCCCTACCAGCCCCTGCCGGTACTCTTATCCTCCCTTCCATAAATCGCACCTCGTCTTCAGGATAGTTACCATGACCCATACGAGCCTTGCTATCTGGCCACTGACGCCACACGCTATCCATAGTACCCCCCGTAGCGACTTTAATCCCAGTGATAATATAAAGAGGCCTGGACGCAGGGTTACTATGAATGTCTTCCAGGGCTTCACTCACTCTTGGCTCCGCTGCTCTCGTCCGAATACTCTCCGGTATGGACTCATCATTGACAGTGGTGATTTTGAGAGACCTGCAGAAACAGTCAAGACTGACGGCGTCGCCGCGTCCATAAATCTCAGGATGTTGGACGTTACTGGCACCCCTAGTGAGAAGGCGTTCTGAAGTGTCCATGTTTGGCAACTCGGAAACGGTAGTGTTGAAGGCAATCCTCGGGTCATGCGTCGAGATGGTTTTCTTGTCATTGCATGGATCTTTGGGATCCAGAATCATGTTGAGCAATCTCAGGGGTCCGTTTGGCTCGATGTCCAACTTTGGCACTGGAAGCCATATGTCGTCCCAGAGGCAAGTGTCGAGTACGACATCGTCGTTCATGGTTCAGATTTTGATGGCGACGGAGCAATTCGGAAATAATCGACAGGTACGGTGCTGTGCTACGTTACTAAGATGATGGTACTATTGTCCAGGGCCCCGCGGCAGGTATGGTCTTCATATAGTAATAGCCATGAAGCAGATTTCTGTAATTATAAGGGAATCCCCGGCATTCTAGTTGAACCATTTGTGTATACACGCGGCCTACTGAAAGAACGGAATTCGTGCTGGCTAAGATAGGAAATATCCGGCCAAAAGTGGTTGGTTGGGTTATCAGGCTCTGCTAATGTTAGGTGAGACCTGTCATTGTTTTATCCGGCGAGTTCAGATGTCTCTTATCGTCTCCTGTAAGGCTCAAAGGGCTAGTATTTACTAGACAATAGCACGGATAGCATACTTTTTTCACTGGACTGTTGTGTACATCAAAACGTTCGTTTCAAAAGGCTAATGAACAATTTGGGCGGGCCATGGAAGCCCGCGCTTCCTGGGCTTGTTCCATCAGCATGCGTTATTCTAACCTATCGCAGGGTGTAATTTAAATCTCCTATTGCATTGTGCGTTTCGACATGCGGGTAGGTTGGGCAATGTTACAGCGTCGGCATACTGTTTCATCGGTTGTAGAATTTATCAGGAAAGAAATAGTCCATCAAGCAGAAATTACTTATTCAACACCTAAAGCATCCACAGATAGAGTATCATAATTTGTTGGATCAGGTCTGTCAGCAGCACATCGTGAAGTTTGAACGCTTCTATGGCAAAATGTTGAGTGCCTCTTCTAGCCTCGGCAGTGACTATTTTTAGTGTAGTGATTTTTGATTATTTGATCGCGATAGGATAGGCCGACCGGCGGATAGAAACCCCCGCCCACCTTATCACAAAACACAATCTGTATTGCACGACGGAAATCGAGTACATATTGTCACAACCTTGTCTGTTTTGCCATCGAAATGTGCTCTTTCCCAATCAGGGCATACTTCTTTATCCCATAATAGGTCGCGATAGCCTGACTGTCGAGCCAGTTTCATTGAACGAATCCTTCGACCCCTCTCTCTCCACTAATTGAACCAAATGTTCGAACTCCACAACATTAACAGGGGAGACTGGTTGGGGTCCCAACGGATAGCAGATGAAGTTGAACCCTATACCCTGCTACCAGCGTAGAATCCCCTCTGAGTTCTCTGCCCAACAGCATTTGCATCAAATCTTTCCAGCCAAGCGATGAATTACTTGCAAACCCCTGTTCCCTGTACGAATGATTCCGTAGAATAATACCATTGGCCCCCATTGGGGAGGGATATTGTCCCTTCCATTCCCAACCACTCGCTGCTGCTATTGTCATACTGCGAGTCATCACTTTCTTAATGTTGACCAGCTGGTCTGTAGCGGAAATTGACGCCATGCTTCGGACTTAACGATGGGCCTTTGGCTCAACGGTCTGTTCGTCCTGGCTGTCTGTTTCTCCCATATATAGTAGAGAGCGCGCAGCTTCTATCAGATACATTACAAACACGGAGCATCATACAATCCAGAGCAAGCCAGTCACAATGCCAGGCGAAACCAATATACCCCCTCGTCGAGACAGACATGTCTCCAAAGTCCACATCGCCGACACCCCCATCACCCTCCGGAACTGGCCTCAACATGTCAACTGGCTGAACGTGACCATGATCGTCCTGATCCCCCTCTACGGCTGTATCCAAGCTCTCTGGACCCCTCTACGACTAAAAACCGCCATCTGGGCAGTAGCATACTACTTCTTCACAGCCCTAGGCGTCACAGCAGGTCTGTCCCACCACCACCACCATACCCCCCCTCTCACATCCCCTCTTCTAACCCATCGTAACCAACAGGCTACCACCGCCTCTGGGCCCACAGATCCTACACAGCAACCCTCCCCCTCCGCATCACCCTGGCCCTCGCCGCCGGGGGCTCCGTCCAAGGTTCCGCACGCTGGTGGGCACGCCTGCACCGCTCGCATCATCGGTACACAGACACGGAGCGAGACCCCTACTCCGTACACAAGGGCATCTTCTACGCGCACTTCGGCTGGATGATACTGAAGCAGAACCCGAAGCGGTTCGGCCGAACCGACATCTCCGATCTCAACGCCGACCCCGTGGTCGTCTGGCAGCATCGACACTTCCTGAAGATCGTGGTCCTCATGGGTCTTGTCGTTCCGATGCTTGTCGCAGGCATCTGGGGTGACTGGTGGGGCGGGTTCGTGTACGCGGGCATCCTGCGCATCTTCTTCGTGCAGCAGGCCACTTTCTGCGTGAACTCTCTGGCTCACTGGCTCGGCGAGCAGCCGTTTGATGATCGGAACTCACCCCGTGATCATGTCGTCACGGCGTTGGCGACGATGGGTGAGGGGTATCATAATTTTCATCACGAGTTTCCGTCAGATTATCGCAATGCTATTCGGTGGTATCAGTATGATCCGACCAAGTGGGCCATTTGGTGCTGGGGACAGATGGGGTTGGCGCGTGATTTGAAGATGTTTCGCGAGAATGAGATTGAGAAGGGGAGGGTGCAGCAGTTACAGAAGAAGGTGGATAAGAAACGGGCAGAGTTGGATTGGGGGACTCCGTTGAGTGAGTTGCCGGTTATGGAGTGGGAGGAGTTTGTCGAGAGGGCGAGGAGCAGGGCGTTAGTCGTTGTTGCTGGGGTGGTACATGATGTTGAGGACTTTGTAAAGGAACATCCTGGTGGGAGGGCCTTGATCCAGGCTGGTGTTGGGAAGGATGCGACCGCTATGTTTAATGGTGGGGTGTATTATCATTCGAATGCGGCGCATAATCTGCTGTCGATGATGCGGGTAGCGGTTATTCGGGGTGGGAGTGAGGTGGAGATTTGGAAGAGGCCGCAGAAGGAGATGTAGATTAGTTGCATGGTTTATGGGTGTCTTGTTCTGTATTTTTTTGATAGACAGATGTGGTAGGGTTTGTCCCAATTAGGAAAGCCGGAGGTCGAGGTCCTCATACAAATGCTTCCGAAGCTTATACTTTCTTTGCCCTGCTGTGTCTCCGTAGAGCATACTGCACGAAAATTGCATGTCGGCTAATTCCACGTGCAATGCGACCGAATAGACGCTCAGTCATTGCAACCTTCCTGAGTCAATCCGAGAGTTCAGAAGCCGCGGCATGACGGCATCGCAACCCAACGATAGCCACCGTCTCAGACATCCGAGCAAGCCGAAACTCTTATCTGTTCATTCCTCTCCGCCTGGAGACAAAGACATAATTTAAGATTGATAAGCATTCTATCGTCATCGACCCCTACATTGAAAGGAGCTGCCCGTATAACCGGACGAAGTTGCCATTGATCCACCGGTTCAACTGGGACTTGACCCAGAGCTTTGTATCCACCATGTTGAGCTCATTGCAACCTTCCATCGGTGATTGCTCAATGGAGCTTCGAGTTCTCCACCATGAATTTATGGTGACATCATGAAGAATGTCTTCCCCTTAGTTGTCCTACGTTATAAATTCGGTTTCCTGGGGACCTCGCAGACGAAGGAAGACACTATCTGATTCCTGCAAGGTAAATCAAGTCTAATATTATCTACACCAATTAAAACCAGACATTCATCATGGGCTACGACTTTACCGTCTTCAAAGGATCCAAAGACGGATCCATACAGAAAGCGACCACCCATCGCGACGACCTCCAACGCGACCAAGTCCTCGTCCGTCTTACCCACTCCGGCGTCTGCTTTACCGATGTCCACTATCAGCATGCAGACATGGCCCTAGGCCACGAAGGCGTCGGCGTCATCGAAGAAATCGGCCCTGAAGTCCATGGACTGCGCAAAGGCGATCGCGTCGGCTGGGGCTACCAACACGACTGCTGCGGTCGATGCGCCCAGTGTCTAACGGGCTGGGAGACAATGTGCCCGGAGCGCCAGATGTACGGAAGTGCCAATCTCGACCAGGGATCATTTGCCACGCATGCGGTGTGGCGCGAGCCGTTCTTGTTCAAGATTCCCGAGGGAGTTAGCAATGAGGACGGTGCGCCGCTAATGTGTGGTGGCTCGACGGTGTGGAATGCGCTGCATGTTGGTGGTGTTAAGCCGACGTCGAGAGTGGGCATTGTTGGAATTGGAGGACTGGGACACTTGGCTATTCAGTTTGCGGCGAAGATGGGCTGCGATGTGGTTGTCTTCTCGGGAAGTGATAATAAGAGAGAGGAGGCGCTGCAGCTCGGTGCGAAGGAATTTTATGCCACCAAGGGCGTGACGGAGCTTAAGATTGGCAAACCGTTGAACAATCTGATCGTGAGCACGAGTAGCCAGCCGGACTGGAAACTCTATGTTAATGTCCTTGCTCCGGGTGCCGTTATCTCGCCGTTGTCGGTGGATAATGAGGACTTCAAGTTCCCGTATATGGCCCTTTTGGCGAATGGGTTGCGTGTACAGGGCTCGATTGTTGCCGCGAGGCAGGTACATCGGGACATGCTTGATTTTGCTGCGCTGCATGGTATCAAGCCTATCTTGATGAAGTATCCTCTCAGTGTGGATGGTGTGAACGATGCCATGAAGACACTGGAGGATGGGAAGATGAGATACCGTGGCGTTCTGGTTGTGGAGTAGATGCAAACTGAAGAGGGTGTTGGTGTTGGCGTGCGGTAGCGATGTCGAGATGGCGTTTATATTATGATCTATTGGGTATCTGTAATTAATGCTTTGTAGGGTATGATTCCGGGTTATTATCGAACTTTAGATTTCGATATCATGAACATTGGCAGTCTCCCGAGTTCGAAATCAAGGCCACGTTCACCGCGGCAAACCTGGAAGGGTCAGCATTGTCGTGATAGAGTGTTCCTGGGCGATAGATAATTAACTCACGCAGTAGCCGCCGCAAAGATCTCAACCCTTCGAGCTCTGACCATCAAGCCCAGCGCCAGCGAAAAAGCAATGTTATACAGCATGATAGTGACCATCCTGATAGCAGTGTTTTTGATGAAGTATAGCACTATCATCGACGATGCAGGCAACACCGCAGCGATAATGACACTAAAAAAGTGGGTGCATGCCTTGATCTTCTTGTCACTATACTGCCAGGCGCCATTTTCATTGCGCTGTTTTGAACGCAATTAGCTCTCCGATGAAAAAGTAGTACTCGAACGATACTTACTTGATATTTCTCGCCCCAGCGCTTATGAAACCATGGGACGACTCGGTTGAATATCAACCGAGTTAGGTTGTCGACACCTTCATGTCTACTAAACAGGGCGATCATATCACTATCGTTCCGTTTATTGTAGACGTTCATCTCTGCAGCAGATTCAAAAAACATGTCCCCGCCTTCAGGCCGGTCAAGCCACTCTCGAAGCACAGTCAAGTCACATTTATCTGGCGTGCTGAGGCGCATGAGCTCCCGTTGTTGAATGATAGCATGGTCTACTCAGTCAGATCTGGGTTCTTCCAAATCCCACAAGTGAGTGGTAAGAACTAACTAAACTTTTCCATCAACTGCCGCGCTTCTTGAAATTTCGACCACTGCGTAGGATTGCCCTCTTTCAGGTCCCGTACTGAGAAGGGATACAGCTGCTTCTTCTCGTCCTGTGAGTCCTTGTCATCCTGAATGATGAAATCAAGGTCCTCTTCGAGGTTCGCTATCTCGGCTTGATAATAGAGAATACTTTTGATATTGAGTTTTGTGAAACGTCGGAAAATGGCTAGTCCCGGGTCGGCTTCTATGAACGCGGCGAGTTTGTCGTATCCTTCGACGGGACGGAGGTTTGCGGTAGACATTGTTCTTGTTTATTATGTTTTCTCATATTTTTATTATACTTGAAAAGAGGTCGATTTGGGGATAACACGAAATTTGAACTACTTATACATTCTGTTCATCTTGTAGGGCCTCGGCCTTCTCAGCCTGGTGTACATGTACGAGCCCCCATGCTCCGTGTGGCTGTGAATCGTACCCCTCATTCCGTAATCTTTGAGAAGCCTGAGAAGCTGACTAGAAACTAGTTCCATGCAGAGTGAGTGGGAAGGCAGACACACAGATGAACACCATCTCCTCGGGTAATATTCGTCTTCTGTGACAAGGCTTTTCACCAAACATACGAGGCCTTTTCTGTCTCCCCCACTGGGCTATCCTTGCGCTCGTATGGTGCAGGGTCATGTTGTTATATATTCATTATCCGATGAGCATAGCACATGACGTGAGGCCTTTCCCCCCTCCCTCCTGCTGTGCTGATGACACTTGCTGCCCTCTGACAGTCTCAATAAGGCTAAATAAGAGTGATAGCCTGATATGGTCCAGCGAAACAACATTTGAGTTTTGTCCCTGTAGTACGGTGTGATTCATGCATCTTAACCTGCGCACTAGAAGCGTTGTAGAAGTTGCATTTACGAACCCCGCATGAATGACTTGGTCTTCTGTGACTGGGTGATTCACATGATAGTCAGTCTTATTTTGACAAGCCGTTCAGTGCATAGGGCAGCTCTGCAGATTGGCCAGCACATACTCTACTATTGAGTTCTAAAATACGTAGGTAGCAACACTGCCAGGTAGCAGTTTGATATTATTCCAATCAGCCCGTCCCTGTGTTCTCCGAAATATTGTATGAGATAGAGCCAGTCTTTTATCCCAAAACATGTACATACAGTAAACGCCAGCAAATAAAACAAACCCTGTCTATGAATACATTATTGTAGTCGCTATGTCTGTTCCGGGTTACCGAGTCGTCTGGCAACCATAGGATCCATACGGTAAAGACCAATATCCCGGCATGAAGTGGTGCCAAGGATGATATCAAAACTGGTACCTCGAACAACGTAAAATTCGGCACAATATGGCTTTTCGTGGCCACAGATAGTCCATGTTGCCTGCACTTTACCTACGGGCCTCAATTCCCCCCGAGTGGTAGGTTGGGTTGGCGGGCCATCATATGGGTCCATGCGGACATTCATTCTCTGGAAGACATCGTGATCCATGAAATTAGCCTCTGTTTCAAAGTCCACTAGCATGCGTCGTCTCAATGGCTTGTCGAAAGTGGATATGAGAATATCGTAGATGAAATCACAATTTAGAACATCCTGCTGGTTATCGCGGTTTGGTGGATTACTGACAAGCACGGTCTGCAGAACTCCCGTTAGTCTCTCACGCTCTTCGGTGTGCTGGAAGCCCTCGCGGGTCTCATGCAACACCTCCTCCTTTTTAGCTGGCTCATCCAGAGGCATTTGAGAGCGTTGAAAGTCCTTTATACCCCAATACTCTGGCGAAAGTGGACGCTTTTCTGACGGATAGTAATCCTGAGGCGAAGGTAGAGACGCTTTCTGTTGCCCGTGCGTTTGGGTGGACCAGAGGGGAAAGAGAAACAAGTGTTTTGTCCCCTTTAGCGCAATCCGAAGGGCCTACTTCGCACTTTAGCACCAAGTATGTTTGAGATGAAGCCGCAGAACACACATGGCTTTTTATATTTCCACTTTGGTGGTGGCCATGGCTCATGGCCATTTTGTGATTTTTCTCATTTTTCCTCCATTTGCCACGCTCGCGTGGTGCCGTCGGTCTCGGGGCTAAAAGCCGGTCAATTCCTTGTCGGGTGTTGCGTGTTGCGGAGATTGCAGGGCAGGACGACGGTTAACAGAGCAGCACTTACATGGGTAATTGCCAGGCATGGAGATATCAGTCTTGAGGAAATCCCAAGTATATACAGAGGTTGACTAAGTATCTGGAGCCATTATGGGCGGTCGCGGTTGCAATACCCGGGCGGCGCGGGAGTTATCAACCCTGAGCCTCGCTTGAAGGCGGGGGTCACCACCTTCCAGTCAAGCCAGGGAAGGGCTGGAGCAAAAGACAAGTTTGGCTTGTGGCACAGGCACAACACAATCTATCCCTGGCGCCTGACCTTATGTGACGATAGGCCCCAAGCGATTAGTGGCTCTTCGGGTATTACTGTTCTGTTTCGAACACGGAATGGAAGCACTGGGAGGCCTTCCGCGGATGCAGCTCAGCCCACCAAGGAACATCTCTGAGAGGCTGACCGTCCGCCTTGACCAATCATTTTCATAATATGCCTGGCGGCTTCGCCTTCTATTCATTTGCATGAACAGAATTGAAGGATTGCTATCCCTGCACACGCTTAGCGTGGGGCCAGACTCCCGCATGGTGGCCTTCAGCCGATCGTTAAGACGCCCCAAGTGTTACATTTTACTCTGTCCAAAGTACATAAGAACCTACCCTGCTCAAGGCTGCTTGACTCTTCGAACAGGGCTTCACAGTCTCTGGAGCCCGGGAAACTCCCTTGCGCCACCTTCATCACTCCCCCGTGGCAAGGCAGTGATGTATGCTTGCTTTTAGTGCCCTTGTGGGTGCCTTTTCGTCTTTGCTTTGTTACACTCTCACTAATCCCAACTACCTCTCGTGATCGACTCTTCTGATTGCTAGTTCCCTGACTGAATCCGAGAAGCCTCCGAGAATTTCTTTTACCAGCGGTGAGTAGTGCTGACTGTGCGGGACATCAGCCCGGCACTTGACGGCCTGAACATCCGCCGAGCGAATGGCACACCTCGGTGAGTTAACTAGAGAAGACTAGTTCTGCAGGTGCCACCTGATATGTCTCGTTTTGTCTTCCTACAGCGGGATGATGTGGGAGGATTTGATCCTACACAACAGTAGGACAGATCGTCCCGAATGGACAAATCAAGTCCGTGTCAATCCCCGCTCCCCTCCTAGCGCCCAGAGACTATCGCTGTTGGAGCGCCCATTACCCCCTACCTACGGAGTACAGTCATTATGCGTAAGGGTGATCTCATACTTGTGACAGGTTGTTCTCAAGTTTCAAGGAGCAGTTATTCACATCCAACAGATTCATCAGCTCAACCGCATACTAATGTAGCCTATTCGCTGCCTTTGCGTCATCCCTCGCAATCCTGGCGATAATCCCGGCACAGTGAGTCTTGCAATCGACGCGCTTCATAATTCCGCCTTGTCGCCAATCCAAACCCATTCTGTTATTTACCCTGAGAAGCCTGCTTTTTCTGCTGTTCACGCAACTGCTGGTTCTTCTTCGCCAAAGCTTCCTCTTTCTCCCGCTTCTTTTTCTCCTGGGCCGCCTTATCATCTAGAACAGTGTTCAGTTTGCATCACTTCTTCGTTGGCTAAACAGAAAACAAGACAGACTCACTTGCACTCTGCGATGCGAGCTGGGTAACAGCAACTGGAAGGGCATTCTTATCCGTGAACCGTCCGACACTGCACTGAGTCCCTAGAATCGCATCATACTGGGTATCCAAGCGCGCTTCAACGTCGTTCAGGGAAACGTAGAAATCTTGTCTCCACAGTTTGGTTTCGCTTTTCTTCCCAATACTTAGGCGGACTACATCGCGCACTGTGTATGAAACGCTATCGGAATCGTAGAACGTTTTGGGTATCTCATTGCGCTGCAGCAGAATTCCTTCCAGCCTTTGGAGACCCCTCTGCGTGAGAATATTGACGTCCAATTGCTCAGAGAAAGCAGCCTTTAGATAGACGGTGTCTTCATCTTCTGGCCTGATGCAACGAATTTCTATGCTCTTGGGTCCTGTCTGAGTGATTATGACTGGTGAGCGCGCCTAGGCTATAAATGTATAACTATAATAAGGAAGGGAAAAGAGGGTTCAGAAGCCCTGTGTAAGGTACCAAACGTACCATGGCTTTGCGTTGGGTGTACTTGCTTGCTGTTACGGCTCTGTCGGTTCACCCCAGAGGAAGCGTAAGCTTCGAACTGCTGTCTGTGGATGGCCTCACACAGAGAACGCTGCCACATTCATATACACCAGACATTATCTGGACTACCCAAGAGCCGCAGACTCGACGGACTGACTGACTGACTATCCACGCGCAACCCCTCGTAGGTGGGATGTGCGACTGCTCCATCCACCATCAATCCGTACTCCGTAGATCGCATGCACTCCTATTTTCTTCTTCCTTCCCCATGCCCTTTGTTTGTTACGCGAGGCTGCACACAGTTCCCCCCCTTCTTCCCTCGCCCTTTCTATCCACCAAGCAGCGGAGCTCTTGCCATAGTATAGGCGCAGCTGGTGGTGGTTATTCGACATGTCGTGCAGATTGGGCATAAATGAACAGGATCCGGCTGGGTATTCATGTCACTAGACGAAGCCAGCCCCTCACAATCATTGGCGCCAGTAGTTTCTTTTGCATGAAAGGATCGTTGCCGATAGCGGTGCGGGGATGTGCGACCGGAGGGAAACGAGAAATGGCTGCAGATAGCCAGCACTGACGTGCCACACACACACCCGCAAACAAAGTCCATTTACATTAAGTACGTAGTTGACGATGACATGTCCATATCCACATTCATGGGAATTAAAAGTGTCACTGCATGTAACACACAGTGGTCCTATCGTTAATCAACAAATATCCCGCGAATCAACTATTGAAACATGCCCTTGCCTTGTCCAATGCCCTCCCAACCAGTCAAGATAAAAACCCCTTTCCACAAAACGCCGCCCAAGGTAACTAGGTTCGAGAGACAAATCATCAACACACTTCCAATGCGCCTCAATGGGACATGTACAACGTAGCTAATCATAAATCAAATACATCCGGTCGTATTAAAATTGCGAGTCATTAACTGGTCAAAACCCTTTGCTGTGTCTGTGCAAAGCTGGGCAGCCAGCACCTGCCCAAAAGTACCGGTGTGATGCAATATCCGCAGCTGCCCTTACTGGTATCACCATCAATCATAAAGTAGGTATAAGAAATGCGTGTTGCCTCCCAATGGCGGGATGAGCTTGGTGTTCATAGACAATGGGTTAGAGTATCGTCATGTGCAAACATGAAATTGTTCAGATTCATGCACAGGAAGACGACCGGATCATCGTACGCCGTTCAAGGCCAGGTCCGGATTTGAGGATTCTCAATCTCTTGATATCCTTTCTTCCCAGGATGATGTTATAATTCTTCATATCCACAACCAGGAAGTCACTGGTGAAGGTCTTCTCGCGTTGTGCAAAGTGCCATTCAACGCCTTTTGCAATGCCGATCGGCTTGATTCTGTCTTTGCCGGTTTTGGTCTGCAATGGGACGAGTTCCTGATCGCAACGCTCGATCTCTAACTTCAACTCCCGCTGTAAATCAACATCCATTAAATTGGCTGATGCTTGTGTGTCCAGGGCCATCAATGTCGGGACCTTCTCTTTAGGGTCGCTGCCGATCATGAACACCGGCTCGTTATACTCGCTGTTCGTCGAAACCGGGGAGAGGTTCACCTGGGACATGCGGTCCAGCGACGTTGCTCTGATATCTTCATAATCACCTGGTAGTCTAAATTCGGTTTGTGGGTCCGATGGGGTTGTTTGATCGGTGCTAATGCCTGTGCTGACTAGGGTGGATGGCCCTGGAGACACTGCTGTGCTTATCCCGCTACTTGATGATGCGGAATCGGAGTTGCGACCGTCAGTTCTCGGGCTGGAAATCATAAATCTGTATGAATCGGGGTTGTCGTACGTTGGGATGTCCGGGGGGTTTCTCTGGTCGCCCATTACGGGACGACGTACCCGTCCATCATGGTTTCGATTCGACTCGTGAAGCTGTTGCCGTCGGTTCATCGTGAACTCACGGCCGATCATAGGCTGTCTGGCCTGGGGCCCCACAGGGACGAGCTCACGGCCGGTTTCCCGATTGTTCATCTTCACTTTATCTTCTGATCTTTGTTGGTGATCGAATATCTTTCGCGGGAGGAAAAGGGAGAGTATGCGCTTCGCGGACCGAAGCAGGCCGCGAGCTCGTGAGTGCTTACCGACGTCACCGAGGCTGTCTGAAGCAGGAACCGTGGTCAGTCATGAGAAACTTGTATATGATTATCATGATGCAGCCGATACTCACGACCTTCAGGTATAGATCTAGCCAAAGAGTTTTCCATTATCGATGTTGAATGAAAGGCCGTTGTCTTGACGGCCTGCTCCGCTTCGCTCCCTCTGATGACGTACCCAGCCAGACAGCTCCAGATGATAAGGAGCAGGGTGTGGGAGCCTTTCAGGAAGAGCTACGGACCTGGATACCAGTCGCGATAGTGCTGCCAGCTGCAGAAAAGCATGGAGGTTGTGCGAAGAAATGCCACCGCGAAGAGAGAGATGGAGGAGGCAAGAAAGCGTTTTGCACCACGTCTGAGCGGTCTCTTGGGGCTTTTCCCTCACAGCAACGTTAAACGACGGTGGAAGGGCGCTGTTAGTCATCCAGTGTGCCTGGGTAGGCTTGATTGGGCACAGACTAATTGTAGCCCATGAGGGAGGGACCCTGGCCAGCCTGCGAATGAGAATGAGGACTGGTGTCAGGGAGAGGATGGGTTGCCCATGAAGAGGTAAAGCTTCGCCGATGTAACAGGAAGCGGCACTTGACTGTAAGAGCCGCCACTTGTAAGCTCAACCCAAGTCCTGAGGTCGGGCCAGTCTCGCCCGCAGGCTGGTGGCATCAGCGGGGAATGGGATGGAGACCCTTTTGAGATGGGCCACCTCTACGTCACAATACCAGATCTCGTTCTTCAGTACGGAGTAGTAGCTGCCGCCGATAACAAGGTGGGTCAACAGAAGGGTCTACTTTTTGGCTAGAGCTCTGACTTGGTGCTATAGTTCTATTCTGTGGACAAGCATGACGAGCGACAGCTCCTATGGAGTTGCAATGTGCATACCTTAGCTCCCGGACTCTAGTCACAAATGCAATTGTTTGTGAACCTCTTTATTGTCTTGCACCGCCTCTAATCACAGCCTCATGCGGGCGGAGTCTTCCTTGGCCAAGCAGCTCCCAGGGTCTTCCTTTTCTCCCTGCGGTGATCATGAAATTGTGCCAGTGGGCACGATGCCCAGAGGCGGAGTCGAGAGGGGGAGGCAAAAAGCCAAGGCTGTCCTGCGTTGTCACGAATTGCTTTTTCTTCCAAATCCCCTCGCGATCCCCCCAACGAATTCATATCTTCTTCTAACCTCGGCATCTCTGACGAGGCCATTTCTGTGCGGCGTGCCGTCAGAGTCGTTTCCAGAGAGGGTTCGTCGTGTAGCGCTCTGAACATGGCAGTGAGAGACCGGCAATCCGACATTGCAATCCCACCATAATAGAGTTTAGGAGGCTTTTTGCTTCAAACGTGCGATGCATGCCATTTTCTGGAATCATTCCGCTCTCGGGAGGTATTTACCTTGCTTTGCTTTGCAGTGTCACACAGCCGCTTTCTCTCCTATGTGTCTAAGGAACAGGTAAGCTAGCAGAGAAAATAGCTATCATTTTCTGCCATGGGTTGAGGTTGGTAGGATGAATGTAGATTTTGCCCTCATTTTCTGTGCTTATTAGTCTCTACGCTATCTAGTCTGTCTCGGACCTATTACTGTGTAACAATCATCACCAGTTATCATAATTGACAGGTGAGAGGCGCACTCTTAACTGAGCTACAATGAGCGTGATAGAGGCAGTGAGAAGGGAGTAGGACCAGAGTCGGCCGCCCTGTCTATGAAGGATCCGAATCGATAGAAAAGGCCGTGACAACTGTGACAACTGTGACAACTATGCAGCAGGTGGGCGGTTGCCTCAGCAGTTTCAGTGTCAGTCACACGAGGGGAGGAGAAGGGCACATGCACGCCACCGATTTCGGACATAGGCCCGGGTGCGGGTGACAGACTGACAAGAGTTAAAGATCTGCAGCAGTCAGAACACCTTACTCTTGTCCTGGAGAGCAGTGCGGAGTACTCCGTACATACAACAATAAATCCGTCGTTCAGATCCCTGCCTCTCATAATTGCAATAATAATTAATGACTTGCATACTGGAGCACAAAGGCTTTTGTCTCAGCTCGTTCTGGTCTGATCCGTTTCAACCGAGCTCGGACGCACTCAATTGACGGCTCTCATTTGCCAATGTATTGATTGGATGGATTGATGATTGGATCGGTTCCGACTCGACTAGATCGGGAATAGTTACTTTGGTTAGTGTTGACTAACTTAGCCAAATTGACTACTCCGTAGTTACTTTGTCGTGATTATTGTTGGGTGGAGATGAGAAGTCTAGAAGGACGGGCCACATGCAAGCCACGTCAGTGTCGGAGACTAGAGAGTTGGTTAGTTTATTGTAGAGGGAGTTAGGATAGTCTACTTTGTAACTAGTAGCGGAGGGATCGCGAATGAAACAATTCCAATGTCTTGAGGTATTTAGTGACTTTTATTTTACCCGAGTCGAGACCATTGGGGTCTAGTTTGCTTACTTACTTAGTTTAGAGTAGACCATTCCGTTGTGATACTAGATAAGTTACTTGGGGACTTAGTGTGGTGGTTAGATTAGATTGCGAGCCAGCCCCTATTCCATTCATGGTGGAACTTCCGGTGTCGCGGCGGTGCTTGGCTTTCGGTTCTTCCGTGCTTACGGGTACACTTACACTGCTTGTGCTTGTTGCTGTTGCTTGTCTCTCTTGCACTGCATAAGACTTAGATAAGGTGATGTCTCATGTACGACGAGCCAATAGTTCATCACATGAGCTAGTTACAGAGTAAAACAGCTTGAGGGTAAATAATGTACATGAAGTCCACAACCAAATCCACGGAGAAAATCCAGTATTATTGCATCTCATTCATCCACCATTAAGATAGAAGAGAGAATATACGAATGTTCAGTTATTAGAAAACTAAAAAGAAAAGAAAATCGGACAAAACAAGGGTATAATCATGTCTCCACCTCCTCACTAACCACCCACGTCCTCACCTCCCGAATAATCCCCGCCTGACTGGACTGACTATCATCATCCGACAACCTCGCTGCCGATACCGTCGTAATGTTCCCCTGTCCAGCCCCCATTCCCACCAGCTCGTGCTCTCCACTGCGTGTATACTTGCTCTCTGTGCGATTCGCCGACCGTGTCGTCGACCATTTTGATCTGTTGTTCGTCGATCGGTAGTCCACGCCTTGGATCCGGAGGCCGTTCGATTTGAGCATGTTTAGGAATGGTTTCAGTTGCGCCCAGCAGGCTGTCACGATGCTGAGACATTGGATCGTTTCCACGCTGATGGTTACCCCCCAGGTGGAGAAGGAGGGGTCATGGGTTGCGTCGTTTTGAGAGACTAGGATGAGTTCCACGATGCTGATGAGGATAACTCTGTTCGGAGGATTGGTTTGGTTAGTGGGTGATACATTTGGGTAATGGGGGATTGGACTGACAGGACTCGAGATAAAAAGATACTTGCGAACACGAACTTGCGTTTCCAGGACGTTTGGATGCGCGCGATCAAGTAGAGCGCCTGCGAGGTGATCATGGTGTCGGTCACAATGTTCATGATTCCCGTAAAGTAGTGCCATGCTATCTGTTGGGCTGGTTAGTGTTGTCGCCCTCTTGTTGGTGTATACTTGCGGGTGGTGGGAGATAATACCAGGTTCATGCATTTCCCCGTGTAGTAATTCCAGGTCCTCGGTACGCTGCATTGAAAGGCGGTTCCCAGTAGACATATCACGGCCATAACGGTCACCGATATTTGCACCACGTTGGCGACGCGATGATCTTTGGCTGTCGGCGTCAGGTTGCGGATGAAACATGAAAGGGATATCTTCGAGAAATAGAGACTAGGGATGTAAAGGAGAGCGGCGGCGTATTGCGACTGAATTGATACCGATTGTTCTTCAGTGAGGATCCCGGGGGGTTGAGGCGACTGCGGAAAGGCATATTTCATACTGGTGCAGGTGTAGCTCATACCTTCATCATGTTGTCGAAGCGCTCCGGGGTGAGCGTGGAGAAGTGGTATCCATATCCGTTTGCGACAGCCATCGATACAGCGATGGATTGGCCGATACAGAAGATCTGTGGCGCCCCATCCAGAGCAAGTAGTTAGCCTGCTGGAGCTTTGTGAGGGTCTAGGCGGAAGATCGACATACCAGCGATACAACTATGAGATAGTCATCGTTTGTGAGCGTGCGGAACGAGCCGTACTTGGTCCCCAGTCGAAAGATGACGCTCAGCGACGCAGTCACGAGCAGGAACCATGTCGATACATTGACGGCCGGATCTTTGGTGTCTCCAGTGAACCGTCCCATGAAGGGCAATCAGAGTGCTGACGCTGATTCTCGGCGGGAATCATGTCACGCCAGTGATCTGGATTGCTGGAGATAATAAGAGTCGGCTGACGGCGCTGGGTTGGGTCTTGCGAGACCGGGCACGATCTAGAGTAAATAATAATACGGAGTACCGGTGCCGAGAAATCGATCGATGCAGGGCCTTTGACTGAGGTAGATTATCGCCCGGAAGCACCAGGGAAAGGGAGGTAGCCGGGCAGTCATTCTGGTGTGGACAGAGAGGGTTCTTGGAAAACGCCCCCTCCTCCTGAGGAAGGATGGGAAATCGCATGGCCAGCTGGGATCAGGATCCTGGTGCGTTCATTTGTCAACCGAGCGGCCGTCATCAATTGGAGTAATGCCAATAGACTTTGGCTACTCGAGAGAAAGTCTGACCAGGATGGTGGTTGATTGCATGGAAGCCGACGGTGAGACGACGGCGGGGGACAACCCTGGTCGGGTTTAATTTACTCTGGGCTGGCCAGTTTTTCTTCGTATCTTGGCCCGACCTTCGACCGGCGGATTAATTGTCCCCCTCCAGATATTCTCGATATTAATGTCTGTTATTAGTCTTCGCGCCGACCACGGTCCCGTCTTCCACTCCATCTAGGTGAGCCTAATTTCTCTTATCCGCCTGCCTTCTTTGTCGTGTTTCCCGCTCAAGCGATTCGCGGTACCACATCAGCACTAGATCCTTGGATCGATCCAACACACGCGGCCAGACAAATGAACTATGCAGGTGCTCACAGAGATCTTCTTTGATGTGCTGGCTGCTTCTAAATACGATCATATCAAACTGGCATTCATGCCCATAAGCATGTAAGCATGGGACTTAGGGGAGAAAGGAGGGAGGGCAATTGGAATGCTGGCCGGCCTGGCTCGATAGAACTAGGATATCATGCGGTCGCAGAGGCGAGTCCCGCCGGAAGAAATGATAGCTGAGTCCGAGGCAGGCCCACCAGTCACAAATGCCAGTCACGATTGATTCTGGCTCAATTAGCAAAGTCCGGCCCATGCAAGGTGTCTGCGCCGGGCGGGGACTGGGGCCTGCCATCCATCCGTTCTCTAGTCTAGCTTCCAACGCTAGATTAGCAGCACCCCGTTAGATTAGTAGACCGGGGGTGGTCCCGATGGCCTCCACTTGCCACTCACTGACCCTACTACCCACAAGGTACATACTAGTATAGTAGAGGTGGTTAGTGGTTACATCTCCCCTATCGGGCCTGGCCTGACCCGCCTCCAGAAAGCTTACCGCGTGCAGCGTTCAGCTTCTGTTATTGTTCAGGGTCATTGTTGGTTACCCCTGGACGCATATAACCATCGGGCTCCGGCTGGTGAACCCGGCGCCCTCCGTGCGTGTATGGACGCCCCAGTGCACATGCTAAGCAACGACACTAGACACGGTAGTGGCGTTGGAATGCTGCATCTCGACTAACGGCCTTAATTTCTGCTGCATCTCGGTTCTTGACGTTGCAGTGGACTAGGTGGCCAGTTGTCTGTTATATTAAACGGTCGCTCCCTGGACGCCGCGCTGCGTCTGCAACTCTCCGCCCTCACGCCGGTCGTGGTCTCTGCAATTGAGTTTTCATCATGGCGTCCTACGAATTGAAGAACCGAGCCAGCTCGGCCAACCGAGAGGTAAACGGTACCGACTCGGAAGATGCGCGTGATAACTTGGCTCTTGCACGTTTGGGCAAGAAGCCTGTCCTGAAGGTATGTCCCCAGCCATTCAATATTATGCTGTGGGCTTAGGGAAATTGATGTTTTTCTTGTGCTCTTGCAGCGGAACTTTGGTATCCTCTCGATTATCGGTCTCAGTTGTACCATTCTCGGCACATGGGAGGGTATTCTATCGTAAGGCCATCTAAAATTATGAGAGTCCAGAATATTGCAGCTGACAGAGACTAGGACGTTCACCATTCCCCTCGAAAAGTCGGTTATTCCATGTACAGCCCTTGATCGCACCATGGGTGTAGCTGACTGAACAAATAGTGGTGGATCTGCTGGTGCGGTATACTCTTTTATTTTTGCATGGACGGGAACGGCCTGCTGTTTCGTGCTGTTGTCCGAAATGGCGTCCATGTAAGTGGAAATCAAAAGATCCATTCCCTGGTGGTAAACTGACCTGCCAAGGGCGCCGACTTCCGGAGGCCAATATCACTGGTGTGCCATGCTTGCGCCTTATAAGCATATGAAGTTCCTAAGTTACATCACAGGTGCGCTCTTCCGTTCCCCTGTTACAGCGACCGTGTAATGTACTGATCATCACTGCAGGATGGTTGACCGTGATCGGATGGCAGGCCGCCTTCGCATCGTCGTCCTACATGGCTGGCACTGAGATCCTGGGTGCCATTATCTTGGGCCGGAACACCTTCAACTCTGAGCCCTACCAGGGTACCCTTCTAATGTGGGCGGTTGTGGTCGTGGCCCTCATTGTGAATATTATCGGAGGAAAGTTCCTGCCTCGCCTGGAAACCCTCATCCTCATGATCCACATTCTGGGATACTTTGGTGTGCTCATCCCCATGACTTATATGTCCGACCACAAGTCGACCGAGGAGGTCTTCAAGGACTTTACCAATGGCGGACACCTCTACACCGACGGTCTGTCCTTTTTCGTCGGTATGACCGGTTGTGTGTTTGCCTTTGCGGGCGGTGATGCTGCCGTGCATGTAAGTTGCCATCATCAGCAGAAAAGACAGTGTCTAACTCGTATAGATGGCCGAAGAAGTGAATCATGCCACGGTCGTCATTCCCCGTGCCATTCTTCTCAGTGTTGCAATCAACGGCACCTTGGGCTTCACCATGCTGATCGCCACTCTCTTCTGCATGGGCAGTGTTGATGCGGCCCTGGAGTCTCCCACAGGCTACCCTTTCATGGAGATCTTCCAGCAAGCAACCGGTTCGGTCGCAGGTGGACTGGGCTTGTCCTCCATCCTCGTCATCGTCGGTATCTGCGCCGCCCTGGCCATGTTGACAGCCACCTCCCGCCAGTTCTGGTCGTTTGCTCGCGACCGTGGTGTCCCTGGCTGGCGAGTCTGGAGCCACGTATGTCCCGCCTATCTCTTACCCCATACTACAGAGGACATCGCTAATATCAACACAGGTCTCCAATCGTACCTTCCTCCCCACTTACTCCATCCTCCTCACCATGACCGTTTGCTGCCTGCTCGGTCTGATTAACATCGGCTCCGCCGTCGCCCTCAACGACGTCGTCTCCATGGCTGTCTCGGGTCTGTACTCCTCCTATCTGATCGTGGCGGTTCTTCTTCTCTGGCGTCGCTGCACCGGCGCCATCAACAACTACAACGCCAGCGACGACACCGTCGTCAATGTCCCCGGCGCCAAGCTCATGTGGGGTCCGTTCCACGTCCCGGGCATCTGGGGTATTCTCATCAACACTTATGCGGTGATCTACATCGTTATCGTCATCTTCTTCAGTTACTGGCCCACCGAGTTGCCGGTGTCGGTAACGACGATGAACTACAGTGTGGTGGGTACGATGGGAGTCGTCATTCTGGCTATTATCTATTATGTGGTGAGGGCTCGTCATGTCTACACGGGTCCTGTTATTGAGATCTCGTGAGGATGAGAGCGGAAGATGTGTCAGGTAGTGAAAGAGGGAAGCGGGTGGGAAAGCACAAGGGTTAGGCGAATGAGCGTGCTTTCGGTATCGTTTTTAATTCTCTCTTCGGGATTTTGCTGTTTAATTTGGCACTAGGCTGCGTATATCAAAAGTTACATAGTATTCCCTTTCCTAGAAATAATATTCAGCACTATTTTACTGCACTAGCTGGGGTCTGATGCTACCTGATGAAGCCCTGCTTCAGGCTGAAAGAATAATGTTCGGGTAGTACGACGCATGCGTTCACAATCGCCTAATTCTCTCTTTATCGTCACTGGGGACTGCGATAGCCATAATAGGCTGAATGTCCGTCTCCCCGACTATTCCCCGAGAAATATCGCTTGGGGTCATTAGCATGTGACTGAGACCGAGCGCCATGTGCGGCCTCGGGATGAGCATGTGCTTTAGTGTTGCCTTATAAAGTAAAATAATAAGCAAGTCTTCAACAGCAAAGGGGCTGTGGTTTAGTGGTATAATATTCCCTTAGCATGGGAGAGGTCCGGGGTTCGATTCCCCGCAGCTCCAGCTGTTCTTTTTGTCTTTTTTTGGTCGCTACCCGCAGCAGTCCCACTTTCCATTTCACACGGGGTGATGGAGACATTCTCGTTTTTTTTGCCCCTGATCTTGGACAACTATGCTCCACGCTCTAGATCGAGATCTCCCAGCAACCCTGGAGGGAATCCCTGGATATTTAACACATTCTCAAGCAGCGGGTGACCCACTGTTCTTTCACCTACTCAAATCCTCTATAGGAGTCTAACATAACGTCAGCTTATGTACTGCACAACAGCCTGGCTAGAACAAGTAGCATCGACACGGTACAACCCGAGTATGTCTTTTTCTCTCTTACGTAGAGTGTATATGCCCGGTAGCATGGAGGGGCAAGTAGTTGTTTATACTCTACACCGGCGCCGCTGAAGTCATGGACCCAGATCACTAAGTTCCGGGGTATATGAAGCTTGCTCCCTGCAGTCATTTTGTCCAGGAGTCACTTCCATATACTGCATTGCACCCATGATAGAAGCCATCATCCTTCATGTCAAGATGCACCCAACCCTCAGATAATCCACCCATCTCACAAGCATCACAATGGATCCAACCCCAGTAACGGACTTCATCCACGACACCTTCGACTTCATCATCGTCGGCGGAGGCACCGCAGGCCTTGTCCTCGCTGCTCGTCTATCCGAAGATCCCAACATTCGCGTTGGAGTCATCGAAGCCGGGCTCTCGCGACTAGGTGATCCGAAGGTGGACACACCTACCGGAATGGCCATGGCCCTGAAAGATCCAGAGTACGACTGGTGCTTCCAGACTTCACCACAGGTATGTCCTATCCACTATCAGACATGAGATAATATCCAAGCTCACAATCAGCAAAATGTAGAGCGGCGCAAACAACAAAACCTACGCCACCCATCGCGGCAAAATGCTCGGTGGTTCCAGTGGCTTCAACTTCATGATGTCCGGGCGACCCACGGAGGAAGAGATAAACGACTGGGGCAAGGCCACGGGAGTAAAAGGGTGGGAGTGGTCTGATTTACTGCCGTATATCAAGAAGCATGAGAGGTTAGAGGTGGATCAGCCGAATATTATGTCCCGGGATACAAATATCTGTCCGCTAGAACCTGGTCTACATGGGACTGATGGACCGATTCACCATTCGTTTGGGACTTGGCACCCGCCGTTTGAGAAGGTTCTCATACCTGCTCTTGACACTGTCTCGGGATTATCGCGACCAGAGAATCCATATGCGGGAAACCACCTGGGGTTCTATCGCACGCTGTTCACGATCGATCGCACCGGCAAACCAGTACGCAGCTACGCTGCGAGCGGATACCTAGCTCCGAACGCCGGTCGTTCGAATTTACGGGTCCTGACAGACGCGCTCGTATGCAAGGTCACGCTCGGGACGAACGAGCACAGCGAACGTCAGGCGACGGGCGTGGAATTCCTGCATCAGGGGACGTCGTATACCGTGCGTCCACGCAAGGAAGTCATCCTCAGCGCAGGCACAGTACAGAGTCCACAGCTCCTAGAGTTATCAGGGATAGGCGACCCGAATGTCCTAGGCCGGATCGGCATCCCCTGCATCGTTCCGAACATGGACGTGGGAAATAATCTCCAAGAGCAGGCGCTGTGCTCCGTCGTGTATGAACTAGCACCGGGTTATACCTCTGTCGACTCGCTACTCCGTTATCATGCTGTCTTCGCGGAACACCAGAAACTATATGAAGAGGAACACACCGGTGTATTGTCCGGACCGTTAAGTATAACGGGCTACACACCCTACGCGACACAGGTTGAGAAAGAGGACCTCGAGAAAACTGTCGCCTGTTTCCTCGATCCCAAGAACGCGTCCACGAAACAGGACACTGTCCTCCAGAATAAACAACGGAAGATCATCGCAGCACGTATCCAGGACCCTACCTGTCCCTGTATTCAGTACATGTGCGCGCCCGAGAACTTCGATACGGCCCGCGCGGTTGATAACCTCGGCGCAGTCATGCCCGGTCCGCCGTCTGGGTTTAATGACTGCTACTCTATCACGACGAGCCAGATGCATCCTGTGTCTCGGGGCCGGGTGCACGTTGTATCGGATGATCTGAAGCAAGCTCCAGATATTAGTCCGGGGCTGTTGGCTCATCCGGCTGATGTGGATGTGCTTGCTGCGGGGGTTAAGTTTGCTGATAGGGTGTTTCGGTCGGGGTTGATTGGGGATAAAGTTGCGAGGAGGGTGAGACCGGATCCGGGGGTGGATGTTGGTGTCAGGGATCAAGCGAAGGATTTTGTGAGGGAGAATGCGGTTCCATTTCAGCATTTGGTTGGAACGTGTGCTTTGGGGATGGTGGTGGATGAGAGGTTGAGGGTGAAGAGGGTCAAGGGTTTGAGGGTTGTTGATGCGAGTGTTGTGCCTATGATGGTGAGTCCGTCGTTGGCGGCGGTGGTGTATGCTGTTGCTGAGAAGGCGGCGGATTTGGTGAAGGAAGATTGGGGGTTGGTTAATGAGTAGGGGAGTTGGTATGCTTTGCGGGTTGTATGTTTGCAGGGGAATCACATTCACTATGGTGTTTGTTGACTAGCAAATTGGACTGGGCCGTTATTCAGTCTACCAAGAGTGTCGAGTACAGTGGTATTTGCTTGTTGTTCTTCTATTTGTAATCTCTGTATCAGATTTCACCTTTCAATATTCAGATCCAAGCATTAGTTATTAGACATTGGCCATATGCAACCAAATAGCACCCCAGATGGCCATCATCATAGCACAATATGTACAGCCCACACAATCTCACCTCACGCACCAAGCTCATTCCGAGGCGTTCCCATTATCTCGCTCACCGGTCTATGATTTGACACCTCTTCTATACCTTCCGTGTCGAAAGACGGAGAAGGCAGTTCCGCGATTACTGTTTCCGCCCTGGACATGCGAGTATCCAAGGTATCCTTTGCCGCGCCAACCATCACAGAGGGTGTTGGTTCATCCGAATTTGGAGTCTCGTCCAACCCCCTCGCTCTTTGCGATCGACGGCGATACAAAAAGATTAATGCCCCAATGATGGACATAGCCAACACTCCTAGCGGGACCCCGAGACCAATCCCAACTTTCTGTGCGACAGTAAGACCACTGCTATTATCGGCAGTAGAGGGGATAGAGGACGCTGCTGTTGTCTCGGCCACCGCGGTGCTGGTACCATGTGAAGAGGACGTAGATGTGGATGTTGCAGAAGTAGTGCTGGAAGTGCTGCTAGAAGTGCTGCTGGTCGGGTCGTACATGTTGTAAAATTCGGGTGGGGGGTCATCTTTCTGACGCTTGCTCACACCGAACTTGACACTGGTGAGTACTGGTGGGTCAAGATTACCGAACATGTCCAGTGAATCGAGCTCGAACGCGCAGCCGGACTCTCTGTAGTTGTCGCGGGTTGCGTTCCAGACGTAGCTGTAGGGGTTGGTGACGTTTACTATGAATATATCAGTCAGTGTTCAATTGAGGCAGCCGTAGGTGTACAGACATAGCAGAGATATCTTGGTGTTGCACACTTCATAGAGAGAAACGCGCGATGTCACCACATCCCATGATACATTGACCAGGTCTCCCACGATGAATTCATATTCGGTTGCTGTCGGATAGGTGAAGCTCTCTGCTTGAACAAGGCATCTGTATTGAAGGACAAGCAGAATGCATACGTAGTTTGCGATTCTGCTGGAATCTCGTTGGAACATCATTTTGGACCTCGTTCGTCCAGCATGCATGGACATAATCAGAACAGCATTGATTCTCAGCAGGAGGTTCCGATCTTTTGAGAGATCCGATAATTGAGTTAATTACTGTCTCAGCCACCCCGGGCTGCTGTTCTGTTTTTATCGTGCGGGGAAAGGCTATCCCTGCAAGTCACCGTCTTCGCGTTACCCAGTTAGTCCGGCTAGCCAAGATCATGTGAATTCGGGGCGAGGGTTCAATTCATCGCCTGCCATGGGTCATCTCAGGCCTCGAGGCTCAGAATAGATCGTGGGCAGTGCTTGGGGGTAAGTATTTGTTAACTATGTCGTTCTTCTAGCAACAAGAGGCCAGGGTTACATGGTAGATGGGTTGATCATGCGATGCGTCTGCGCCGCTGTGGCTTGGCTGGGATGGTCGGGGTGGTGATAGCTCATCTTTCGAGTAGTAGCAGATGGATGTTGGGGTTTACCTGCGTCTTCAAGCCCGCCGGTATCTAAGATTGGTGTATTTTCATAGTTGTAAGGCATCTCGCTCTGTCTGTAGGGTAGATGAACAATTACTTTGCTATTCCAGAGAAGCTACCCATCCTCTGAGTGTGCTATTGTTTCCTGGTTGAGATTAGGATAAGACAAGACTATTGCACATCCTAGATACACTTGTTCATGAACATGGATATTTTTGAAAATATGTACTTTGCATGTGGAGGCCATCACTAGCCTATGGTCAGCCTGGGGCCTCGTGCGGTTGACAAGGGATGTCAGTCCTTGAATGCTTCGGGTGTAGAGATTTTTTTTTTTTTTTTTTTTTTTTTTTTTTATTCCAGCGACAGTGTGAGAAGGCGGCTCTTAAGCAGGGTTACGATTTCGTATGATGGGCCTGTATCGCCTGGGCGAGAATCGGCATTGGTACATGGACAAACTGGGAATACTAAGTAGTACTCAACTGACAGAGGGGCCAGCATTGAGCTGCCTATTTTGGTAAGTAAACATGGGCTAAGCGAAGAATGCAGTGATTGGCCAGTCAGATACCGGAATCAAACGAGACAAAAATCACGGGAGGAGAAATGAGGACAAAAAGTGAAAAATACAAAAAATGGAGCTGCGGGGAATCGAACCCCGGACCTCTCCCATGCTAAGGGAATATTATACCACTAAACCACAGCCCCTTTTTGTTGAAGGATGCCTTCATTTTTTGCTATATGACACACATCTACTTTTCGGGTTCGAATGCTCGCTAATCTTGCTTATGGATGGCCACCGTAGCCTACCACATACTGTACCTCAAAGGAACGGGCCTTCCTTCATGATTATACCTACTTTTTACCCCAACCGTTGGTGCCGCGAGCTTATTTGGTGCTAATAGCTTGTCGTTGGTGTTGTGGACCCAGCACTGCTCTCAAGTCAGTCTCCGATGGCAGTGGTTATATATTTTCACTTCGCAGTTGACGGATGTTCCGCGTTTGCTGGCAGCATTACGACACCCCAGAAAAGAAAATACTACAAATGACATGAACATACGTCTAGGATAGCTCCTATAAATCAAGGTCCGACATATGCCCCGTTAAGCTAGCTTATATAGCAGGTATGGTGAGGATTTCTCGCGATGCCTAATTGGCAGTCGGCACTCGGTGCCATGCAAGGGATCGGGTACAGCTGCGTAGCAGACAACAGCCCAAACTGCACCAAAGCCATGAACTCACCTGGTTTAGCAACTAGAAGTGGGATTCCTGCTAGTATTTATTACAATGCGACACCTTTCTTACTTACCGACTGGCATTGCAAGTTTCCTGGGTATGTCTACCGGTGGATTAAGCCCGGGATACCCGACCACTATGGACAATAGCAGCATACTCCTGGCCCAACAGCTACCGCAGAAGATCGATATCCACCATCACTTCGTGCCCGATTTCTTTCGTCAGGGTATGTAGACAATTTGATATCGATCGAAAACCCCACACTAATTAGTGTTACGCACATGCAGCCGTCGAAGATGCAGGCGGCGACCCGACGGGCTTGCCAGTTCCCGCATGGACCGTCGAGGACTCTCTCCAGAACATGCGGGACAATGGCGTTCGAAAAGCCATACTTTCTTTGACCACTCCAGGTGCAGTTGTCACAGGCAACAGCAATACGGCGCGGTCGCTAGCTCGAAGGGTCAATGAATATGCCGCCAGCTTGCGCGACCAGTACCCCGAGCAGTTCGGATTCTTCGCTGCGCTGCCATCTCTTCTGGATGTACCCGGCACCCTGGCTGAAATCGAGTATTCGCTCGACACCCTTAGAGCCGACGGAGTCACCGTGTTCACTCGCTACGGCGATGGAAACAACTACCTAGGTCATTCTCAGTTCACTCCCATCTGGAAGGAACTAGATACCCGAAAAACCGTGGTCCATATCCATCCTACCATGCCCGAAGACACCAATTGGATTGATCCTATCATGCCACCTCCAATGCTTGACTTTCCGCAGGAGACTACACGGACTGCCATAGACATGATTGTTAGTAATGTCACGCAGCAGTTCCCGAACTGTCCCAAGGTCTTGTCGCACGCGGGTGGGACCTTGCCGTATCTGATCTCGAGGGTGGCTGTGACTTCTCGGGATACGATGGCCGCAAAGGGTCCTTATGGCAAGACCTACTTTGAGTTGATGGAGGCACTGCGCTCGTTTTATTACGATCTTGCTCTGTCGAGTGCTCCCGCGGTCTTGAATCTTTTGCTGGATTTGATACCGCATGACCACATTATGTATGGTGAGTGTTTCCATCCATGGCATATATTGATAGCTGCTAAAGAAGTAGGATCCGACTATCCGAATGCCCCGCCAATTAAAGTAGCTGGTTACCGGGAGAATCTGGATGCGTTCCATATGAATGAAGAGCTTCGGGACAAAGTTTATTTTGGGAACGCGCAGAAACTCCTATCTAGAGATTGATCTCGGAACGTCGGCTGGGGGAGTTGTATGTCCCAGACTCGGACCACAATATGACAACCTCTAATGGTTACTGCTTAATGGATTCAAATATGCAGAAAGATATGATAAGAGGATACATGACGTAAGGCTTGTTTATGCATCTGCCACTAGTTAATAACTAGACGTACCGCAATGTTGCAAGGGAAGGTGTTGGATTGTAAGCCATGCAGCTACGCCGCCCAGTCCTCTATACCACACATAATCTAATACCGAAACTTCTGCCCAACAAGCCCCTCACTCAACCTCCACAAAGCATCCACACTCGCAGGATCCCGAGCATGCTCCGCAGCCTCACTAACCACACTATTTTGCATGTACACCGGCGCCAGAGCCTGCAACTCCGGATCCAAAGCGGCAATCAACGGAGTAGCCGCAATCTGGGTATACGTTTTGAACCGAGGCTCCTCGAAAACAAACTCCTTGCCGGTATTCCGTATCGCAACCGCAGAGATCTTAGCGTAGTCGTCCCAAGTAAGGTGACTGCCAAGTTTAGTATCTCCGTTATAGCCTGGATGAACAGCAACGGCTGCAATCCCCTTATGCTTTAGCCGCTGGCTTAAGCCATAGGCGAATAATATATTGGCTGTTTTAGCCTGCCCGTACCCAGTCCATGGGTCGTATTCTTTTCCGTTGGAATAGTTCCAGTCCTCGAACCGGAATGGCGAGACGAGGTACCCGGCGCTGGTTAGATTGACCACGCGCGCGGATCCAGCAGATATGAGAGCCGGGATGAGCATGTTGGTGAGTAAGAAGTGACCAACGTGGTTGGCAGAGAGTTGTAGCTCTATCCCCTGCTTGTCGAGGGTGTATTCCTTGATTGCCATGACCCCGGCGCTGTTGATCAGGACATCGATCTTGGGTGCCGCAGCGAGAATTTCATCTGCGGCGCGGCGAACGGATTCATGATCTGTCAAGTCCACCTCTACCGCTGTAGTTTTTATGGTGCTGTCGATGGCGTGGATCTCATCCAACACTGGATGAACTTTGCTGAGGGTGCGTGAGGCAATGAGGATATGTGATGGCCCGGCTTTGGCTAGAGATGTAGCCATCTGGCTGCCGATACTGGGCTTGCCGGCGCCGGTGATGACGAAGGTCTTGCCTTTGATGTTAGACTTGAAGGCTTCGATGACCTGTTCGCTGGTGGCTGATGCGTCGAAATGGGGCATGGTGGATACTTGACGATACGTTGAGTTGGTTTATTCTAAAGCTGAATAGAATGAGAATGTAATGAGATTTTTGTCTGAGTCTACAGAAGGTCTTCTATGGCTTTATATTGTTAGGAGCGTTTTGATTCTAAGCTGGAAGTCCCGTCTCTGCCAGATCCACTGGCCCCGGGGCTACATCTTGATCGTCCACCGAACCTGCTCACTGCTTAGAAATAAAAAAAAGCTACATGGAAAAATCACCAGGAGATAAACTGTCATCAATCGTAAACTCCGAGCCTCGATCCCTAGAATACGACCTGCTTACACCCCCACACAACTTGGTAGGTAGTTAAAGTTGGCGCAATTTGTAATCTTAGGAGGAATAATTATAGCGTCTTAAAAAGATCTCACAAAATATATTGTTTTACTCATGATGCAAAATAACAAGCAGATCTTCAACAGCAAAGGGGCTGTGGTTTAGTGGTATAATATTCCCTTAGCATGGGAGAGGTCCGGGGTTCGATTCCCCGCAGCTCCAGCTGTTTCTTTTTGTATTTTTTTGGTTCGCTACCCGCTTCCCTCCATGCTTTGCATTACTGTTATCCGCACTGTGAATAAGTTTTCTTCCTTATCCCTGAGTATTGTGTGCTAGACCCTAGTAGACAGCCTTGTTGGATTCTGTTTTCTAGCTTGCTAATTACGACCGACCATCAGTGTAGCCAGTCGTGCTTCAGCAACTGGATTGGTACATCTACTTCACTGCAGCCCTGATCTCATCGCCTACAATTACCCACTTCGATGCAATGTGAGTAACCCAATGCAACCGATTACTACCACCCCTGAGCACTTTTCACGCCATCCATAACCACCTTCAAAACGCTTTGTGGAGCCTTTGTGGAGCCTTTGTGGAGACCTCTCAAAAGAAACGCGAGACTCGACTTCCATGCTCTAGTGCCTTAGACCTTAAACCAGAAGACGGAGAGTGTTCTACTGGCACTATAAGGAAAAGTATCACAAATCTAAAGATAGAATTGCTTCACATCTACTTAAATTGAGGCGAGCTTTAGAGACTAACAGCACATGACGGGTAGCTCATCACCATCGTCATCTAGTAGGACGGAAGGCACCTTGCTATTCCATACATATACCACGCGGCATTGAACATAAGCCGTCTAGCCTCCTGATCGAGCGGCACTGTCCGTTGCACCCACATAAGTAGCCTTTGCCAGTGTCTCCACCTCGTGAAACCATATCGAGGACCTGTATAGTACGTACCAGTTCTCCACATATCGTTATCATGTATCTCGTCAAGCTTAGGTGCTCGAGCGACCTCCTCAAACAACCATTCCCCAGCAAACAGGACAATTATCGCAGCACCCTGTATGGATACCGTATCCATATCGTCTGGCAGCGTATCTTCCAAGGCGGCCCTCATTTCACTGACTAACCAAGCCTGAGCTTGCAAAACTCCCACTCTGCAAAGCCGCGCTATGAAGGCCCGAACGTTAAGGAAGTGCTCTTCGTTTCTATCCCTGTCCATTTCTATGCATTTGTCAGTCTTCAAAGAATACTGGTATTGGGGGATAGCATGACGGGGGCTTTATTGCACGCAACCAGGTGCTGTGTATAACGCACGGGTTCTAGCAAAGGAAAGGAAGGAAACCCAGACGTACGAGGCGCAGAATAATGTACTAAGCTGAGCGCCATTTGTGGCATAGTTTCATAGCGACCGAATTCCTGCTACTAGATGTCAATTTCGCTGGCTCAGGCTATGCCGGCTTCTAGGCAGCCATGACTCACACCGGCACCGGCACGTCGTGGTAAATGTTTTTTCACGCGGTCCGACTCTTGCAGTCTTTGAATAACCCGCACAAAGCGGTCTTGAGCAGCATTGTCGTACTCGATCTGCTGAGATAACTCGAGTATGAGGTTTCCGAACAAGTCAGCTCCACCGGGGAAAGCAGGGTCATCTGGTGGGGGGAGCAGATCATGAAGCGCTTGGGCAGTTTCCTCTATGGTAACGGTAGAGTGTGGCACTAGGAACTCCTCTATGATCCGAAAAGCTCCCAATCGCGAATAATTGCCTCTCATCGCCCGGTTGTATTCGTTTTCTCCACCGTGCAATACCAACCAAGCCATGGTGTCCTAAACGAAAGAATGAATTTGGGGTTGTTTTCAAGCAGACAGTGTAATCAAGGGAGTGTGAACGAATGTTTGTTCTCTGAAAAGACTGAACAAGTAGCTGGATGATAGCAGAGAATGTAAGATATTGAATTGACCAAGAAACAAGTCTCTTCGGTGGGCCAGAAGACATAATCTCGGCCAGGATACTAGGATGGCGCGAGGGGATCGAATTCGGCAAGCATGGACGGCCGTGAACGTCCCTTCCACCATGGATTGAAGTGCTTACTCAGTCCTAAGAGATAACTTCAATACAACTCATCTATCCAGCGAGATTGAGTACCAAACTACAAACAACAACCTTAGAACGACCACTGCTTCAACCAATTCCTCATATCACCTCCCGTAACGGGTCCCAATGCAGCCATAGTCTCGCTTGCCTCTTTTGACTTATCTACCTCAAGTGGCACCAAAAGCGTAGTATCTTCCGCAAACCCACGATAGAATTCAAATAGCTTGAGAGCAGGCTTCTCTGCGATATCCTGCTCCGATGGGTCTTTCACGCCCAATTCTTCGAGATGTTTGACCCACGTTGCGAAAGCCACCGGCTTCATGTCCGGGTATACCTCTTTGATAGTAGGAACGAGTGCTTCCCAGGTTGTTTTTGATGGGTTGACGAGGTGGAATACTGCGTGTGGGGAAAATGGATCAGTTGTAGAAGCGCGGGTGTGGATAATTTCGGTGATTATGCGGGCGAGTGTGTCCTATGCATTACAGTACATTAGCAGCTAGGCATAGCAATTCATTACTAAACGGGAGATGGAAGGGGGTATTACCACGGCAATCCAATCAACAACCCTCGAACCCAACGTATTCGGGACCAGTCCTATCGCCTTTGATGTCTTGATAATGGTAGGAAGCCAGTCCTGGGGATTCCATAGACCTTTTGTTGTGGTCGGACCTGCTATCTGTCCCACGCGATATACGGTAGTCGGGACGCCCGACCTGCGGCTTGCCTTATGACATATCCGCTCGGAGATGTACTTGGATTCCCCGTATCCTTGACTTGGACATGCCTTGCTATCTTCGAGTGGGCTTTCAGGGATCGTTGATCCCATGTCCCAGGTCCAGGCGCCTACAGTGCTTACTGATGAAATGAAGTGAATATGCGCACGATGAGTACTCCGGAGACTGAAGTCAATGAAGTACCGCACGCTGCGGATGTGCGGGTCTTCAAACGAGTCGACGCTGTGATTGAAGTCGACTTTCCAGGCGTTGTGGATTATTGTTGTTACGGTGGTGAGGAGGGCGTCATATTTCACCGAGGAGAGACCAAAGTGTGGGTCACTGAAGGGGACGGTGAGGTATTCCACCTTGTTGAGGGCAGTTGAAGTGATGTGAAGACCCTTTTGTTGGAAAATAATTTCTTGTTTGGACTGGGCGTCGCTGCGGTTGAAGCAGTAGACTTTGGCGACGCTCGGGTCTTCGAGAAGGGTGTGCAGGAGGTAGGTTCCCAGCGAACCGGTGGATCCTGTAAGAATGACTGTAGATTTTGTAGGTGTGCTTGAAGTCTGACGTGAAATGAAGTCCTGGGTTGGTAAGTCGGAGGTGTATTTTTCAATAAGAGTGTTGAGCTTCTCGGGGTGGGAGATCTCTGTCGCGTTATCACCGTTCAGCAGCCGCAGAACCAATTGTGCCAGCTTTTCCACGGTTGGATTTGCGTAGACCATTTGGGTCGTCAGCTCGTCTGAGCCGGCACCATCGCGGAATAGATGTAGGGCGCTGCGCAGATACTTCGCGACCTGGATGGTTTGTAACGAGTCGAGACCAAGTTTGTAGAGGTCTTCCTGCGGACCAAAGTCGGATCGCTGGAAAATCCTCGTAAACAAGTCGTGAATGTATCTACTCAGATTAGAAAGGTCTAGACTTGCTGGAAGCTCGTCCACATCAACTGTCTCCTCGTCAGTCGTGGTGTAGATGTCGTCAATCTCATCAGTATAGTCTTTAATTACAGCAGCTCTTCGCGTCGAACCTTTTGGGGTAGTTTGGAATGGCCTGTCCCTCTTCGAAAGAGCGATCTTGTCTTTCAAGATTCGTCCGTGGGCTGCTACGGTTTTGTTTGCTTCATCGACTGCTGGCCAGATATCGTCGATAAAGGAACTAGGGTCAAGGTATGAGTCAAATGCATCCCAGTATGGCTCGACCAGCAAAGCAGTGTGAAACTGTCCTTTTCCGACCACCAATGCTCGGGAGATAAGAGGATGCGCCTCGATCATGGTCTCCAAAATGACTGGGTTGAACTTGAAGCCATTACTAAGAACGATAACATCGTCTAGACGACCGTGATGCTTCCACAGTCGGGGATTATAGGGATGCTGTGTGAAGAGATCTTTGGTGTGATACTCTGTGAACGAGGGAAACGTATGACAGATGCCGTGATAATCGCGTGTGGGCGGGCGAGGAATGACCAACTCATAGATATCATCTCCAACGTGCTCCATAACTGCGCCGTAATTTGGGTTCCATTCGAGATACCCATAATCTTCGTCCTTCTCGGGGACTATGGAAGGAATGATACTTGTTTCGGTGGATCCCAGTGCTGTGATCAGTTTCGTGTATTTGCGGACCTTGTCTCCTGTTTCTGATGAGAGTGGTGCACCACCGAAGTAAACACTCTCCATTGTGCCTAATGTGAGGAGAGCTTCCTCTGATAAGGATACATCGTCAAGGATCGACGGGGGAAGAAGCGCCGTCGTTGGTCGACCCAATTTGATAAGGTCTGTTAAGAAGTCAACGGAAAGTGGCTTCTCCGGCCCGTAGAAAAAGGACACAGAGTGGAAAATGGACTCGGTGAAAGCCAAGATTCCCATCATGTGGAAGAAAGGAACTACGCTGAGAACAAGGTTATCCGGGCTGAGATCAGAGAAGATAGTAAGCCTGCGACCGCCCGGACGAGGGAGATAGGCAATGGCATCCAAAGTGCTGAAGTAGCCATGAGTCAGGGGAATGGGCTTGGGCATTCCTGAGCAGTGAGCTTGATTGAGCTAAATTCGCTATTTGTAGAAGCAATTAATCATACCTGTTGATCCAGAACTGTGCACGACTAGAAAGACCTTATCCTCAGCCTCCTCGTAGGTTTGAGTGAAGGAGTAGAAGCGTAGGCCCTCTTCTCCGTTCAAGATAACATCCAGCGCTGGCAATTCAAAGGTATTCAGATCTGGACGAAGCTGCTTGAGTTCTGCTGCCTTGCGCTCCCGCTCCGCACTGTAAAAGAACCGGTTACACTTGGTCTCATCGAGCAAATACAATTGAGCTTCATCGGAGTTTTTGCTCGAGGGCAGCAATGGCTGTTTCAGGAAGGTCAGTGTATAAGTTGAAAGCCCACCTGAGTCGGAACTATCTCACCTTGTAGCCAGTCTTATGACAAGCAATGATGAAGATGAAGTAGCGAATATCATTGGCACCCATGTATGCTACCGTTGACCCGTCGGGTGCATTTGTGCCAGCTTGTGCTTCTATCCACCAGCACAGGAAGTTGATTCCGCGGGCAAGATCCTTGATAGAGATTTCTTGCAGGCCATCTGATAGCTCCGAGCCCCTGGGCATCACGCAGAATCGTCTTCCAGGATTACTCTCGGCGATGGCATCTATCTCGGTGGTCAAAAGCCGCTTGCGAAGAACTGTTCCATTGGGAGCCATGATGGTTGAATTTCTTGCTTTTAGCGGTCTATCCCAAGTACTTCAAGACACGAGATAGTAGCCGGGCATGAATTTCCACAAGACTACTGCTGATACTGATGGGATGATCTTATAGTGAATGACGAGCCTCACTCCGCTTAGACCTAGATGCCGAGGAGGGCACTGAAACAGTGTCCACCCACACTTCTGTAGTCTATTAATCCGTTCATTGGCCATAATGCTCTGTATTCTTGACTCCATCATCTGGCGGATTGATGTCTGACGGAGACTCGATCCTTTGGCCCCCGAATCCTTCATCTGCTTTCGTTTTTAACGTAATCTACGGGATCTCCCGCTCGGTCGCTCCCACCTGAACCTTCGCTGTCTTCACCCTCCTGGTTGAAGTTAATCACTGGGTATCATTACAAGATACAAGACTCTAGCCACAGCAGACTATAGATACAGCTCTCCGACTAGCGATTCGGGGCACTCTTAGTAACGTTCTCATAATCTTATCGTCGCATTATGCCATCTCAGCCCAAACTCCTGCTTATGTCATTTCAGGCAGAGGCCAGCTATGCTAGCATAAAGGGACTAATTCGGTTTTTATCATTCATTACTATATCACTTCTTGATGGTGTGGTCCTCCGGCTCTGGAATCTCCACCAGCCTTTTCCTCTCCTTGGTCCGCCACTGGATGGCCTTGAGAAGGCCATACAATACCGTTAATGTCGGCATTGGGACCCCTCTGGCTTTGCCTTCCTTTAATGCCTCTCCCACAATGTTCTCATACTCACAGAACCGGCCATTGCGTATGTCCACCTGCATGCTGGGTGGATTGTACATGGTAATGGGATCCATCGTGATCATAAAGTCCACCAGCTCGGGTGGCAACTCATGTCCACATGCCTTGGCACCAGCGCGGATCTCCTCCATGGCCGGTCGGACCAGATTTTCAATGGCGCCGTCTGCCAGCTGAATCCGACCGGTGTCGAGATCCGTGACGGCACAGATGGTGTTCAAGCAGGCATTGTACAGCAGCTTCCGCCAGCGACTGAAGCCGACGTTGGGGTTAAACTGAGGATTGCACTTGCCACCTGCCCCATAGATCTCACAGTATTCTTTGGCGGCTGCGTCCTCTTCGTCGGGATTCAGGTTTGGATTGCGGAAGGCTCCCACGTAGAGTTCGTCATCGTCTTCGTGGACGATCTCTCCTATGGAGACCTGATGGGAGCCACAGAAGCTGACACCCGAGAGGATGATATTTTCTGGGAAGGCCGCAATGAGGGGCTTTTCTATGTTCAGGCCATTCTGGACGAGAGCGATGCGTGTGTAGCCCCGGGTGACGGCGGGGCGGATGATCTCTGCTACGGTCGGGGGCACATCGGCGTAGTTCTTGGTGGTGACGACGATATACCTGTACGGGGGGAGATTTTCTTTCTCAACGTCTGGGATGGTGTTTCGTACTGTCAAGGCGACTGTCAGTGGGAATCTGCTGATGTAAAGTTGGATGGCTGCATACGGATTGACGGTCGGAAGCCCTTCACTTCGCCGTGATCGATCGACCTGATGGAGAAGCCGTGAGCTTTGACATGCTCGTAATTTGAACGCAGAACAGCAGTGACAATGGCTTTGCCTCCAAGTTCCAGGTTCAGCGCAGCGATAGTGCCGATGCCACCACAGCCAATTAGCAGGATGTTGGCTTTGTCTTGCATGGTGAGCAGGGGAGGGGGTGTAGATGTGGATGAGGGGGGAGGGCCAACCTGTTGTTATCGGGATATCGATAGGGATGTTATAAATGGTGAGAGGTAAATGGCAATGGAGTTAACCTGCCTGGTTGGAGGGATGATGCTATCACGGCTTATCGAGACTATCGAGACTATCAGCGATAATCTTAGCTTCAACTCCATCAACCCCGCTTGCCCGCCGCACCAAAAAGGCAGGCCATTCCGGCCTCACCTTCCCAGTGATCCTCCAGGCAACTCTTCTCGCTCGACATCTACCCCCTCACCTATTCACGACATACCCTATCGATTGCTTCTCATATCATTGCTTATCGATCTCCATGACATCAGGGGCCGTCGTCACTACCACTGAGGCCCCTGCTCGCTCTGGCAAGCCAACTGACACCCCAGTGCGCTCTCGTTCCTTGGGAGGATGCGAGACCTGTCGTCGGCGCCATGCTAAGTGTGATGAGACTCGGCCATCCTGTCTCGTGTGTAAGCGTGCGGGGCTCGTCTGTGAGAGGTACGAGATCCGGCTGTTGTTCGATGCGAGCGACAGTCAGAGCTCACGATGTCGCCGTCCTCTGTTCACCGAGGATATGCGTCAGCGCATGAGTGAGCAGTTGACCGACAGCTTGGACTTAGATGATGTCCATACCATCCTGACCAAGATTGATGACCAATGCGAGAACCAGGAGGGAGATACGAATTCCAGTTTTACTACCTGCATGGGTCCCTTTGGTGCCTTTCGGGTGGTTCGGGCTGAGATGGACCTCCCCGAATCCCCAATGGACCCAGTCGACGAGCCCCTTCCTCAGGTGGAAGACAACCCAGTAAATGCTGGGCTGGAAATGCCTTTGGATGATGCATTTAGCAATGATCCCCTCATGGAATGTCTGTTTGGCCATGTGAACGTAGATGTTACTGCCGACTTGGATGCTCATGACTTCTTCGCCGCAACCCTACCTTCAGCCGAAAGTGAGGGGATTTCCCCACAATCCCTGTCAGGGGGCTTCCTTATGGGACCATCGCCATCAGTTCCTCTGCAAGCCTCGTTATTATCGTCGCCAGAGATCCAATATGCTCCGTCTGTGACCAACCTGGCCCCGCCAGATGCCCCCTTATTGCTATCTGCATACACGAAGAATGTCACTCAGCTGTTCAGCCCAATACAGCTGGAAAAGAGCCCCTGGAGTATGCTCTATATGCCTCCTGCCATGGAGACCTTAGCTTTGTTGACTATGGGAGAGTTGGCCAACAACACCAGGATGTCTATCTTCTATGCAATCCTGGCCACTTCGGCCTTCACCCAGCGTCTATCCTCGTTGACGCGCAGCGCAAGTCAATATTGGCAGAGACAGGCAGAGACCTTTGCCATTGAAGCCCAGAATTATCTCAAACGAGCGCTACATGATGCATCATCGAGCGTCAAAAAAGTCAAGTACAAAGACGTCCTTATCGCCTTGCTGTGCATGAACACGGTTTCGGTAAGCACAACAGCCGCAGCTGAGCAGAGCACAAGTCTCACCATGAACTTAGGCCTACCAAGGGAGCACAGAGCGGGTGCGACGATGTCTGTTAGACTGCGAAAATTGGGTCCGTTTTCGTGGCTTGCCTAAAACGCGGAAATCACGCAAGGTCCGCTTACTACACCATTGCTATGTCTATCTACGTATCTTCCAGGAGAGCACCTCCGTCCTCCCTATGTCCCATGTAGAGATAGAATCAGACCATGCATCCCCCGATACTGTGCGCTCCATCGCCACTACTCGCTCGTTTCGGCTTCGGCAATGGGAAGGTCGTTTGGACCAGCGGATGAGTGAATTGAAGGAGCAGCACCAGGGGGAGAATGATTTGCACTTGGAAATTCCGGGCCGGTGGGACTCGACCATGTACCCGCAGGTCTTTGGTCTGCCAGAATCTCTACTATTCTTACTATCACAGGTAACGAGACTGGGCAATGAGCGAGACCTATCGGACTTGGGGAGCTATACGGGCGCGTTGGATTTTAGGCAGTTCTCCGCGCGGGCGCGGAGTCTGGAGCGATGCATTTCTACTTGGCGACCACCTTCTTTACCAGATGCAGATCCACATAGCATCATCGCTCAGACAAACACTACCATTGTCCGTCTGATGCTCTCAGCCCTTCACAAAGCTCTTCTTATCTTCTTTTACCGCCGGATCTATGACGTGGACCCGATGATCCTTCAAGACAAAGCGTGGCAAGTCCGGGACGCCTTGGCTCAGGTAGAAAGAGACGATATGCCGGCGACTCGTATAGCTGCACCATTTATTTGGGCGGCGTTTATTGCCGCCTGTGAGGCTTTGGATCCTACTTTGCAAGACTGGTTTGCAGGCTGGTTCGAGACGTCAGCCAGAAAGAGCGGGCTTGGGACCTTTAAGCTGGCGCTGAAAACAGCAAGGCAGGTCTGGGAGAGACAACGGCAGCCCCTGAATAGCAGCGCCAGCACCAGTTGGCCGCAGATTATGCGGGAAAGCAACCTGAGTTTTTTCTACATATAACGACGCATCATGAAATATCGTTTCATTATCAGATACATCATACAATCATGTTCAACCTCACAGCAAAGCATACTCACTGTAGAAACTGGTCGTTGCACAGCGCTCGCTCCATCTCATAATCCGGTTGGAACTCATGATACAACGCCTCCTGCTTTCATTAGCAATATCCTCTAACATGAAAGTGTTCATTGCCACTTACCGGATCACTAGTCATCTTGAACGTAAAATCAGCTGCATCCGGCTCAATAAGCTTCTTCTCAAGTCCATGAGCAGCAGCCGCATCCACCTGCAGCTGGATCTCGCAGCTTCGCTCAGCCAAAGTGAAAAGATAAGCCGCTTCATCAACCGTCTGTCCGACCGTAAGAAGACCATGGTTTCGCAGTATCAGCAACTTCCCCTTGTCACCCAAGTGTCTACCCAGACGTAGACTTTCCTCTTCCTCTAGCACTACGCCCCCAAACTCAGGGTAGACGGCCTGCGCATCGCCATAAAACATAGTAACGTCCTGGTTGATCATATCCAATGGCTTGGCGAACGTCGACCACGCTTTACCGTACTTCGAGTGGGCATGGCACGCCGCGTTCACATGCGGATACATCTTGTGCAGAACGCCGTGGATCTGGAAGCCTGCGGCATTGGCTGGCCGTGATCGGTTGCCTCCGACGGGCTCGCCAGCATGGTTGAGTAGGATGAGATCGGATACTTTGACTAGGCCGAAATGGAGTCCAAGTCTGTGGGGTTTTCAGCTGGTGTGACTGGGCCGATTTTGTGGGTGGGAAGTCATACGGATTCGTCCAGAAGCAGTCTGGATGCTCTGGATCACGCAAGGAGATGTGCCCGCTCATTCCTTCGGAGAAACCCTTGCGAGCGAATACTCTAAAGGCGCCGGCCATGTGCTCCAGCATCCATCGTCGTTTCTTGTCTGCGGAGGTAAAGGAAGGGATGCTTGGTAGGGTGGCTCCTTGTGAGATGGCCTGGATGGCTGATTTGCCGGTGATGTTCGACTCTGTGGGCTGTGGAGGCTCTTCTTTCTTCGCCACGATGGTAGTAGTGGTTGAAGACATGGTGGTTCTTTGGGAGGTATTCAACGTGCGAAAGGCTACGAAGAGAGTCCGAGTCAGTGTTACAGTGTGAAAGAGTATGTCAGCATCCATTGATCTACATGCAGTTTCGATTTTTCAATCCCACGGTGTCCCGTAATTCAGTGAACAGTTGCCCGACCAGTTTGTGCCGCGGAGTTAGGGTATGCAAGGGTGAATGCAATAGGCAGGTCAAGAGACACGCCGCAGGGGAGACTTGCCTTGCTGGCCAACTGATAACCTCGGGCTAGCCCCGACGGTGGATCTGGCTGATACTGGATTAGAGCTAGCTGCAGGCGAACCAGCAAGGCCTGATAGATACAACCCGCTGCTTCTCCGCATTGGTGCAGCTGACATTCGATAATCCAATGCCGGTGCTCAAGCCACAGTGACACTAATGGCCTCGTATCTCTCACTCTTTATCTGGTATCGGGATCTGCGGAGGCGAAGCTCAGTTCCCACGTAACCCCAGATTCTGTACATGCAGTGTCCTGCCAACTGATAAAATGTCCTGTATACCCTCTGTACATGGCTGCAATTCCCCTAACCTTAATCCATTCAATCCATATCCCACTCAACTGTAGCAATTATGACCAAGTCTCCTGACGAAAAACCCCTCGAGGTGCTCGACCGCACGTCTTCCTGTGCTGAAGGTCAGATCGTCACCCATGATGCCCTCGTCACCCAGCGTGGCATCAAGTCTCGCCACGCCCAGATGATGGCCATCGGCGGCACCATAGGCACAGGTCTCTTTGTGGGAGTAGGAGAGGTGCTCGCGCTGGCCGGACCAGCCAACATCCTGCTCGCCTACATCACCATCTGCATCATTGTCTACGCCATCATCACCGCCACCAACGAAATGAACACTTACCTCCCCTTCAGCGGCTGCTCAATGGCCGCCTACGGCACCCGCTTCGTATCTCCCAGCTTGGGCTTCGCCATGGGCCTCCTCTACTGGTACAGCTTCGGCATTCTCGTCGCCTACGAAACCACGGCCGGTGCTCTCGTCATCAACTACTGGTCCAACCCCGTCCCCCTCGCCGTCTGGATCACCCTCATGCTTATCGTCGTCCTCGCCCTGAACTTCTTCCCTGTCAAAGTCTACGGCGAGACCGAATTCTGGTTTGCCTCCCTCAAAGTCTTCCTCATCATCGGCCTCCTCATCCTCTCCTTCGTCCTCTTCCTCGGCGGCGGTCCCAACCACACCCGTCTAGGCTTCCACTACTGGAAATCCCCCGGCGCCTTCAACATCTACCTCGTCTCCGGCTCCACTGGCCGCTTCTGCGCCTTCCTCTACACTCTCTGCTACTCCGTCTTCTCCTTCAACTTCGCCCCGGAACTCCTCGTTGTCGCCGCAGGCGAAATGCAAAACCCCCGCAAGAACCTACCCCGCGCCGCGAAACAGTACTTCTATCGCCTTATCATCTTCTACATCCTCGGCGTCCTCGCCATTGGCGTCATCTGCCCCAGTAATGCCTCCGGCTTGACAAACGGCACCGGCGTCGCCGCCTCGCCCTGGGTCATCGCCATTAAACGCGCCGGTATTCATGGCCTCGACTCCGTCGTCAACGCCGTCATCATCACCTCCGCGTGGTCCTCCGCGAACTCGTACCTCTACATGTCCAGTCGGACACTATATTCCCTCGCGCGGGCAGGCGGTGCTCCGAAGATCTTCACCCGCTGTACCCGCCACGGCGTGCCCTACTATGCTGTGTTGTGCAGCTCGCTGTTCTCGTTGCTAGCGTATATGGACTGTAGTTCTGGCGCTAGCACGGCGTTTAATTGGTTCGTGAGTCTCACTAACACGGCGGGGTTTACGTCCTGGACGTGCTGTGGGATTATATTTTTGAGGTTCCGGGCGGCGTGTAATGCCCAGGGTTTGAAGGATCTTCCGTATCGGTCGAGATTGCAGCCGTGGATGGGGATTATTGCAACGATGGCTTGTCCGATCTTGTTGCTGTGTAATGGGTTTGAGGTCTTCTTCCATGGTCATTGGAGCGTGTCGTCGTTTTTGACTTCGTATGTTGGACTGTTTGTCTTTGTGGCGGTTTATGCTGGACACCGGGTGATGAGGTGGAGGGATGGGTGGTGGATTCCGGCTGAGAAGGTGGATTTGGTGAGTGGATTGGAGGAGGTGGAGGCTTTGGGGGTGGATGGGGATGATGATGGGGAGAAGAGGGGATTTTGGAGGAAGTTGTGGGAGTAGTTTGTTATTTACTATGTATTTGATTGTTGTGTTTGTTGTATTCTCTATGAGGTTGTTCGTTCTATATATAGATAGTATTTAAGACTTATTCTAATATATTGCTTATAGCTTCGCCAATAGCCCATTTGTCTCCAAAATCGCCAAATGCTCCGGCGTGATATCTGCTATAGTTCGGCATCTGCATACATACATTCACATCATTAGTTTCTGCTATATGCACGTTGACGTGGTCACTTACCCAGCCAGCTTCATTGTGCGACAGAACTCATCGTAGAGGATCTTGACCGCTAGATCGACGCCTTTCTCGCCGTTATACTATATCGATTATCAATATCATGAACAAATGGGACAACCTGTGTGGAAGCTTACCGCCAATCCCCAGATCGGAATCCTCCCCACAAAACACATCGACGCTCCCAGCGCAATCGCCTTGAACACGTCTGCTCCCCGTCTGATTCCACCGTCCACTGCCAGGGGAATCTTCCCTTTTGCCACGGGCGCGCAGATGCGCAAAGCATCCAGCGTGGCGGGGACACCGTCGAGTTGGCGACCACCGTGGTTGGAGATGATGACGCCGTCGATTTTGTGATCGATGGCTAGCTGAATGTCTTCGGGGGAGTAGACTGTTCTCGTTAGTCTATACATACTAACAGAGAAGTGAGGAGGAAACACACCGCCCTTAAGCCAGATTTCGAGCTTCGTGTTCTGTCGTAGCCAGGCAATTGTCTTGTCCCAGCGAATAGTGCCATCTGTATATCCTGTTAATAGCCGATGCGGAAATGAAAATAAGGAAGATAGTACCATAGCCACGCTCATACGAGTCCTTCAACCCCATCTCATCAATTCCCTCCGCCAACACCGGAAACCGCATATCACTCGGGAAATTGAAGTTATTCCGAGACTCGTTCAATCTGTTCCCTAGCACGGGGAGATCCACGCTCACGAATAGTGCTTTGTAACCGGCCTCTTTACTTTCATCAGTAACCATAAATACTGTAATGGTCAAGTGGTCACCCACTCTCAGCTTTCTGAATGATTCTCCTCGTAATCTCTATATCCTTGAAAAAGGACACCTGCATGGCATACGGATTCCCCGTCCCCTGGGCAATCACATCGTCAATGCCTGTTGTTGCCCACGAGGACAAACACATGGGGATATCGTGCGCTGCAGCCGCACGGGACGTGCCCACTTCGCCATCTGCATGGGCGAGCTTGTGTGCGGCGGCGGGGGCAAAGCCCAGAGGGAATTTCACTTTCTTGCCGAAGATGGTGGTGCTGGTGTCGAGGGCATCCACGTCGCGGAGAACGCGGGGGAGGAGTTTGTATCGGTTGTAGGCTGCTTCGTTGTCTTTTAGACTAAGTAGTAGTCTGTTAGTATGGGTATGGAATTGCGGTGAGTTATGGGAATGAGTACGTGATGAGGTCGCCGGCGCCTTCGTTAAAGTAGTCTATATGCATGTCTTAGTATTAGCTGGGTTGCATAGATGGAGAGAAGTTGCTCACCGCGCACGACTGGAGGAAGTCTTTTCTGGGCCTCGATAGCCAGATCGGCGATGGTGAGGACTTTGGTGTCGTGTTCTTTGGGACGGTTGGCCATGTTATTGATGTTAAAGTATGTACCCTGCAAGGTGGTGATTCGCAATACGGATAAGGTCTACGACTGGTATATATAATTTCCCGAATTCTCTACACAATGGCCCAAAGCATTGAGAAGGCACTTCCTCGGATTGAATATCCATCTTGTCTCGTGGTCGATCTGCGATAAGATAGAGTTGCCTACAACTGGCAGTGGAGTGTAACTAATGCAGGCAAGTCACCCCGGCCCACTCCAAACAGGCAAGTCAACACTTCCCCGCACGATAAGATAACCAGCTTCATTCTTCGGACTTTGTCCTTGCCCTATATCTATTCCACCTCTTTACCACACAGAAACACTGGTTATCAGCTCCAATCTACTGACAATGGCTCCAGCACCTGTCCTGGCCACCTCCACCTACTACGCCCCCGGCGTGGTGTCATCCGCCTCCAAATATCTCCATGTCTCAGGCCAACCAGGCACCATTGAAGGCACTGCCCCCGCCGACTACAATTCGCAGATCCATCTTGCCCTCGTGAATTTGCATCGTGTGCTAGCCGCCACCGGCGCTACACCCCGCGATGTAGTCAAACTCACCCTCTACATCGTCAACTATGACCCCAACAACCGTCTGCACACTCGACCCCTGCAGACATGGCTAGCTGGCCACAAACCAGCCATTACTCTTGTTCCGGTACCTCAACTAGCAGTTCCGGACTGGAAATTCGAAATCGAAGCCACCGTCGCGGTGCCTGACTCCATTCCAGCTTCGCTCTCTCTTCCTTCCCCCACAGAAACGACCGATGTTCTCGCCATTGGCGCCGGCCTGTCTGGCCTCATGGCTGCCGAAACCATCCTTCAGTCCGGTCACTCGTGCATCGTGCTTGAAGGCCGCGACCGCGTGGGCGGCAAGACCTGGACTTGTCCACTGCCGAGCGGCACAGGAGTGGTTGATCTCGGCGCCGCCTGGATCAACGATACCAACCAGAGCATGATGTATGAGTTGGCGCGACGGGCAGGGGCCGATTTGATCGAGCAGAACACCACGGGCAACTGTCTTTTGCAGCGGGAGGACGGTGCCATTACTGCTTTTCCTTACGGGCAGACTCCATGCGTATGCTACCTTCCCTTCTACCTTATCACATACACACGTACTAACTGCAACTAGATAACCCCCCAAATTGTAAAAGAAATAGAAGCCATCCGCGACACTGCCGAGCAAGACTGCCAATCCCTTTCTACCAGTCGTCCCCAGAGTCCCGGTCTCGACTCTCTCTCCTTCCTCGCCTATCTGCATTCCCGCAACGCCAGCCCCATCGCCGTTGCCAACGCCTCCGTCTGGACTCGCGCCATGCTCGGCCAGGAACCCCAGGACATCTCCGCCCTCTACTTTCTCAATTACTGCAAGTCCGGCGGCGGATTACTCCAGATGCGCTCGGATCGGAAACACGGCGCGCAGTATCTGCGTGTGCGACAGGGGACGCAGATATTTGCGAAGACTTTGGCGGAGTCTTTGCCTACGGATACAATTCGGTTCGGTCAGAGAGTGGTAGGAATCACGCAGGTGCAGAAAGGGGTGAATTACGTGCAGACGGAGAGTGGATTGGTGGTCAAGGCTCGGAAGGTGATTTGTTCTGTGCCGACACCTGTTCTCAAGACGATCAAGTTCGAGCCGCAACTACCTGCTGCTAAGCAGCTGCTGGTCGATTCGTTCAGATATGGCTACTACACTAAGGTGATGTTGTCGTTCCGTACAGCGTGGTGGGCGGATCGTGGGTTCTGTGGACTGGCACAGTCGTTTGTTGGTCCTGCATCAATTTATCGCGATACGAGTAGCCCAGAGGATGGGAAGTGGGTGCTCACGGCGTTTTTGGCGGGCGATGCTGGGAGGAAGTGGTCTGCGTTGGGGAGTCAGAGGGAGCGTGAATTGGCGTTGTTGGAGCAGTTGGGGGCGATTTATGGCGATAAGGATCTGCCAAAGAGGGAGTTTGTCGAGGCTCTCAGTCATGAGTGGTCTACTGAGGAGCTCTCTGGCTGGGGCTGTCCTTGTCCGGCACTGCCGCCGGGCGTATTGACGCTAGCTGGTGATGCCCTTCGAGAACCGTTCCGGGATGTGCATTTCGTGGGGACGGAGACGGCAGAGGAGTGGAAGGGTTATATGGAGGGTGCAGTGCGCAGTGGGAAGAGAGGGGCGGTGGAGGTTGTTAAGGGGCTGACGAGGAGTCAATTGTGATATCTATAGAGTAGGTATAGTAATAGCTATCTTCTAGAGAATTAAACTGTGAATGGACATGTTAATGACATCAGTTCTATAGCACGAGTGCCTCGGAATTTATTGCGAGACGCAAATACCGACCAATCAGGAAGTGTGTTGTAGAAGTGGAATTGACCACAGCCAAAGCCTTTCAGTGTTATTGTTAACAACCAACTCTTCCAGTATCGGAATCTGCTTATGGGATGAAATAAGGATCTACATTCCAGTCTACATAGCCCCAAAACTAACGCGATGGGGTCCAAAAAATGAGAAATGGCAGCTGTGATCCGCCGTACCCCGTGCCAAGCCTGACTCCATCCCCAAGTCGATTCTTAATGCTCATCCGCTCCGTTTGCAGCTTTCTAACCAACTTCACTCCCATTATCCTCTCACCTTCTTATAAACACACAACCTTCGCATCTGCGATGGCCCACCCTTCCACTCGCACTCGCTAGCCCTCCTCATGCCACGCCGCCGCCTCATCCTGGTCGCCGCCCTCCTCGCCCTCGGCCTCCTCTACACCCTCTCCTCCCACGGCGCATCCTCCCCCCCTCTCCAGATCATCCCAGATGACTGTCCCTCACGTCCCGACCTCGACAACATCCTAGTTGTTCTCAAAACCGGCGTCACCGAATCACGCACCAAAGTCCCTATCCACCTCTCCACCACCCTCCGCTGCATCCCCAACCACGTCCTCTTCTCCGACTACGTCGAACAGCTCTCCCCCACCCACTTCACCCACGATGTCCTCGCCTCCCTCTCACCTGCTCTCCTTAACCATAACCCTGAACTCGACCTCTACCGTCGCGTGCGCGCCGAAGGTCCTGCCGCCCTCACCCCCGCCGACTTGAACCCAGACGTCAACACCCCGATCGGCAAACCCAACAACCCCGGCTGGAAGCTCGACAAATGGAAGTTCCTCCCCATGCTGGACGAGGCTCTGCGCGTTAAGCCAGATGCTTCCTGGTATATCTTCCTCGAGGCGGATACCTACCTCGTCTGGGATAATTTCCTCCAGTGGCTTCGGCGCTTCGATCCCTCCAAGCCATGGTACCTCGGCAACCAGATGCAGATCGTGGATGCAATTTTCGCCCACGGCGGATCGGGCTTTGCGCTGTCGCGACCGGCGCTCGTGCAGGCCGTGAACCAACGCAAACGAACCAGTGATGGGTGGGAACGTGCCGTGGCGGAACATTGGGCTGGGGATTGCATGCTGGGGATTCTGCTGGAAAATGTTGGGGTTGACCTGACTTGGTCGTGGCCGATGCTGCAGATTGCCCCTCCGGAGGAAATGGATTACTTCTCCATAGGATATGCGAAGCGGCCGTGGTGTTATCCGGCCGTGTCATTTCATCATCTGGACGAGCAGGGCATCCGGCAGTTGGATGATCTGGAGAGGCAACTGGGACCGCTGAAGACACCGTTGCTGTATCGCGATGTGTTCCTGAAGCTGGTCCGGCCGGAGCTGCGCGATGTGCGCACCGAGTGGGATAATCTGGTCGACGGGGACCCGGTGGCAGTGAGCAGCTTCGCGGCCTGTCGGGGCGTGTGTACACGCGAGGCCAAGTGTCTGCAGTATGCATATAATGCGACGGAGGGCGCATGTCGCACGTCCACGGTGCTGGCGCTGGGACATGCCCGGCCGGGATTATCGGCAGGATGGATGACCGAACGCATTGATGCGATGGCCGAGAGTCTGGGCGAGTGTCGCGAGATCAGCTGGATTGATTGATGCGTTGCATGGCCCCTTTTTCAAAGATTTCTTGTCATTCATAGTATCATACACATATAAACGTCTATACAACCAGCGTATACACATATTTTTAAAATCCCTGCACAGGAGTATATCCCTCGATCAACCTGGACTGACTCGACCCGCGAATCTTGAACTCCCTCGCCAACCCTGTCACCTGCAACCCAGCCAGTCTGCCCTCATCGAACCGGAACTGTCCAATGCGCACATCTCGCCCTCCATCCCAGTCACAATAAGTAAACACATGCACCGCATAATGTACCGTCACTCCGCCCGTCTCATTATCCATCTTCACCACCCCCGTCACACTATACACGAACCTCCCCACGGATAGGAACCAGTCCCAGCTCTGATCCGGCGTCGCGATGTACTCGTGCCAGAAACTCGTAAACGGCACGACGGGTGCCTCGTCCGGTCGGGTCATCATCAACGACTCGTAGGCGAGTTTTGCCTTGAATTTGGCTAGTTCGTGCACTTCGGTGCGGAATTGCGGCATCGCGGAAAGCATCTCGTCGACGGAGACGTGGGCATCGCGACCTGTGTTGCCGAGATAGTGTTTTAGATAGTCGGCGAAGTGTGTTTGGCCTTGGTTGTGGGCGGCGCGGGCGATGCTATACAGGGTGGTTTTGTCGACATGGTCAGCGCCGCTGGCGAGTCGGGACTTCCATGGGTAGTAGGGGGATGTGGGCGGTTTGGCTGGGTCGGTGGGTGGTGGGGGGAGAGAGACGCCGTAGTGGGGGAGGGAGTGGGAAGTGATGCTGAGTAGCATAAAAAGGAGAAGTAATAGTATTCGCATGTTGATTTATAGATTAGATTGTAAAAGATAAAGATAGATAGATAGATGCAGGTATCACGACATCAAAGGGACGATGGTGCAAGCAGAATTTAAGAAGCACAGCTTAAACACTCCAAGCGTAGGCTAAGACTTTCAGTCATTCCGAACTTAAACTCGGAAAGGGTCCCTGCCCATTTGTTTCAAACCGATCGGCGTTTCCAGTGGAGTGTCTCGCCTGCCGTTGCGGCCTATCGCTGTCCCTGCTCAGCCTTATTTGATACCAGACCCTGCTTGGCACTGCTGATCTTGTCTGGTCTGAGATGGGTGTACGTGGATGGCAACGCCTTTTTTGTGTGCTCCGCTTGTCTGTCTGAAGGGTTTGCCGGAGCTGCTCAGGGTGTTCTTTCCATCATGATGAGGATATGCAGGGTCAAACTCTGCTGCCATATTTGATGTCGTCCCAATGATTGAATTGTATGATGGACTGACTGATTGACTTCACTTCATGTCTGTGACCAGCCACCACGGCCTGGCCGGCCTGTTCCAGACTTTGGACAGTACCGCTCAGTTCACGGATCGTCCGTCCAGCCATCCACTCATTGTGCTTTGCCGACACGGCACACGGTCGCAATGCTTGGATCGAGCACTGCCACAGACATGTCAGCACTCAACTTGAACCATTCATCCCAGCAAAGAGGAGAATTAATTATAGAAACGCGGCTGAATTGGCCGAGATTTCCCCAGGTGAAATTGACAAAAGGATCACAAGGAAGAAAGGGAGGGAATGCAATCAATTTTGACTTGAAACACCGGATAACTCCCACACGAACCCGTTCTTTACGTGAAGGTCCCCACCGCAGGGTCTTTCTTTCTCCGGACGGAACGACTTTGTTCGCGGTCATGCACCACCACTCATCTCCGATAAGTTCCTCCTGTGATCGCTATCAATGTACGGAGAAACATGCACAGCATTGATGGGAGGCATTGGTGGTCATAAGTCGAGATGGTGACGTCTAGGACCTGCTTGGTGGTTAGAGTGGAGTGGATACAAATGGTTGAGCGGGAAGAGGAACTTGCTCCTGTATGGAATGTATGACAACGTGGCAATCCAGGACGCGCAAAGATCTCTGGTCCGGAGTATGCGGAAATCATCAAGGTCGGTCAAGGTAAGGTTATATCATGTATGGAATGTGGATTGAGGCATGCCTCGTGGATGCGGGTATTTTGGCCCCATGTCGGGGGCGCAAAGTTGGACAGCATATTGATCCTGGGGGTCTCGGCGTTTAGTATCACTGCTGGTGAGAGTTATCCTGCTCAATGTGATCTGCCTGGAGTGCAAACCTCATCTTGCATATTAGGGTGTTAACTGTCGGATAGAGCTGTCTGTATCAGATGGTATCGATGAGTGATACAGGATGATCGTCACTGCTTGGCATGAATGCTGTGAACCTTCACACAAGTATCCTATCAGGGATGCCCGATCATTCGAAGCATCCCTGCGGACAGCAAACCACCATTCTCAATTAAAACTCGTCATACAGAAGGAGTGTCAGCAACAGCCATGATGGCTATACATACCATTATCTCATTAGCATATATACATCACTTCATCTCCTGCACTCAAGCAACCGAGATATACTCCCTGGCAGAAACAGCATTCGTCTTAGCCAGCACCTTGTTCCCCGCTCCCACAGCCTCAGCATAAAACCTCACATCACTTGACCCCCGCTCACTTTTCAAGTACAGAGTCGTCTCAAAGGACTTCCGCGGCACGACCCCAAGAGACGTCGTATTACCCTTCTCAGACTGATAGAACCGCCATCCCTTCGTCTCCGTATCACCATTCCAAGAAACATACAGCCGGACAGTCTGCGATGCATCCACGTACGCAGCAATGGCCGGGACCTCCGTTGGTGTGCCCGTCCAATTAGCGAGGAACCCACGATAGCTCTCCGCCTCCTCAATGAAAGCATGATAAATAATCTTATTGTTGGCATCATACTCAGTTACTGCGCCTGCCTGGCCCCAATTCACAAAGATGTTGTCATTGGCCAGCAGCTGCGCGTTCCCTTGTGAAGCCGCCTGGATTCCATACGGGGCTGTCGCTTTGCGGAGAACAGTTGCGGTATCGTCCGTGTGGTCCAGCTCGACGATCAGTGCGCGCGATACATTGTTGACGGTGACTTCGCCATTGCCGGAGTTGTCGAAGAAGGAGATTATCTCTTTCGTTGGGGACTGGTAGTGCCAGCGCGCATGGTGCTGGTACCCAAAGGTGAAGTTGTGGTTGAAGGTGGAGTGCTTGCCTCCTAGCTCCCAGATAATGGAGCCGTCGGTGCCGTTAATCTTGAAGATGGTGCTGAAGTGTCGCGAGGAAAGAAGGTAATTACCATCTTTGTCTTTGTCGACGCTGTTCAGGTGGATGAAGTCCCATGTGGAGCTGGAGGAGAGACCGCTGTCGCTGGTTGATGAGCCGAGCGAAACCAGGCTGTCTGGGATGTGTCAGTATGGCTTGAATGAGTGTTGATATATGGGGAACGAACCTGCAGGGTCAACGTGGTCGAGAGCATTCCACTCAAAGACGAGCTCGCCGGTTTCAATGTCGAATTCTGCATTTCGTCAGAAAGAACAAAGGTATTGACTATGGATGAAATGCTCACCCTGGAAAAGACCATCACCAATCCACTTCTGCGACGAGTTGCCGCCATAAGCCGACAGATTAGCCACGGTAGGGACATAGACCTCCACCAGCGCAGTCTTCCCATCGATGACATTGAACTCGTGGATAGAAGGAATGCGATGATTCCCCGCCTTCGCAGTCACGACATGCTCATAGTTCTGGTTCAATATGACCTGCTGCCCGAACCCTTCACCATGCGACGTGTCCATTGTCCCCTGGAATCCCTGCAGGACGGTTTGACCCTGGTATGTCGTGGTGTGGAAGTTAGCGACGAACCCTGCATAGTACCCGATGCCAGACCAGATCAGGTCGCCATTCTTGCGGTAGATGTATGCGCCGCTTTGCTGGATATCGTCTGAGTATGGCGCGAGAAAGACATACTCCGTGCCGTTCGCATCAGGAGCCGGAATGGTGATGTTCAGCTTGGGAGGGGAGAGGTCTGGTCGCGAGCGATATTGCCCGTCTGCTATGGCAAGAGGGGAGAGAGCTGCCAACAGCAGGCTATATTTGGTTAGAGGGATCATCTCGTTACTAATATGCTTCGCAAAGCTCTTGTCCTGCTTCCGAACACTGCTCCATTTTCACAGCTGGGCCTGCCTTTTTATGCGACGATTCCTATCACACCATTTGATGGTGTCGAGGCCAAGGTTGAACAATTCCTAACCGGCACGATGATAACACCATCGGTGGACACTTTGCACTCATCATCAATATCGCTTAAGCTGCAACTAGATATTAGCTCTTCGGCAAAAAGAGAGCTGTTATTCGGCTTTTGCCTCCATATCGGGTACCTGGTGGGGGATTTATTGTGCCATTGATCTTCGCGATGACGCGAGCGCGGCTGCTGATGACTACATCGACAGGTACAAGCGAGGTTCAACACATCTCTTCCGAAGGTTATGTGTGAAAAGCACTACATCCAGACTCCCTTTCTTAATAAAAGAAAACAGATACTGTGTCGTGGTCTGTTAGACACGCAGTGATTCATAGGAATATGGCATCCAGCCTGTCTGGCTAATCCCACTCCTATACTGTTTGTTATCTTATCAAGATCGCCTGTACCGATCTCATAACGGACTGAACCACAGACAGGTTTCTGCACCATTCCTGTTCCTGCAATATCGCGTCATCTCATTTCGGCAGATATTCGCAAGCGAAGGAGGACGCTAACTGCGAACAAGTGACAGCAGAGCAGCCGAGCATGTGGAATGGATTGAAGGGCCTATCACTACCATTTCAGACAGAAGTAGACATCTGATCTCGACCTAGGTATAGCTGGAAAGCCTCCTTTCCTTTCCTCATACGATATCGTCACGACATGATACTTTGCCTCGTGTTGATATAATATATCCTGATATGAGCTGCACTAATACTGGGATTGATACAGAGCATATGTGCCGTTTGTAAACTCAATGCTTACTAACCTTCCAGATTAGTTCTAACAGCATGTCAGAATAAAGAGCAGCTGACAAATTCACCATATCATTAATTTATAATGAACAATTGATGCAGGTCTTAATACCGTAGAAGTATATTCCATCAATTACTAATCATTATGTGGTCGCACACTTTTGAAAATTCAGTTGAAAGACACCATGATTTGACTTCAATAACCTCCATATATATATTTTATGGCCCTATATCCCTATCCTCAGCCCCGGATGATTAAAGGCCCCGAGCACAACTGTGGTGACGAGATCCTAGTTCAAAGAACTTTACTACTTAGCTATACTACAACTGACAGGAGCTTGTCATACTACTAGATGCTAGTTCGAGTGAAGCCAACTGGTGTGGAAGGTATTCGTTGCGTTGTAATTATACGTTCCTACGTAGGGTACACATATATTTACATAAAACGTTATACTCGAAATAAGTAGGATAGATGGCCCGTATTGTTCTCGATCCAATGGCTTCTCGGCGTGGGGTATTAGCCTAAGATCTGGCTATAATGATACACCATTTCCACGAGGAAAGATACCCGCATTCAACGACAGAAAACAATATATCACATCATTCGCAAGGAGAACATATCCCGCATTATCGACCACAGATCAGATTACTGGCGACCCCGGACTTGCTGTGTCGTCATAATAACTACAGTGCTCATAATCTACCAAATCTAGATTTATCCCAAATGACTCCGTCAGAAATGCCAAGCGCACTACCATCGTTAGTTCAGTGCAAAGTCGTCGGGATCCGCCGACGCGTATATTATCCGTCTCCGACATCGGAGACCTACCCTCATAACCATCCTAACCAAAATTAAATAGTAATTATGTCTCAGTCACTCATTTCTCGTTAACAAGCAAGTAAATAAGCAAGCATCAATAAGCGTAACGGTACGTCGGCGACATGTCGCCCAGCAATTCTTCGTCTTCCTCTGTGATGGTGGACGGATCGATGCGACCCTCGGCGATCGCTCGGTCGCGTTTCCGGTTGTCGTTCCACACCGCTAAGAAGTACAGAATCGACATGGCGGCGGAAAAGGCCAGGAAGGATACGCCGATGCTGTATCCGGGCCGGTAGAAGGGGGCGTCTTTCGAGAGGAAGGAGTAGGTGGAAATGATTCCGCCAACTGTGATGTGAAAGGGTTGGTTAGTGGTCGGTCGGGCCTGCGCATAAGGACCGTGCTTACTGTTGCCAAAACCAATCTGCCACGCCGTTCCTATACTGCGTCGACGATGTCCACCGAGGTTCATCGCGAACCAGCAGACTAACACTGGCATCGCGCTGTAGCAGCCGCTAGTCACCAGGAATAGCGCGCCGTACTGGACATGGTATTGTGCGGTGTCGTGGATGTTGAGCAAGATGCCAAATCCGGCCATGGCCACGAGCATTGGGATGATAGTGAATAGGAAGCGATGGCGGAATTTATCAGAGAGGTATGCGATGAGCATGGAAAAGCCGAACGAAGCGGCCCAGGGTGGGATGGAGTAGAGCTGGGTTTTGACGGCTGAGAGGAAGTTAGCGACTGCACCGTTATCCAGGCTCTGAGGGTAAGAACATACAACTGTAGCCGTAGGTCTGGATAATGGTCGGCGCAAAGTAGGCATAGCCATAAGCCGTAACCACCTGTCCAAAGTACATCAAGCCACCGATGAAGATCTTGTCTGCACACGAAACCATTAGCGCTGTATCGCCGTCGCAGCCACGGATAACCTACAGTCCTTGAAGACAGCGGCAATATCACGCCAGCTCATGCTAACATCGACAGCCGACTTTCCAACGTCCTTCGCCAGCTTGTCGCGCAGGAATGCGCGCTCCTCCTCCGTCAGCCACTTGGCGTCCTCGGGGAAGTCAGGAACCACAAAGAAACAGCCAATGGCCACCACGCAGGTCAGAACACCCTCGATGATAAACACCCATCGCCATCCACTGTATCCCCGGAGGCCGTCCATCTGTCCCAATCCGTAGGCGAGCAAGCCACCAAAGGCACCGGCCAGAGTCGTCGAGCTGAAGAAGAAACTGAAGCGCTTCTGAGCTTCACTGCGCTTATACCACATGCCCAGCAGATAGAAGCCTATCAAGTCAGTATACGACCATGGAATCGTGAGGAACTCACGTACAGCCAGGAAACAAGCCCGTCTCAAACATGCCCAGGAACCAGCGCGTTGTCATCAATCCTCCCCAATTCTGCACCAAGCCCTGGCAGACCATGACCAGGCCGAAGCCGAACATACACAGCGACACTAGACGCTCGTCAGTGTGGCCCTAAACACCGCAGCGCAATACGTACACCATATGTGCGGCTTCAACTTCTTCATCAACACATTGGATGGGATTTCGAAGATGATGTAGGGGACGAAGAAGATGGTAAGGGCGGTATTATACTTGGTGCCGGTCTCGATATTCAAGTCGGATTTGAGACCCAGAATGGCTGCGTTACTGACATTGACACTGCGCAATCCATGAGCTTCACGCGCTTCAATGTCATAGTTCCAATTTAAATGAAATTATTCGTACCGATCCAAAAATGCGAGCAGGTACATGACACAAAGACACGGCACCACATGCCAGTCAATCTTGGCCATCAATTTGCGCTCGTTGACAGTGGCGTATTGCGACGGTACTGGCGAGGACTCGCCATTGTCGGCCACCGGCTGTTTCTCTGTAGTCGAGTTAGTCAAATCTGGGACACTCGAGCGCCGATCAAGTTGCAGCGCAAAGAATAATTCCGGTCGCGATCGGACGTACCGTCAACGGTCATTCTCTATCGCGCGATCGCAAGAACGATCGCAAAACGCAACCAAAAAGGACGAAAGAAAAGCAGCTTCAGGGAAAACGCAAACATAACGGCAAAGACAGCGCGCGTGGCTGCAGCGGACTTTTAAACGAGAGCTGAAGGCGGGGGAAGCTAGATCGGCCAAGCTGAACCAGGAACGATGATGACTCCTTTGATTGCCAAAAAATGCGCCAATCCGAGGAGCCAGTGGAGACCAGCTGGGATGGGTGAACCAACCATCCATGGCCGATCTGGAGCTGGCCACTGCGCTATCGCAGTCTACGCAGGTTTGGGTTGTGACGATCGAGTCATGCTGATTTTTTTTCACTTGGTCGGCTGTCTTTCTTACTCTTTCTGTGTTGTCTTGTCGCTCTCTTCCCTCGGCTATGACTTGAAGGATGAGGCTTGGCACCGATGTCGGGATACTACCTGGAGTCTTATGACTGGTATTTAGCTCGTAAATTACTTAGCTATGTGCATCCTGATGATTGCCCATCAGCAATTCAACCTCGGAGGAAAGGCGACCCTGTCGGCAATTGGTACTTGTCGACCGCACAAAGAGGCAAGGGGGTCCTTGAACATCACTTGCCTGATTGGGAACCGGTCGGTGATTCAGCTGCAGCGATTTGGAGTTCAAGCTTCACGACGGCCCCTCTGTTTCCTTTCCTGCAGAGTTTCTGCTTCTGTGGGTTGGCCCACTCAAGAGATAATGACTGTGTCAGAGATAGAAGAAAACTTGTCTCCCGAATCAGAGTGCCATGATGGTTGTGGGCAACCTCTCAATCCACACCGGATCTGAATCGGAGGATCTGCGATGCTTGCCAGAAGAGAAAAGGTTGTTAATATGGGGAAGCGGGTCTTAGGAATCGTCAACAAGTTAAAAGATCCAATGAGCGCCAGTCTGATTTGCCATGTCCGCGGTACTTGCCCCAACCAATAATGTGTCTGCATGTTCTCTACACAGCATTGGCATAGATTATATAAGTCAAGTCATTAGGATTCAAGCAACGCTGCATTATACTTATCTAGTAACTAGTCAATTGCCAATAAATACAACAGAAAGCACATTCTTAGACATCATCATGATTGATTTCCCAATCCCAGCAGCGTTACCCTCCACTTCTGCTCAGGTAACACTTGTCCCCTTGTGCCATCACGCACTCAACTCCCTTTTTAATAACTGCCGTAAGAAGCATACTGGCCATAGTTGCCGTAGTTACCGTAGTTTCCATATCCCGCCGCGGCAGTAGTAGTCGTGCTCGCAGCAGAGGTGGTCGAGGACTCAACGTCCTGGTCGGGTTGGGGCTCAGCATCCCTCTTGTACGAGCCGTAGCTGGCGTACTTGCCATAGTTGCCGTAGTTTCCATAGTTGCCATAGTTCGCCGCAGTCGTGGTCGCGGACTCGGTCGAGGTCGTTGCAGAAGCAGTGCTGCTCACCTCGGGCTCCTCGTCACGCTTGTACGCCTCGTAGCTGCCGTAGTTTCCATAGTTGCCGTAGTTGCCATAGTCGCCGTAGCTGGCCGGCGCAGTGGTCGTAGGGACCGCAGTGGTAGTGGTGGAGCTAGGATCGGGCTCCTCGCCACGCTTGTAGGCCTCGTAACTACCATAGTTGCCGTAGTTGCCATAGTTCCCATAATCACCGTAGCTGGCAGGGGCGGTAGTAGTAGGAGCCGCAGTAGAGGTGCTAGAGCTAGGGTCTGGCTCTTCGCCACGCTTGTAGGCCTCGTAGCTGCCATAGTTTCCGTAGTTGCCATAGTTGCCGTAGTCGCCGTAGCTGGCCGGGGCTGTGGTGGTAGGGATAGTGGTGGTGGTGGTGCTCAGGCTAGGATCGGGCTCATCACCCCGCTTGTAATTTTGGTAGCTACCATAGGTGCCGTAGTCTCCGTAGTTGCCATAGTTGCCATATCCCGCGGCAGTGGTGGACGTGGCAGAGGCAGTCGACGACACGCTGCTGGTCGTCTCATCTGCCTGGGGCTCATCATCTCTCTTGTAGGCTTGGTAGTTGCCATAGCTGCCATAGTTGCCGTAATCTCCGTAGCTCACAGGAGTCTCGGTGGCTGTGGCAGTGGAAGTCTCGGTGGCCACAGGACGGGCAGTGGCAGCTAGCAGATGGCTGCTCAGCACCAGGAGAAGGCTCTTGGAAACGGAATGCATCATGTACAAGGGGATAAAGAAGTACGATTAAAGTTTAAGAGAGGGGAGGGTGATGTTCTGGAAGATCTTGGGATTTGCATGAGATTGGGGATAGATGCGGCCATATTTATAACTTCTTCATCTCCCTGCTTTACCCCCGGCATCCATATTTAGCAGAATGCCAATATCTCTCATCGTGGAGTAAGCGTCCTGCCATGGCGTGCCGGCATGATTGGCCAAGTCTCGGATTGTGCCATCTTTCGAAGCTCTATCTCGAGAGTAGCCGAGGACTAGCTTTCAGTCCAATCACGGCGACACCCTGAGATGACCAAGTGGCGCTGCGGATGCCAGTGTTACACTCATATGCCTCACGGACAGGCAACCCTCATTGCGAGCCCGCGCATCCACTTCCCTCTCCGGGATAAGAGGGGGCTTGGAAGTTGACCTAGATCGCGGCGATGACCCATCGTGATCCGCCACCAGGCGACCAATATAGGGTGTTAATAATAGCGTGCAGATGGGTTTAATGACGGTGAATCCAGGTTTAATCTCGGGAGTAAGGCATCTTTGCGTCATGTCTCAGTTGGACGAAAGTAAGAAGTAGAGCTGTAAGGCGGGCAGTGAGCTCGTATTGGGGATCTCCAGCGACCCATCCACTGCAGAAACCCTCATTGGGCGGCCGAATGAGACAGCGTCTGCGGCCAAGCGGAGGGTGTCTTACTTGGAACAAATAACATCACCGCCAGGATGAGCCTCTCCGCATCTGCACGAGCCTGGTTGTCTCACCAACCACTCGGATGAGTGTTACACCCGTCACTTGGTCCTCCCAACGGCGGGTTTGGCTTCGGGAGGATATTATTAGCATCGGACCTGGCGGAGGCATGGATGGGCCCATTGGTCATGCTCCATGGGCAACTGAGAATAAACACTCGCGCTGCGCTCTTTTTGTCCGCAGAAGAAGGCTTGTGAAGTTGTTACTCATTCTTTTTCTTTCGAAAAAGAGTCGTTCCTTCACACCATGGATTCTGTGCGCAACACCAACTCTTTTGACGACAAGATGCACACCTCGAAGCGGTCTGACTCGACCGATCGCGAGAGACTTCTTGTCGATGAAGAAGACGCTCACTGGTCGGGGAAGAAGAGTGTGCGATCAGGGCCTGGAAGATGGTTAAACATCATTTTCGTCGTTGTCATTGCGGTAGTGTCATGCTTGGTGGGCATCTTCATCGGCCACAACCAGGGGGACTCGGACAAGGCATGCACGCGGCGCATCACTCAGCACTGTACGTCCTGACTTCAAGAAAGTCCTCGAGCGTTAGACATCGAGGAAATCAGAACGTTGAGCTAACGCGACCGTAGCACCCGTGGTATCCCATGTCGGGCTCAACTATCACAAACAACAGTTCAACGGGTCACTTCTCAAAGAAAACATCTTCCGACAAGATGCCAGCCCGGAAGTGGATGCAGCATGGGAGTCTCTCGGTGCCAACTGTTGGTTTCCTTTCACATTCTGGAAGTGAGTAGTGAGTGGAGTTGGCTGATCGTAGTCCAGACCGATCCATCCGCGTCCCTGCCGAAGAAGCCGAGAAATCAGGCCTCGCTCCCGACCAGGTTAAGATCAACGAGAAGTACGGAGGTGGATATCCTGCCAATGTGGAAGGATTTCACCACCTGCACTGCTTGGTATGTTAGACAGGATGGAGGACGAAATGGATTGTGCGACTAACATGTTGCAGAATCTCCTGCGCCAATCCCTGTACTACAACTACGACTACTACCATGATCTGGGCAAGGGCGCCTTCACCAACAATGACTACGTTGTCCGTCGCCACGTCAGTACGTATTCCAAACTACCAAGATTTTCTCCTTAGTCTCGATACTAATCTGGACAGCCCATTGCCTCGATATCATCCGCCAGCAGCTGATGTGCACCGTGGACGTGGGTGTCCTAGGCCAAGTCTGGGTCCACCCCGACCACCCCGAGCCCTTCGTCGACTTTAACACTGAGCATAAGTGCCGCAACTTCGAAGAGATCCGCGATTGGGCGCAGCGAAACCAGCTTCCGGAGACGGTCCCTAATGACTTCCTTCAACCCCCGAAGATCGGAGATAGAGTGTATGAAGAAATTCCTTGATAGTTTCGGCTGCCTGTATATAGAATGTACATATAAATGTCTTGATGTCAATGAAAAAGGAATTTGAACTTTTTCCTACTGTAAGCAAAACTTGTGAAACGTTGGGCTGGAAACTCCAACCATTCAACACTCCCGTGATACAGCATCTGGGACAAGCGGACCATGGGCCTTGGGAAGCCTAATGGATTCAGGTTGCAGAGGACCGAGTCAGAAACCCAATGTGATGAACTGAGCTTAGTGATATCCTGAAAGTAGGATTGGACGGGAGATGGTAGTCCTGGAATTGTCTAGTAGATTCCACCTGGGACTGGACTACCCACTAATGCAGTAGGGACGTGGCATAATGTATTACAAGTAATTGCACCTTCTAGAAGAGTCCGGGTCTCCCATGATTCATACCAAATCCGGTAGTCCTGAATGGCACCAGTCGTAGTGTGGTTCGACTGGTGGGATAGGGCTGATCAAGGTTACGTTGATCCGCCATAGTCCCATGGATGGCGCCTGGCAGAGCAGGATCCAGGAGGCAGAACATGTTGATGTTGCATTCTGATATTTTGAAAGATGACTCGTGCAGCAGCGTCTAATCTATTCAACAGTACTGGATGTAAATCAAAAGCAATGCCGATAAGTAGGTTCTACATGTGCGTCTTAATAACGACTAGAAGCATTCTAGAAGGAGCGGCTCTGCTGCAGGGCTGCCCAAGCATCTCACAATGTCGAGGATCGTCGGCTCCTGCCCCGCATGGATAAAATGTTATCTGCAACGGACTTCTTTTCACGGGTGCCATGCTTTCTTTGTCGGCAACTCCGTTGGTACGTCAACTGGAGTTCTACCATAAGAGTTTGATTACTCCAGTCGGTCAGAGTCATGAGTCCTGCTATCCCTGTTATTGATCTTCACCAGTAGGTAGGCAGAGCAAACTGTCTGAAAATCATTGACTAATCACCCCCGTAGCCTTTTATAAAGGCAGCCGTGAAGACCGACAGCGCTTGACGGATGAGATCCGTCACGCTTGTGAAGACCTTGGATTTTTCCAGCTTCGCAATTACACCATCCCAGGTGAACTTCAAACAGCCATTCTAGAGTAGTCCAAAGACTTCTTCTGCCTACCGGTGGAGATCAAAGAGAAATACGATAGGGGTAAGCTTGCAAGCAACATCCACACTGGTTCCCACTATTTAAGCTCCTAGACAAAGACAGCTTCAACCGCGGCTACGAACGCTTTCGGGCCCAAAAGTTAGAGAAGAGAACCACAGGCGACCTGAAGGAGGGATTCTTTCTCGGTCGACATCTGCCACTAGATAGATGACCCCGACGTCCAAGCCGGCAAATTCGGCCAGGGACCTAACAACTATCCTGCTATAGGGACAGACCCGCAGCTCTTCCGAGACACGGGTGGATCGCTACTATGGAGCCGTTTTGAGTCTCACAATCGACCTCATGACTGTCATTGAGGAAATAGTGGGCCTTGATTCAGATGTTCTGCGCCGGTTCTGTACCAAGCCCATTGCTACGCTTCACTTGCTTCACTACCCCCCTCAAGCACCCGATGCATCGGAGCTGGAACGAGGTGTGCATTACCAATCCTCCCGCATTCGGCTCCAAACCACTAATGAGCTAACCTTACTGGCAGGCATCGGGGCTCACAGCGACTTTGGTGCCATCACTATCCTCTTGCAGGACTCCATCGGGGGGTCTACAGGTTTGGGACCGGACATCGAATGAGTGGGTGGATGTCGTGCCTGTGCCCGGCGCTATTGTGGTAAATACGGGCAATATGATGATGCGCTGGACAAACGATCGGTATATCTCCAACTTACATCGAGTTATCAACACATCGGGAACTGCACGCTACAGCGTTCCGTTTTTTCTTTGACGGAAATGCAGATTTCCTGGTTGAGTGCCTAGAAAGTTGCCTGGAGCCAGGCAGATGCCTTTGGGGGTGGCGCAGTGGAGGGCGAAAAGGACCTTGTGAGTTTGGAGTAACAGCACCAGGATACAAACGATGGAGGCAAAGTTACCATAGCTATGTTGCACAGTTCATTCAATCAACCGTGGAGAAGCATGAAAATCTTAAGTCTCAACTCTCCCATAGTATGGATGGTCACATATCCAAATTGTTGGGTACCAGGGAAGTCAGGCGCGGCCCGAGCAAAGCACATCTGACTCTTTAGGATTCAAAAGGAAGCATGTAGAATTCAGAAGATCCAGGGGTACTATAGAAGTATCAGGGATATATTTGCCTTTAGTAGCTAGCTGTGGAATGGCATGGCGGGCCTATGTTAGTACCGGCTATATCGGGGGGTGAAATATCCGTCTATCCAGCACAAGAGTTTTGATAGCTAGAAACCCAGCAAGATTAGGTAATCATCGTACTTTCTGTCGCCAGGACCCAATGCACGCACTGGGCAATTCCGACCGTTGTAAGAGAGACATGAATCGTGTCGTCAAGCATTACTGGGTGGGTTCAGAATGCATTGTTCTGTGTACGTGGTCGGTGGAGGGCCCAAGAGCACCGGCTGCACGGATTTGGTAAGTATCGAGGTCGTAGATGTCACCAGAATCCCAATATCCCAACCATCGCAAGAACCGACCGCAAGGATTTGGGGGAATTGTTCCAGTACCTGCCTGGGCCCCCTTGGAAAGCCCCGGGATTTAAGTTGGCAGTCGGGATATGGAGTGCAAGCAATGGATCGACTCGAAACGTCATGCTGCAAGTGCGGGCTCCACCCGAACCACACTGAAAATGAATCCGGATTGCTCTTGCGGGTTACCATCGGCTCAGGGTCGCTTCTGACAGGCGCGTTTGTCTTCCGGGCCAATCGATCCTACGTCAACATGTCGCCCCAGAGTCTGAGCTCGACCACATTTCTATATTCATTTATCTGTCCCCCAGTGAATCCGGTTTGGGGCGGATATCTTCCGTCCCCCGTTCCACCCCATCAACCACGTTTCTCCCAATGTGTGTGCTTACACCTCTGCCGGATATATTATCCCTACAGCCCGACTTGCGCGTTCGTCTGCGATTTCCACTTTGTGTGGCGCCGTGTGGTCGATCAAGAAAGCACCGTTGATTAACCTTATCGAGCCGAAGCCCAGTGCTATGATTTAACGGACGGTCTGACTCCCTCCAATCATCGTGCGTAAATCGCAACACTGGTGTGCCTTGCAAAGCACCCTGGTTGGCAATATCGTATAAATAACAGCCGTGGCCACCATCCACTGTGCAACATCCTAGTGGCTTATTTTGTATTTGCACACTGTCTCAATTGTGCATCAATTATACAATTCACCACTGCTTCGCTCCTCAATCCTTCCCCCGAACATCTCAATGGCTGATGTAAGAATGTCTGCCGATTTGAACCTCTACGGCCCCCTCTCGGGACCCCCCTCCACCACTGAAGAGACCTGGCCGGGCGGGCTTCCTTTCTATCTTGACAATACCATTCCTCAGGACTGTCTTTCTCTTCCTCTGTTCGACGATAACAACTCATGGATGCTCAATTCCTTCGAGCCGCCGCCCGTGTCTTGGGCTACTGGACCCGCTCTCCGAACCAACTCCACCGCTAGCTCCGAAGCCAGCTTCATCGCGCCCTGCCAGACCGTACACAATCCTACCACTACTAGTGATTACGAGCAAAAATGCTCCCCGATGCAGAGTACCATTCCACAATTCGCACCGGCACAGATGCCTCCAGCTCCTATGCATGAAATCACCTCGCGGGGTAGCATCACGAGCGTTAGCAGCGGTGGCAGTGCCGACAGCAACCAATCCCGGTTCAGTATTTCCAGCTACAGCAGCAGTAACGAGAGCCCGACATATAGCCGTCGAGGAAGCACCAATCGACCTCCCTCTCCGGGATTTGAAGTGAACGAGCGCGAACGACGGAAACGGGAGCGCTTTCTCGAGCGCAACCGCGTGGCCGCCAACAAATGTCGCAAGAAGAAGAAGGAGCATGCCAAGCAGCTGGAGAGTCGCTGCGAGACAGTCTCACGGGAGAATACGCTCCTGGAAAGCCAAGTGGATCACCTGCGGGGCGAGATCTTGAACCTTAAGAATGAGCTGCTGCGACATTCCCACTGCGGGGATGAGAGGATTAAGTGCCATTTGGCGAAAATGGTGAAGCAGCTTTCTGATAAAGCTGGCACGACAACTCAGAGTCCGGAGAAGAAGACGGAGTCATTACCTCCGACGGAGAGTCCCAAGCAGGAGCAGGATATGGCAATGGATCTGGAAGATCTGGTGCAGCTGCCGGCTGCCGCGGATGGCTTAGTAGCAGAGGGGCAAAAAGATACCGAGTGAAGGTCTAATTCAAGCGATCATCGACAGATCTGTACATGGTGGTCTGCGATGATTCGATTAATGTCTTATGATGAGGCGTTGTGGATGATGTTGTTTTATTATTTCCCCTTCTGCGTCCCTATCTTTTAACCCTTTCTAATGTCTTTTATCTCTTCCCTTCCCTTCCTCTATTTTACCTCTCTACCTTTCTCTCTTCGGGACCTTCTAACCTTCTCAACTTACATATATGTACAGTAGTGGAAAAGTACTGTATTCGAGCTAGATGATAGATACGATTGATGATGGTGGTAGCTAGCAAGCATGCTTGACGATGTTCCTGGGTTTAATGTGGCGAGCGGGTTTTGACGGGGCGCAAAAGTAAACTTCACTCCAATACTTCAATCACATTATGCTTGCATGTAATTCGTTAGTTCGTTGTGGATTAATTGATTCCAATATATCCATTGTCGTCATGATCTTCAATAACGACCAATAGTATTAGTCACAGGGCCACCACTTACTCAATTGACCCCGGATGATATTCGCCATCCAATATGTACAACTCCAGTACCTACAAATTGACTACTACTTGTACTTGTACGATGATGCTAAAATCAATCCTCATTAGCAATGCAATAGTAATTCAAGTAGTCAATTCCACACTACACACAATTTAAATCCATACTCAAAACTGAAACACATTCGATTCATATCACATAACAAACTATTCCCCAATAGAGCTGGTCACAATGTAATCCTTAGTAGTTTACTCCTCCGGCATATCCTCCGCAGTCCTCGATCCTCCCTTCCGACCGGCCTCTCTAGCCCGGGGATCTCCAGGCTCGAAGCTCCCTCCAGATGCCATTCCACCCTTGTGGCCGGCTTCCCGGGCTCGTTCTTCGCCAGGCTGGAAGCTACCACTGGAGGCTTGGCCGCCCATGGAGGCGATGTTGCGCTGTTCACTTCGATTAGGACTTCATTATGTAGATGGAGTGAAAAGGGGATGAATGTACCTGCTTATCCTCGTCCATGGAGGCGAATCCGCCCGAGTGGCTGGACTGGCCACCCTTGCGGGCGATGTCTTCGACTTCTTCCTGGGGGCGGTTGGCGAAGTTGCCGGGGTTGGGGTTGGAGGCCATTTCGATGGTTGTGTTGGTGATGTGTGGAATGTAGTTTAGGCTGTTAATTGCTTGAGATAGATGCTTGTTGGTTAAGATGGGAGAGTAAGTTCACAGGGTTATGGTAGGCTATTTGTAGGTCTGGCGGACTCTGAATTATGATGCTTTGTTGTCTAACTATAGTTATTACAATGACTCCTCACTGATGTCAATGTCGATCCAGTAACCATGACCGTGATCGTAATAAACATGGTATAGTCAGCCTTGTTTCATGTTTTGGTGAATTCTCCAGGGTCCTGGCTGCATGTGGTCTACATAGTAGGTTTCTCCTTTGGGTAGGGCAGGGACAAGGTACAATTATGGGCTGTGAAGTCATTCGGCATCATGTTGTGGGAACATTGCTGTTTCTGGAAAAGAAGGGACATGGGCGATTGGCACATTTGTTTCCCTCTTTGTTGAGATTTCTCGAGAAAAGTCTGGAAGGTTAGATGTGGTCATTGTGATGGTGGTGTGATACTATGGATGGTCTGGGTTTGGTCGGTGGTTGTACGGTGGCACTATGCTTGAGACTACTAGTAGTGGACGGATGGCGGGGTCGGTGATCGATCAGATTGTCGTGCGTCGATGTGATCCCCCCTCCGTTCAATTGTCCTATAATGGCAGAGATGGAAACATCACTAACAGAGGACAACCCTTGTTGTTGTTGGACAGTCGAGATGAGGTACACGGCCTGGCCAGCGCCTCAAGATCGCACCGATAGGGGGTGGGGCAGCCTCACTCTGAAAGAGGTGGACCTGACCCGCGTACAAAGCCTCATTTCCCCCTCAGCGGTGGTGTTCGTCTGTTGACTTATTACAGTAGAGGACTGTTACGGGCCTCGCTCAAAACATTTCTCCATAACTGTTACTCTCATGACATCATCGTTGAACACACCATTACCTCATCAATATCCGCTCCCAATCAAGCTGCTTCGCCAGTCCCCTGGGTCTGAAAGTCAATTTGACCATTTGTTCCACAACTTCCCTGTCATCCAGCCTGGGGGTCTTTGGGGCTTCTGAGTGGCAGGGCCCTTGTGCCGGAATACGGGACGAGAGAGCCGGTGCCCACGGGTGATCCCCGGTCTGTGCGATGTGCATGCCGGGGGAGCTGTGACCACTTAGCATGCTCGCGATATGTTGGGGAACTCATGGTACAAAGTGCATGATTTGTGTCACTAATTGCTATAGTATCGCATAATGGTGCTATTTCTTTTCTATCTTCTCTCTATACAGTATTCTTTGTGGAGCTTGCAAGCAAATGCTGTCAGTGCAACGCCCAGAGAATGTCCCCAACAAGATGCCCTCTTATCCACCTTTCACCGGTCGCAATTGATGAAATAAAACAAAATAGAAGCATGATCCGATCAAATCAACTCCCGGGGACGAATTGACCAAAATACTGGTCCAATGCTTCCACCTCTGCTAGGTTCCCTAGCCAAGCAACATGCTGATCCGGACGACAGAGGACCAGACAACCGGTTTCATCTCGTATGCCGTACCTTTCATATGCCTGGCCACAAGCTTCGCCGTACGAGCCATCGTCAGCAAATACCCTCGAGTAATCCCATCCCCACGTCTCATCGAATGGATGAAATATCTCTGGTAGATCCAAAAGGTTCACCGAAGTCCTCGGGCTGGAATGCACCATGATTGTCTCGAGAAGGGGACTACAGCGGTTCGACTGATCTTTGTGCAGACATGGCAGGTGAGCCTGCTCGTTGAACTGGTTCGCAAACCTAGACAGCCGACTCTGGTTGCGAGGTTCACGCAGGTCGCCTGGGAATACGAGCAGCCTCCAGGCTCCGTTACTGGTCAACCTGCTGCTCAGCTGCATGCTGATCCCGTCGGCCTGACCCACAACTGGATGTGATGACAGGCGCATACCGATCTTGATGTTGTTTGCGACCGCTGTATCCGCTTTCTTTCCGGCGACCAACTGATCTGGACCATATGTCACGCCCACTCCCGTCATGAAATCGATGTATTGGCCACGAACGCGCTCAACTCCTTCGGTGACGCTCGTGTCTTGTTCGTATGCTTGAACTAGCTCAGTATCCAGCTTGAGCAGCTCCTCGCCAACCGGTCGCCGTTCCAGTTCATATGTATCCAGTATACTCGGTGAAGCTTCCCCTGTGATCACGGAGCATAGCTTCCACGTTAGGTTGTACGTATCCTGCATCGACACATTCAGACCCTGACCTGCCTTGGGTGAGTGGGTATGTGCCGCATCACCGGCCAGGAAGATCCTGCCATTAATCAGCGCATGTCTCGAAAGAATTAAAGAGCCCACCAACCTGTCATGTGGTCTATACGTTTCAACTAAACGTTGACCTATCTATTCCAGTCAGCCATAGCCGCCTGCCTCTATCGGAAACTCACCTTATAGATAGACCACCAGTCGCAGTGCTTGTAAGTCAATTTGTAGGGCTTCATCACCTTCGCCATGGCTCCCACAATCTCATCAAGGGATACTTCCGACCGATCTTTGCCCTCCACACTCAGCCTTCCATCGCCTTTGGGATAGATGTAAAAACGGACCAGCCGATTCTCCCTGGGCGCGGTCATGATGCTGCCACGGTCTCCAGCATGTATAGCACAGGATTGGCGAATATCCGCTGAAAACACATGTCAACCAAGCATACAGATGTACCAACTATATAGACTCACGGAAGTCAGTAATTGGAGCGATATCCACAACGCCCCAGGTGGTATCTCCAGAACAAACCCGCATCGGGACCTGCAACTGCTCTCTGACCCAGCTCCTCGCACCATCACAACCGATAACATACCGAGCGCGAATGGTCTCAACCTGATCACAGTGTCCATTGGCCCCTAAAACATCATCCAAGTCAGCATGCGACCATTATCAAACCCAAGAATAACCATACCATCGAGCCCAACCCGCTTCACCCCCACAACAATCGGATACTCATCCTCCTTCAGAAACTCCAAGGTCTTCGCCTGTTTCGCATACTCTACCTCCACCCTGCTCTCTTTCTCTAACTCCAGATAATCCAGAATTATCTGCTCAATCATCCCCTGATTCAGCAAAACCATGTTATACCTCGACTTATCCGTCTGAGCCGGGTCCATCTTCTGCCTCGTTATCCCGCCCGCATTCTTATCATAGCCCTACGCAGCGCCCGAATTAGTGCGGTGCTCATTTTCCCCACGAGGATCGGAATTGGAGACGAAGCTGAATGCGAAATAGTATATAAAAAATTAATAGTTTATTTACCCAGAAACACATTTCTGCATGTTGCACACCTTTCCGCACTATCGGATCAACTAGCCCGAAGCTCTCCAGGATCTCCAGTGTTCGGCTCTGTATCCCGTCTGCGTGGCCGGTCGCTGTTCGGGAAGGATGTTTGTCAATGATTCGGGTTGTCATGTTCGTGTACTGGGAGGCCCAGCAGGCCGCCATGAGGCCGGCTGGGCCGGCACCGATGATGAGGAGGTCGGTTTGGGAGGGGGAGGAGTTGGGTGCCATTGCAGGGTGTCGTGTCATGCCATTGAGGTAGGTGGGAAGTAGTATAATATGTAGATATCGGAAAGATTTGTACAGGAAATGAGATATTTAGTATGTCTTACGCTATTGCACGTCTATCTCAGGCAAATCGCGTTCCTGATGGCTTTAGATAAAGTAAAGAAGTGGCGTCACAATTGAGTTCGGGCGGCTGGTTAAGGTAACTACCACATCGAAACGTCATGGATCGTCACCGTTGCTGACACTTTATCGGAGATTTTTTTTCTTGATCATAGTTACCCTTTGCTGCTCCGGTTCCTTATCCTGGCTAGGGTTTCCATTGTGGATCGCCGGATTATTGTACATGCTGTAATTGGGGTGATATAGGCATTGGGCAGATGGTACTACTCAAATAGGTAATCGAACTCCCGGATTTATTTTCCACCTCGACCTATCACATCATTGGGTAATCTCATCTAATGAATTGAACGTTAGATCATGGAGATTTCTTCTCAATGTTAATCGCATTGATAAGATCCTTAAACTCACCAATCCCACGTGTTTCGATCGGAGTCCTGACCCTCGGGTACAAGTCACTGGTCGCATCATCAGCGATTCGAATATACATAGAAGCTGGAATGTGGCGCTAATGGAACGATAGCAAGTGAGGCAAGTATATAATAAGCACATTGACTGCGCGTCTGGGGTATCAAGATCAAGCACATCCTATACAGGATGTGCCATATCAGCTCTCCACGCCGTCACGCGAACCGCACTATGAGCCCGACGACAAGCCCGGCGATAGCCCCAATGACAATCCCACCTGCTGAATATAGCAGCGTACGGCGCCACGACCAGTTCACCCACCGTAACTCGGTGGGTAACTGATAGCCTGGGTTTACGGGCGCGTTGGATTCAAGGGTTGGTCCTTTAGCGTAGCTGTCGGGCTGAGCGGAAGTCATCGTTTTGGTTCGGAAATGTCCTGCTCAGTCAAGCTGTCAGTTCTTGATAAAGAACAGATTGTCGTGGGTTATACGCACGGCTCGGGCATGCGATCGTGTCTTTTAGTGATAACTACTTAGAATAATGTTGGGAGGGCCCTATGTCGCCTTTGTAGTCATTAAATAAACCGCCGCATCTGCACCCTTTCCGCATGACTTCATCCTTCATTCGAACGGGCCATACAAAAATCAATACAGGTTGGGCTGTGCTGTGCCCTGCGAACATGCTGTCTTCCTTGGCTTCTTGGCAACATCTGATTTGAGTGCCCTGCGGGGATCTTGACTTCGACGGTTCGTTCAACCCGGAGTGTAGAGGCCCGGCTGTGGGTCATATCGAGTTTCTTAGTGGATACTAACTAGGAAGAGGATCAATCCTGATGAAAGGGCCCTGTGGAGGCTCATGTGGATTTGCGTTCTTATTCGCAGAGGGCAAAGATGATGTCTCGGAAGAAAAGAAGACCGGGCAGTCATAGGAGGAGAGAGCAGAAGCGCTCGTTCGGGTCCATCGCCCGCTACCAAGCGTATTCATATAGACATGGACGGAATATTGCGTATGCCAAGGGGTAGTGCCCCTGCCACTTTGCAGAGGTCAACATTAAGATTCCTAATGCGGATGTTTGGGGGTTTGGTCGCTATCGGGGCTGATGCTGTGCTGATTTTGGAGGACATCGCAACTGATGTTGCCAGATAGCTTCGCAAGAGCTAGGTGGATATGTCGTGTTGATTATTCCGGAACTATTTCTCATACTGCATGCAGGCTTTGCAACTGTACTAACTGCACCGGTGGCCTTTCAAAGAATGGGACTATTGCGGTCATCGTAACTCATAATAGTGGATCAATGTAGATGTCGCGCTTAAGTGACAATATCGTCTCCCAAGCTGCAGTATAAACGAGATAAGACTGAAAATCTGCGAATCCTCTGTTGTAGGAAAAGAATGGTGTGGTTAATCTATCAGTTGATGATGGGCGGACCCGGCCAAGAAGCCGCGGCGACTCGAGGAAGTTCACCCCGGCGGCTTGGTTGAACTTGGCGCGGTGTGGAGACTGTGGCCCGCGCTATAATATAATAGTCAAGGTAGAGTCGTAATATTTGTTAGATTTTGCGATCGTGACTGAGATAGTATGTCGAGGGCATCATTCGGAACTCGAACGTCATGGTGCGGAAAACGATGGGTTAAGATACCGAAGAAGCATCCTGTTAACAGTGCGACAGCGAAAGGTACGATATGAGATTAGCCGCTTAACACGCATAATATCTGAAGTTGAGGAGCCTCGTGGCCGAGGCCATCGTTATACTCGGTAATGTTGAGAATCCGAGGGCTCTTATGTTCGTAATGTGGGTTTGGGGCAATCGCAGTAGAACTGTATCAGTAAATTGTAGCTCTGGCTATGGGCAGATGTCGCTACAGAGCTTTGCTTGGAACTACGCCCATGGAGCCTGTTGAAGTAATTGCTATCACTGCGTATTCTGAGATGAACCCGGTCTCTTGTTCCGACGGAACACTCGATGTGCGGAGACCAACAGGCAATATATCAACCTTATAAGCGGCTTTGTCGCACTGACACCATGCCAATCTTCGTTGGGCTGTCAGAGCATCTTGCTCATCTTATATCAATATGAGCCCGATCGGTCAGACTGAATGTGCGCAGGCGGCAATTTAGAGACACCGTCTGTCCAAGAGGGGGGCCAAATATCTCGCTCACCAAGATGTATGGGGCCCGGCGGGAGAAGACCATGGCGAAGCGAACCCATGGTCCCCAAATAACTCGGATGGAATGTAAGTCTAGCCGTAAGCCATGTATAACTCGATCTGGTAGTAGGTGACAACGCTGACAGTAGGTAGTGTGATCCTTCGCCTGGCAGATAATAGCCTTCTACAAGAAGATATTGCAGACTTTGTGAAAGCTCAGGCAAGTCCGACAGTCACTGTAAGGGCCTTTTTTTCTCTCCTTATTAGCTGATCGACTATGACGGCAGATAGCGGTTCTCCCAACCGAAAACCGTACCTACAGCACTGGACCCAGAGGATCACGTCGTCTTCGACGTGCAGCAGCAGCGTTCATGACTGAGGAGTTCCAGGCCCGGGAGCCCGTTACAGAAGACAATATTTTCGTCACGCCTGGCTTGGCCAGTGCGATGGATGCGTTAGCTTGGTCAAAATGTGACGAAGGCGAAAGTATTTACATTCCTCAACCGTTGTACAACGGTTCAATTTCGACACTCTCAATCGAAGCAATGCGCGTGTAATTGGGGTGCCGTACGAGGGCATAGAAGGGTACTCTAACCTCGAGGACCTATTTCACCCTGAGGTGAATAAAATGGCTCTAGAGTCTGCGTTGCGCAAAGCAGAAGACGATGGTATCACCGTCCGTGCCCTTTTGGTTTCCAAGTCAATTATGTCCCTCGTCATAGAGGTGTCTACTTACCGACGCAATGAAGCTTAGCCCACATAATCCTTTAGTAAGGTACTATGTCTGATTTCCCATCCTCCTAGTTCACTGTCATCGTACGTACTCATTTTGGTTTTGATATAGCATCCTGAGACCCTGAGGGAATTCACCGCATTTTGCGGTAGACATCAACTGCACTCTATGCGAAATCAGTATTTGTGAATGCGGCAATCGCGACTCGATCTCAACCCTCTCTGCACTGGCACTTGATCTTCGCGACATTATTGACCTCACTCTTCCACATGTCCTGTATGGCGCAAGCAAGGACTTTCGGGCCAATGGCTTACGGCTTGGATTGGTCTCCACAAAGAACGAGGGCATCATAGGTGCAATGTCGAGCATTAGGTATGTTCATAGTGCTAGGGTGATAAGCGAATATCTCTAACGCGCAATATTTAGCATGTCTCATGGTCGCCATGCTCGAGGACAAGGCATGGATGGACAACTTTATGTGCAAGAAAACCAGTCTCATGGTGGAGAACTACCGTATTGCCACATCCTTCTTCCGTGGACATGGCATTCGTTTTTGCGAGTGTAAGGTTTTTTGCCAACATGTTGAAGGCCTGATTGTGCACATATGTCGCAAGGAATGCCGGCTTGTTCATCTGGATAGACCTTCGCCATCCACTGCTAGGCAAGCCTATCGCACCGCAGTCAGACTACAGGCAGCTGAGGATTACGTTGCCAGACTCGCTTACATGAATGAGAATTACCGACATCTGTGCGGAGAATGGGGTTATGATTGCGCCTGGTAGCATGTACATGCCAAAAGAGCTCGGGTGATTCCGTATCACGTTCACTGTCGGGAAGAAAGCCTTGGAAGAAGGCTTGAAGCGGCTGTTGAGATCCATCAAGGAGGCTGAAATGGGAACTTGTGGGAATTGAAGGACTATGCCGTTTGAAGTATAGTGAAGCGCATTGATTGCTATCTCGGTCCGTAGACCGCACCACATTCACCAGATTCCACCAGCCTTGTCTGTGTTTAGCGTCCCACAATCCCCCTCTGCTTTTTGGATGGCTGCCTGTGGTGCTGTCATCTTTACTTGGCTACCTAAGTCGCACACTTTAGTGGTTGTATTTTCTCATCGTCCGTGTTATCATAATCGTGATACAGCCCAATCACCTCGGACCATCTTTGCTATTTATAGGATAGTCCGGACAGGGATTGCCTTTGTCCTCTGGCCAGAATAGTGACTTGGTCGCATTAGGGCATACTACACAGTTATACTATAGGTCAAACCCTCGCGGATGGCAGGTTCCCCTCTTTTATGTCCTTTCTTGTGCTAATTAGAGGACCGACTGGAAGATCAGGCTGAGGGCCGGGCTAAACACGGACCCACGGCGAAGGCGGGCGCAGACGTGAATGGTGCAACCGGGGAATCTAGATCAAAGCGACTCCACCAGGGGAGATTAAAATCATGGACAAGCATACACAATAACCTAGCTAGCTAGTCAGCTACGTAGCTAATTAAATGACTACTGTGTGGCACAGTCGCCCACCAGCTGGATGAGCCACGATCCCGACAGTCCCTTTACCCGAGCCTCACACCAACAAGGACCCCAACCGATCGCGAATGGCCCCCAATTCACTAAAATGAAGCCAACTCATCTTCCGGACAAAACAACAGGGATTAACTGGTCTAGCTGGTTTAAATGCCCGTCTCCCATGCACCGCCCCTTAAAAAAAGTTGGCCCAGGAAGCCTTTCCTCCTTCCTTCTTCCCCCAAGAAAAAACAAACCCCCAAACTGCCTGCATCTGACCTCAGCCAACCATGGCTGCCAGGTCGTCGGATGGGCTTCGTCTCCTGTCCGATGTCAACATCCCGGACGCAAGATTGAACGACGACTCATCCGGTGACGATAAAAGTGTAATTGATCTGCGCGATCTTGGTAGGGGGCCACGCGATTCGTTTCGTAGTGACTTGACCGATACACCACCCAAAGGTGTCGATCATGGTGATCAACCTCATCCTTTACCAGTGCCAACCAATAAACCCAGACGTCGGTGTTCGGGTCTCTTCGTCACTCTTATCGTCTTGGGAGTATACACCACCATCCTGTCCGGGGTCTTCTTCGTCGTCGCGTGTATCAAGCCCTTCTATGGCAGTTTGATTGGCAACAATGCCGGACTCACTGCCTCTTCCGCATCCTTGCTGAGCGCCCTGTTAGCCAAAACAATCGAGCTCTCTTATGTCACAGTTTGTGTCGCATTCCTGGGCCAACTGTTGAGTCGACGGGCTCTCACGCATGGGTCCGAGGGCGTCAGCATCGCCGACATGACGCTGCGAACCTGGATCACGCAGCCGGGGTCGCTGCTGATGCAGTGGGATGTGCTGCGCTATGTCGGCTGGACGACGCTTGGTGGGTTGACGTTGATTGTTGCTCTGGTTGCGATGCTGTATACCACAGCTGCTGAAGCGTTAGGTTGGTCACTCTGTCCCCTTGCCATTAGTATTAGTCTAATACTCACTTGCTGACCCTCCGCGCTCTACCGGCTGTAGTATCTCCAAGCTTGGTTTTGGGTCCCGTCCAACCCCGACTTCTGCAGGGAAATGTTTCCACCCAGTACTCCAACCCTTATTATTTGGAGGATGCCTGTCAGAGTCCAATCACTGCCGCCGTTGACCCGACATCCTGGAATGAGACCTGCCTGGCGATGGAGATAGCCGGCCGCTCATACCATGACTACTACCAATACCTGCAAGGTTGGGCCGAAATGCTGAAAGCCGGAAACAACACCTCTACTGCACTCGCTTATCGTCCGCAGCCACATGCCTTGTTATACGATAACACCACAGTAACCGGTCGCTGGATCGAGATTGTGAACACCACCGCCGTGTCCGAACAGCATGGTCGAGTCGTCAACAATGTTACTGCCGCCTACCCTCACGGAGGCCTCTTCGCCGCTGCTCGCAACCCCGCAAATAAGATCCAGCAGCCAGTCGATATGTCCGGCGAGGGTAAATACATTATTAAAGCCTCTCTGCCTTCACCTGCAATCAATGTGATGTGTGTCGGCATGTCTTATGACGAGCTGAAACCCCTCATCTACACCGAGTGGCCCAACCATAAGCCCTTCAACGCATCGACTTGGGCAACCGCTGCACCAACCTACTCGATCAACACGAACCGCACCGTCGTCGATGACCTTTTCGGCTTCAGCGAAGACCAAGGCGCCCCTGTCTTTCCGATTTACCCCAAAGACTACAACACCATTCTAAATCCCAAAGTCGACAACACAACCTCCATCTACATCTTAGGCAGTGCTCCTCCAGGTCACGACCCGAAGTACATCCTCTGCAGCTTGCGCGGAAAGCTTTCCGGTCGCTGCTCAGCCCGGTACCAGGTCGACCCTAGCGGCGGTGACCTGAGCTCCCGCTGCGAAGACGCGGCTGACGGGCTCCAATACAACCGGATACATCCTAACACGCCAGAGGATCAATATCTGATGAACTGGAAAAGCGTGGGATGGGAGTGGGCCGACACGGTGACACTCGGGTCAGGTATCATGGGTGACGACGCCAGTATCGAACGCACGCTGATGGAATTGATTCCGAGCTTCGATAACACCACCAATACCTCTTCGCTAGATCCTCGGCTCCCCTCGCTCAGTGAGGCTTTGGCCGTCTTAGCGGGGAGTACCGCCCTCCTCGGCAGTCAGGATTCTCCATTCGTTCCCGATTGGAATTACGCCGAGGCCAGTCTTGCTACCCCGGTTGTGCAGGTGTTCAACGCGACGCTGCAGTCCGCGGGCTATGCGTCCGGCCGGACGAGTGACTGGCAGCAGGTGTTTTATGTGATTCTAGCTGTGGTCTTTCTGACGAACATCATGTGTCTGGGGTTCATCCTCTTCCAGGGACGCGGGCAGTTAGTGACGGATTTTACGGAACCGCCGAATCTATTTGCTTTGGCCGTTAATAGTCCGGGGACGGTGCATGCCTGGTCTGGAGCGCAGCTGGGAGCAGCAGGGACTCCGCGCTTGCGCGATCGATGGCATGTCGATATGCGCGAGGAGAGCGGACATTATTATATTCGTACCCGGGGGCAATTTCAGGACCTTGAGGATAGGGAGGCGAACTAATGGCTATGATATGATTTTCCAGGGCGGTTGGGGCTCTTACTTTTACTGCATTGCAGGTGTTAGCGAATAGCGTTTATTGCATTAGACAGATAGTATTGTAATAATGAATGTCAGCATCAAGGTCATTGGAGAATACCTTTATCGTATGCGATGCTCTTCACATAGAGCTGATTAATCATGCCTCTATCTGCAGATAAGAATGAAACCTCTAGCACAAAGGCCTTGGCAAATAAGACAGCCAGCCAGCCAAATGGTCCTTAGGAATTTCCTAAGATATGGCGGATGGCGGGTGGGTATGCAAGGGTGATTCGCGGGCTGGCTCTGCCATTCGTATTCTCGGACAGTAACCATGAGATCGGTCCTGAGGCACCGCGGATAGATAAGAAGGTAAAATCATCGTTCGTCCGAGGCCCCGGAGCCGAACAAGAATTTTGTCTAGCGATATACCGGAGATGCTACGGACAATGAATTGGGTTGTCTCCGAGAATCATGGATTGTTATGATACCCTCTGTTGATGAGAGTGTCACGTTTGGCGGAATCCCCCTAGTGTTGGAGAGGACAATAGTCTGGGAGAAGCATCTGCTAGCAAACCCCCAAGAAGCTCAAATTGGACAATATGGAGGAGTTGTTGGATGCATGTCGCGATAATGGCATTCCAATCGTCGGAATAAGATAAGAAGGACTAACACGTTGATAACGCCAATATTCGGCAATAACACGTGCATATGAGGTGCTCTGTAAACGTTTATTGATGAGATTCTGTCAAGTCATTTGCATGAGTAATCACCTGTTCGATATACTAGTTGTTCATCTAACTCATGTTCTTCATTGCTTTTGTTGTGAGTCCTAATAGACTTTAAGAAGATATGCTGTTGAGCCAGCTCAATCCCCAGTGTAATCCTCTCATTGGTGGGCAGCTTACATGTGCCGCATATCTATCTATCCATTCGGATTGTTTACAATATGACAATCTGCAATGCCAGCCTCCAAGCCCTGTCACACCGACAAGACCGCCACAGAAGCCCCGCAACAGTTATCTTCACTCGTAGATTGCGTCCAAGTAGCCTCTTATGATCTATTATACAGCGAAATAGTCTGTATGTACTGGAGTTAGGTATACCTCTACTTAGCTCCCCAGCGCGCAGGTGCCCGTCTCATACCTATATCATGCTTTTTTCATGGAGCAAGAGCAGCAGAACACCCAGCTCATAATGAATCGGGGAATTGATAGTTGTCCAACCCTGCATTCCACCTTTTGGGGAGATCGACAGGAAATCTGCATTCCGCCAGCCCATCCTTGTCCACCCCTTGCGTCATTCATCGCTTACCTTTACAATCCTCAGCCCAGCCTCACCTGGTCTTTCGAGATATAGTCAAGCTCCGTAGCTACGGAACCCCCTTAAGCACCGTATATTCAAATTCTCCCAACAGCACACTCTATCCAACGCATCCACCAGCCGAGTTGCTAAATTCGGCAGCAGGATGGGCTCGCTGGAAAGCGCAACCCCCGGGCACGGGGAGCATCTCCCAGGAACCGAGATAATACACGATGGAGAGGATCACCTCATTCATGGATCTGAAACGGGGATAGTGTGAGCAGTGCTCCTCGAGTCTAGATGTACAGCATTAGCTCACCTCCACAAGCCTCGTTCCTCAGCCATCGGAGGATCCCCACGATCCGCTGAACTGGTCGACGAAATGGAAGCGTTAGTCGCAACCACCCCGCACTCTGAACCATGCTCATCAATCATCTTCGATGACAGTCCTAGTGATCATGACCCAGCTCGTGGCCGTTTTCGTATTGACAGCATCTGCATTGTCTATGAGCCCCATGTTCCCTGCCTTCTCCGAATCCTTCGATTTGAACAACACTCAACTCCTGCTCATCACCGGCGTGTGTATCCTGTCCTTTGCCTATGCCAATTTGATCGTCGTTCCCTGTTCCAATATCTTCGGTCGTCGCCTTACTTTCCTCTTCTTTTTGTCGATCAGCTTCGCCTCATATATATGGGAGGCTCTCGCCTCGTCTTATACCAGCTTTATCGTGGCCCGAGTGGTGAATGGAGCAGGGGCTGCGGCCTGTGAGACAATACCCATGCAGACTGTTGCGGATATTTTCTTCTTGTACGAGCGAGGACGATGGACTGTAGCTTATTTGTCAGTGGGACTATTGAGAAAGACATCAAGGCCGTTTTACTGACCAATTGACTCAGTACCGCGGCCTCTTTTGGCTCTTTCCTGGGGCCAGTAATCTCAGGTAATATCACGCAAAGGTATGACCATGTCATTAACTATTTCATACGATAAACTTGCGCTGAGTTCGAGTGGCCGACTGACTAACCCATGGTGTACCAGATTCGGATGGCGTAGCTTCTTCTGGCTATCAATGGCCATGACCTGCTTCAACTTCATTACTATCCTCCTCTGCTCCCCAGAGACGAAGTATCACCGTGACCATGCGCCTAACCCACTGCGACAAACGCCACATGCGTCTCTGACCCCAGAAGCCATGGAATCCCCCACAGATGTCAGCCCGACCGTAGATTCGAAGGAAACTTACTCAACCCAACCACTACCCCCGAAGCCCGGGACTGGATCCCCCTCTAGCGCCCAATTCAAAATATGGCGAATCCCTGACATGCGATGGAAGGCCTTCCTCCTGCGAGACCTCCTCACCCCATTCCGCATATGCCTCTACCCCATCATTTTCTGGGCTGCGGTGACAGTTTCCGGCGTCGCGAACTTCGTTCTCTTCTGGAACCTCACTGAATCCTCCGTCCTTGGGGCCCCTCCCTACAATTTCAATGCGTCCGAAGTGGGATACTCCAACTTCGCCTTTCTGATCGGTTGCATAGTCGGGCTTGTCACGGCGGGGCCATTATCTGACTGGGTCGCGGTGAAAGCCACGCAACGGAACAGGGGTATCTACGAAGCGGAGATGAGACTCTTGGCTCTTATCCCCCCCGCTGGAATACTGCTTTTGTCGGTGTTGGTTGGTGCGTTTGCTATCCTCGGTTCATGGCCTTGGCCTGTTCTTTTGATATTTGGGTATGGACTCAGTGGCCTGGTTGTCTCGGCGATGTCTAGCATTGCAGTGGCGTATGCGATGGATTCGTATAAACCTGTCTCTGGGGAAATTATGGCCGTGGTGACAATTGTGAGAAATACGTGTGGGTTTAGTATGAGTTATTGGGTGCCGTCGTTGGCGGAGAGGAGGTTAGGGTATTTTTTGCCTGCTATGGTGCAGTTGGCTTTGACGTTTGGGCCGTTGGTGTTAGGGGTGCCGATGTACTTTCTCGGGAAGAGGTTGCGGATGTGGACGAGGAATTCGAGTGTGCATTTGTATGGGGGTGGATAGAGATGTTGTTTTGTCTAGGGTTTTTTAATCTAATATATGTTTCTCTGTCTGATTCTTGATTGGAATGCTCTGGAACCGTTATGGTGGCGTTCTGACTCGTGTTTCCCGGAAGTGATGCAATGTTCAATGAAATGTAAAACTACGTGATCCCTCAAAATACTCTGATGTATTAGACACTTCCCACCGAGTTCATTATATTGCCATCCTCACTGCTGATGCAATTTCTTATTGGGTATCCCGAAATCTCCTTGTCCAGAGGGCATTACGTATGGCGGACCCAAATATGTGCGCTTCGGGCTATTAAGGTGAGCCCGCCATCTTCGATATATACATCAACTCATACTATATACTATGCATAGATCCTGTCAGACCCTTCTATATGCTACATGCTCTTGTTTGGTTCATTCCGGTTCATTGAGAACAAGGTGTCCGTCGCTGTCGTCGTTCAGGTCGCGATCGGCCATGGTAGTGGATAACGCTCGATCGGTCATGGTTGTAGAGAGTGTCTGATTATCCGTGCGGGATTCCTCTACATCCACAGTCTGCATAATTATGATGCTGTCGACCGCTCGTGGAAATCTCTTTGGGGATGGCTGCGTCTGGGGTGGAGGCGTCTCTGGCTGCCTGGCCCGTCGGAGGCTGTACAATGTCGGCACGTTGGCAACCAGTGCGGAGAGAAGCTCCTCAATGGGACTCAAGATAGTCTGCAATGGAGTGTCTAGCGCGCCTTGGTGGAAGGGGAACCGGAGAGCAGAGATCACCACGAGGACAATGCCGACGGAGAAGAGGCCGACGAGCTGGGCACGTCTTCGCATCGGTCAGTACGGATGAAGATTGTTGATTTCAACGTTTTCACTCACTTGTACCAGGGACGCCGAATCTTGAGAAGCCAGTGAATTGGAAGAATAATCAGCATTACGTCTGTGGCGCAGTTCAGAGCGGCATGGACGGATATGTGATATGTTGATCTGATACAAGGACCTGCGATCAAAGAAAGCACGGGTTAGGAGACATCCAGCCACTGCATCGTGAAGTACGCACCTGGGTCGGGATAGACTTGGAAGTACAGACTTAGTGGTCTGCATACGGTGAGGAAGAGAAGGAGCAATGTTATGTAGGTAATGCATAGAATGGCCCACATAACCCGAATCCATATGTATGGCCACGGAAGCACCCCCAGGAGCCGGTTGATGAAGCAGAGAACGACGGCCTTTTGACACCAAAGACTTCGTGGACTCAGTAACCTTTATCATATAGAGGCCCGGTATGTATGCTGGATTGGGTATTTTACTTACTAAGTGAAGTAGATGATCGCGCCAGCATAGGTGACTTTGCTGCTCATTTGGGTACGCTTGATATCGGCGCGACTCGGTGATTCGCCCGTCAAGTATGAGACGGCCACGTTACCAATCGTCCCAAAAACAAGAGTAATGTTCATGATATAGACCAGACACAGGCAGCAAAACAAGGTAATATAGTCGCTAATGACAAAGGACTGTCGTCTATAGCGGCGCATATAGAGCCGGAGGCCCATGATGCTGATTGCCAGCGTCGCAAGGAGGTACCCCACGATAATGGCGGCATCATCCCCAGAATTGCTCATTGTGAAGCCTTATGAAACAAGCCTGGGAGCCATTAACGGGGAAACGGGTACTGAACAGGGGGTTTATATTCAGATGTTGGTCCAGGAGACCTCGAGCATCGCAGTCTGGCCCAGACAAAGAAAGTTTAAATAGTAGCTGCCTCGGAGTCCCAGCCGGATCACAGTTGACAGCTCCGATTTCAAATATATTGCAGGTAGTTGCTTGATAATACTGAGAGTCCCCGAGGGAAGATGTCGGTGGAATGTAAGGTGTTGGGTTAGACGTAAATCTAACAGTGGGTCTTTGAAGACTATCGGGGACCAGCTCATTCTTGTCGATGAAGATCCGCTTCTCGGGGACTCTTGGTAGGCTCGGTTGTGTCACCCTTGAATGTGCCATGGGAAAACTAGATTCCAGCCTGGCCACGATTTCTGGGAAGCTGGATCTCAGAATGGAAAAGGAGTGACCCAGCATTTCCCCTCAACAACCCCCCTCCCCCCAGGCACGGGAGGGATCAACCTTATCCGAGGCCCATGCTCCGACCCAGATATCAACGAGCGCGTCCAAGCGCTCAATAAACTCTTCGTATCACATCAGCCAAGACAACTCAGACAAAGAAACTGATCAGCTTAGTCAGTTCGAGGACAGCCACGAGCTATAATACCTTGTCTCCAGCCAATGCATAATGCTACCCGACCATGAGTTCATACCGAATAATAGGCCTTCCAGCACCGCTTGCATCCACCTACGCCTGAAACAGAGGGCTAAGAAGTCCAGACCTGGCTGTGTAGCCTCGTAAACGGCCAACCCCGAGGTTCAGTCTCCTCCGCGGGCTTCCGGCTTCCTTGAATTGCAGTGTTTGGGTCGGAGAGCTAAGACGCTGTAGGCATAGAAGACGTTTGCCGCTCGGATCAATGTGATAACCCCTCATTTCCTGCAGACCAGGTGATTAAGAAGTAAATCGCAGGAAAGTTGGGTGATCATGGAATCATGTAGTATCCTTCGGCGATGGCACAGCTGTGAAGTGCCGAGTCAGGGGATGGACAGCGGGAGCCGCTACTTTAGGGAACCTGATTAAAGTCCAGGGGGTTAGTCTTGGGCTGTTTTCACCACTTTTTCCTCGGAAAGACCGCTCTTCGAGTCAGTCACATCACCAGTGGACGAAAGTACCAACAGACCTCAACCTTCAGGGGCAGCCAGTTTCTTCTCTTTCAGGCCTTGCTTTTCGCATAGCAGCAGGTTGACTTTTCCTCTTCGTCAATCGGAATCCTACCGCAATGTGGAAGGGGCCATACTACTGATCCAAAAAGTGCAATAACGCCCCCTGTTAATTTGTCTTTATGGCTTGTTGGGGTTCCACATAGCTGGGTAGATGAAATCTGGGAGAGCCAGCTCCTTATAATTCACTGCCGGGGCCCAAGAGTCAGCAAGCTGGTCGGTCACAAGACATCTTTCCTTTATGCGCTGGAGCCTGTCCTGCCAGTAGCCAAGGATGGAATCCTGAGTAATCCTCCAGTGTCCATTCCCTCCGAGAGCATTATCACCACCGCTACTACTACCTACAATGTCTATAATCAGTGAGCCACCAACGTCTGTCAACCCTGCCCCGCAACAGGAAATGTCAGACCATTACTAAAGCTTAGCATACGTTTTCACTGCAGTGATATAATGCCATTATTATAATCTGGGATTTATGCGACTATGCAACGCTCGAATACGACAGCACACGCAGCCGACTTTTACACCCAGAATTCCTGTCTAACATCAACCTGAAGATACCATTTATGCAACACAATAAGCCATGACCTTCCATGCCCTTCTCCACTCTAGGAGCACTCCTCAATCGGAAGAGATGCTCGGATGCAAAGCATCCTGCGGCACCAGCAGGTGGCCGTTTATTGGCCTCGGATCCGAGCCCTCGGAGTGGAGGGAGACGGGACCGTGTGTGGATGCAACCTACAGCACACAATAGACCTTGTCGGACTGCTGTGGGTTGAGCGTGGGGCGGCACTCTCGCCAACTGGGAAAATTCAACCAGTGAGGCCTACGGGAGCGGAACCATGGTGTGACCCAAACCTTGGAAAGTGGAATCCGAGCGAGGACCTTGAGGACAAGTTAACCGGAGCTGCATCTCACGCATTTCGTTCGACAGCTTGATTGGCCGGCTGATAAGCGACATCCCCATCAGCCCTATAGGGCGCTCGTCGTCTGGCTCACGAGGAGATGCTGTTCAGCCCTACCGGTCTGCTTTGCGAATGATATCGCCAGCAATGTCAGCCGAAGGCTTCTTAGATATGCAGAGCTTTTACGGGATGGTCCCTTGAAAGGACATCAACCACTGAGAAAATTGAGGAAGTCCGCATCCTGTCAAGAACCGAGCGGGACAAATTTGGCTAGATGGCTAGTCAGCCCTTAATGGCTGGCTATCCCTGTCAGCCTTAACTTGTCGAGATTATTGCGGCCCACAATGGAGGGCACCTGGTTCGCCATCGTCAGGCCAGGTACTCCCCGAGACACCACCCATCCCCTTCAGCTACACCCCAAGGTCCTCACTCAGTATGCTATAAGATGAACCATCTACAACTGTTCTTCATAATGTCCTGTCCAGTCAATCCTCACTTTGATTTTCTCCTCCAACTCCTCCTCCCATCTGGTCGTCATGGCTATCTTCAACGCATCTGATGTCAACCTTCACACGGCCAGCAAAGAGGATGTGCTGTGCTACTATGCCATCTCTGAAAATGACTACAACGGTCATATGGGCGCCCGCATCTCCTCCATCTTCGTCATCCTCTTCGTCTCCACAGCCTTCACTTTCTTCCCCGTTGTGGCTAAGAGCATGCCCCGCTGGAAGATTCCTCACAACGTCTACATCTTCGCCCGCTACTTTGGTACGGGTGTCATCCTAGCCACAGCCTTTATTCATCTGCTAGATCCGGCGTATAAGCGCATCGGACCCAAGACCTGCGTTGGCGTTTCCGGCAATTGGTCCATATACTCCTGGTGTGCGGGCATTGTACTTGCTTCCATCACTCTGATCTTCCTTCTCGATCTCGCGGCCGAGGTATACGTGGAAAACAAATACGGCATGCACCGCGAGGAGAATGCCACGGACGCCTTTATTGCCGGTGATCCGACCAGCGCGCATGTTCACCCCAACCCCGAAGATGGTCGCATGTCGGCAGAGAAGACCTCCCCCACCGCAACCTCTGCAGAAACCTCGTCGGAACAAAGCGAACGCTCCTTCAGACAACAGATTGCCGGTTTCTTGATCCTCGAGTTCGGTATCATCTTCCACTCGGTCATCATCGGGCTCAATCTTGGTGTGACCGGTTCCGAATTCGCGACCCTCTACCCCGTGTTGGTCTTCCACCAGTCCTTCGAGGGCCTGGGTATCGGTGCCCGACTCTCAGCCATCCCCTTTGGACATCGCAAGTGGCTCCCTCACCTGCTGTGTCTGGCATATGGTCTGACCACTCCAATCTCGATCGCGATCGGCCTGGGCCTTCGCACTGCCTACAACCCGGGCTCGAAGACATCTTTGATCGTGCAGGGAGTGTTCAATGCCATCTCAGCAGGAGTGCTAATCTACAGCGCCCTGGTGGAACTGCTGGCCCGCGACTTCATCTTCGACCCGTGCCGCACTCGTCGTCGCTCGAAGTTGCTGTACATGGTTTTCTGCACGTTGTTGGGGGCGGGCATCATGGCTTTGATTGGAAAGTGGGCATAATTGCCTCGCATGGTGTGTGACAGTAAATACCTACATGTGAAAAGATACCCTCAACTCTATGTCTAGTAATCTGCATAATGGATACGCATAATGATAGTCTTGTGCCTTTATTCTCATCTTTTCGTTTGTTGATGTAGTATCCCTCCTTTCCTTCTGCACACTGTATAGACATCTGCCGGTCGCTTCAGCCAACGCTGCCTAATTTTGACATGATGAGTTGCCCTCAGACAAGTATGCATCAGTGATTCTCAACTATTTATCTGTCTAATTTTGAGGCACGCATTGATCGTCCGCTAGATTGGAGCCGACTAGCACTACAAAATGAGACACATTTGCACATCTTCCGTCTATCGTCTCCGCATCCTTACCCTTGGCAAATACTTCCATCCCTCACGAAATTCCAATCCTCCAAACAAGATGCTCGTTACATATGTGCTACCTTCTCCCCTATCATCAGCAACTTGAGTTATCTTAGTGATACATCACCATAGATCTTCTACCCCCGCGAGGCGGAAGTCAATGTGGACTACTTCATCGATGCCCACACACCCTTGGCGGAAAGGTTCTGTGGTAAGGACGTGCTCCTCAGTTGAGAGGTATTCACCTTCCTTCCAGATGCACCGTACTGCCTCCAGGCCAACGTAGACTGGGCTAATGCCGCGGCCCAAGCCGCTGCAATGTCGGGCAAGAATGGAAAACTGTTGGCGGATGATATTCACAAGTACGCTAAAACATAGCCGTTCTCTATAGCGAGAGAGTTGGTGGCACGGAGCTAGTCGGAATAGGGAAGAACAAGTAATGGAAGAGGGATTAGAGTACTTCAATGCGTCGCAGTCATAGAAAATCGATGCTGTGATTTAGAATCCAACCGTAGTACTACCAAGTCCGACCGCTTGACTGACCGCCAAAAGCGGCAGAACCTCGTCGACCTCGCAAAGAAAAGTACGGATATAAGCGGATATAGGCGGATATAATTTTGCACACCTCCGAAAAAATCAGTCAGCATTCTGTATGTTTTTTGACCGCCTTGGGGAAGGAGTGGCAGAATCCGGTGTCACGTGTGGGTGTGCATGTAAGCTATTGCGGCGACTCCTAGTTATAACTAGTTCATGGTATTGTAACAATGCGACTATAGTTCTCTGATCACTCGTTTTCATACGTAGCAACACTTTGGAATGCTATAAGATTGTAAGAGGAGTATGGTGAGCAATACTGTCTTACTATCTTACAATGCGCTTCATTGTGGCAGTTATCTACCTACGCTTCCCCTGTGCCGGTACTGAGGTAGGACAATTTTCAAGTCTCTTGTAAGTGTCCTCATTATCACCTTCATAACCAAACAATTGCGTTAAGATAACAATTTTAAAAAGATTCAGGGCATGCATTCGTAACGTCGATCCATTATATCCATTACTAACAACTTCAGGGTATACAAATGGCAACACACACGCAATAGCAAAGCAACAAACAACAACTGATTAAAATATTTAGCAACCGCAGTGCTCCCACCAGTTTGATCCGATTCTTCCACATTATCATCAATGGATAGTCCCCCAATGTACCTTCCAAAGACCAGATCAATTCATTCATCCACGTCCCTAAGCCCAAGCCGCAGCAACCACAGCCGCGGCAGCAACAGGCGCCGCCGTAATCATCGCCGCAACAGGAGCCGCCAAACCAGCAGCAGCATCAGGAGTCTTGGTAGCCGCGGGCTCCGTGAACGACTTGACACCACCCGTCACGACAAGGTAGTAGTACGAGCTAGTCGGGCTCTCATAGGTAGACTTGGTGGACGACGACGAAGCATACGTTCCGCCATTGTCACTTCCACTCATTCCCACGCTCATGGTGCAGCTCGCTGACTCTGTCCAGGACTTCAACGAGCATTCGTACGACCGCGTCACCGTGACGTCGTAGCTGGTGGACTTGTCCGACGTCGAAGCAGTGTACACCTGGCTCAGGCTGATGGTGTCGGGGCCTTGGATGATCGTGTATGCGTCCTTCATGTTGCAGTCGGTCTTGGGCGCGTCTTTCAGACAGCCCACTTTGTAGGTGGTCTTTACGGCGTTGATCCCCGCGACGCTGGCGCCGGTGCTGGTCCAGCCGCCGTATTCTAGGTAGGTCGCGGACCAGTTGGGGATGAAGTAGCCCACTGTTGTGGTGCTGTCATCGTCGGCGTGGGCACCGCCGAAGAGGGTGAGGGCTGCGGCGAGGAGGTAGGAGGTGCGCATGGTGGTGGTGAGGGTGACCTATCTCTGAGTTTCTGAGATTTGGTCGAGTTCGGTTGTAGAGAGGAATTGTTGACGGATGGGGGTTATAGTATCAGGGGAAAAAGCTGGAAAGGGGCGCTCTTATTCCCCTTTCTATTGCCTTGGCTGCAGAGCCAAGCTCTTCTCATTTTCAGGTCATGCTGACGGTCCCCATATTGAGAGCCTTGGGAATTGACTGAAGCGAGTAGGTAGTCGAATGGGCATCAAACAAAATCTGTAGAGCCGCCATGTTCGGTCATCTTTCCAACCAGGGTCCGCTAATACGAGAACCCCGGGGCCGCTATGACTGTCACTGGAGGTGCTGATTGGGTAGGTCTCACATGGTAGCATTCGAATGTAATTTAGCGTCGGAAATGAGGATGCTTAGCGCAAGGCTAAGGCCCCTTAGGTCCGTTCTACCCTTCGCTTCGAGGGAAAAACTGTTCTTGAGTTGGTGGCAACCATTGAATGTATATGTGTTTGGAACGAATGGGAGTAGTTATAATATAAGAGGGATAATTGTTGGGGCTTGGATGTTGTGCAAGGTTTGTACTCACGGGTCAGGGAATTGGCTTCAAGTGCGGCTAGCCGGTTCAATCACGGAGGTCAGAACCGATGCAATTATGAACGATTGGACCTCAGCGCAAATTGCCTGTCAGAACTAGTCGCTGCATGGGAAATTACATGTTTCCCTTCTGGGCGCAGCAACTGTTCAGGGTAGCAATTGGTCTGTATGGGGTATCTCCGGTCTGCCCTTCCACCACCATATGACTGCCTGCTTCGCCAGCGATTATCCGAGCGATATGTGACTAACTGATAGTCGAGGTCTCACTCTTTCAGCCTTGCTCTAGTGTCCAGCAAAGCATTGATCCCTTCGTAAAAATGGCTCACGGATGGTGAGGTAGCAGGATACCCTGATACTAGCCTCATATACGCAGTAGCGGACGACCCGCAGGGCGAGGATTACAGTTCATACACAGGAGCGAGAGTGCCAAGAACTGATTATCCGTAGACAGTAGACGATCCAAGAGCTTTGATGAATAGGAAAGATAACGGCCTGGTCGGATGTCTCGGCTAGGGCAGGGCGCCGCGCATCAAGTGCCAAGCTACCTTCCAAGCCAGTCAATTCCCAACTCGGCCCCACGTTAGTAAGAGGGGTCCCAGCGGACAATATTCGCGCTTCTGTTTGGAGGCCCGGAGCTGGATGCTGTCTCTGGTTAGCATCCGGTTACTACCTATTCCGATGTAGAGCTTGCCCCCGGAAGTTGTACCTGCCAGTAAAGTCGTGTCTGAGTGCCCTACACTGGGCTCTAGGAACACACTTGGGAACCGCCAGTTTATTTTTTCAAGCAACATACATAACAAGTCAACAAAATCTGGCAACGTAGGTTAGCTTCCAGCTTTCGTGATCTGTAATACTTCTGGGATATCAGATTTGGCTGTTAAGGCCGGGGAACTAATCCCATTTCATCATCCAAATCAACGCTGTGGCTATGATGTTTCCTCTTTCTCTTTCTTACTACGACCGTCTTATATATTCTAGTAATGTTTGAGGAAGCAGCGCGCCGTAGGTAGCTTTAACTGCCCGAACCGACATAGCCTAGTAACGGAGTTCAACTTTCGAGGGGTGGATCTGCCTGACTAGGCAATTCGCCCTGCTCATGCGATCCTACCCTCCACTGGCTGATTCAGCTGTTGGACTAGCTGTAGGCTCTCTTCAGCGGTCAAACCCTCATGTGGTCGTTAATCTGTTTTTGTGATTTGTTGGGCAATCGGCCCTTGCCGCTTTCCCCTTCAGTTCCCTAGGACCCCCTATCACCAAAGAGGGAGGGAAGGAGCCGACAAGACTGGGGAGGGACAGGGAGCTTGCGCGGAAGTTAGATATGTTTAATTCCCTGCTTTCTGGAGCTTCCCATAAACATTGATATCTACCTGAGATCTATCAATAGCAGACTAGGAAGAGAAGTTCTGATGTTTGGGTGCCCATAGCATATCATGCCTCCCCATGATACTAAACTAGCCAAAGTATTTAACACAAAATTGAAAAACACCATCATGCAAATCAGGATGACACAAAGCGAGCACAGACACAAAAATAACGATGGTGACACCTGCTTCCAAGACGAGAACCTCGCCAAGTAATCTGAAAAAGTGAACCTGAGATGACCACCGGAACCCTTGCCAGGCGCCTCTGATAGTCATCGACTCACCCCTCTGTGCAGAGGCGGTGACTCGAAGAAAGATTGCATATGCCGGAACAACCATCCCAAAGTAAAGAACTATAATAGTGCCCAGAAGACTGATAAACTGCACCGTTTCTGAGACCTCTAGCCGCTCCTCTAAAGCACCAGCCAATTGAATCAAGTAGGTAGGGAGGTAAAAGCATATACTTGAGGCAGTGCTTTGCAGCATAATTGATGTGAAGGCCTTCGACCACATTGACCACGTTGGAATGCAACGAGAGTAAGGAAGGGTTCCCGAGTGTTGGTTTAGAATTGTGAGCACATTAGCTACTCTCAGGCATGAAAGTAGCAAGTCGGCTGTTAAGCTGAGAAAACCGTACTTCAGTGGACTGAAGTCCTTCATAGAAAACATAGAAATCATACAGATCTTGGCCAGCCGATGGAGGACGAAGATGGAAAGACCTCTGAAATGCTGGCGCGAGACTGATGAATTCAGTCTCGGATAGGGTGTTTGAGTCGCGATCAGTGTTGCGAAGACATACGCGTGGCTATACACGGCCTGTCACTCATTAGTTTGAGTTGATATCTAGTTCGAATGTGTTGACAATAGCTTACTAAAAGAAGCCCGAGCAAAGCCGCAGCTAGAAGGAGCACTAGTGGCATGTTTAAGGCTGGCGCCTGCTGGCTTGGGCTGTCTCCAGGGAGCTCCCACTTAGCAAGGTCCAACGACATGTTGAAGGGATGGGTTCGACTAGTCAGAGAGTTATGGTCGTGTATAGAAAAAAACCGTTGTTAGAAAATCGCAACATTGAAGTAATAACTGCGAGCTTCAGGAAAACCAGGGAGTGCAAGATGGGTCGAGGGCTCAGCTAGAGGGATTGGAGCCAGTTCTCAAGATAAGAGGATAAGACTTTGTTCGCTATGTGAGAGAATTTCGAATTCAAGAGATTCAGATCGAGAATATTGGAGAAGAAAGACTCGAAACAAATCAACAAGGGTTTGATTTGGGAAACAGGGCTCAGGGCCAAGCATGGATCGATCCACTCAACTTAATTGCAAAAGAATTCTCACCAATAGCTAGCATGGCCCCAGGTTTATAATGCGGCTAGTTGAACAATTTCAACCAGCGGGCGATTTAGTCGCAAACTACTGGGGCTGTACGCGTAACCCGTAAGGACACGCAATCATATGACACGCCCTAAAATTGCTTTCAGTAGAGAATTCTTTATATCAAAATAAAAATCGCGATATCCGCCTCCAAGGTCTACATTGTTCGGTACCGTTCGCTGGTCTTATATTGCATGTCATTTTGACGAGTTCAAGGCTCATGAGAATCATCTCACTAGAAGCGTATCATGATTCATACTGCCAATAATATATATCTGTCAGTAAAGTCAGGGATCAAATCAACCTTTGTGTTTCGATTACTTGCGACAACACTTACACTTGGAGGCAATCCACCAAAGTGGTCTAGCAAATGATCTTCTATACGTATAATATTCTTCTGATGAAGTACCAACGATGAGTTTTCTTGGCCGTCGGGATCGACAACTGCAGCGATCTTGGCGGGCATTCCGGCTCCTTAGCTTTGTTCACTGTCTCGGTCAGTGTGTACAAAATCAACCATAACGTTCGAGACCACAGGGTATCAAAGAGATTCTGTGCCAGGTGTTTTCGTAAGATTGAAAAGTATAATGAAAGAGCAAATTGCATGAAGGTTATCGTGACATTGATTTATGAAGACCAGGACGTGGACCTTCTATCGCTTCAGTCTCAAGGCTAAAAACATGGTATAGGCATGATGCGAATAATATTAACAGTACATGGACGTCAAGGTTCGTGGTATATATAAGATGGTCTATCCGGGTGATTATTCCATCTAGCAGCAGCATTCGCAGCACTCGAAGCAGGCAAGACCGGCACAACTATTATCGTATGGTTAGTTTCGATCGATAGGAGGTGAGAGGATAGGGTATACATACACGCCACAGCAAACATCCTCGCCCTCACCACCACCACGCAGGTTCATCTGCATCGTCTCTTGCTGGCCCTAGAGGTATGTTAGAGTTGATCCGGTATCGCACCAGGGGGAATGGAATGGGATAGGACGTACGGGTTGGCCGGTGACGACCTGCTCGGTGACGGGAGCTTCCGGGGCGGAAGGCTGCTGCATGGTCATGGTGTTGGGGTTCCAGGTGGGCTGCTGGGTGGCAGACTCCTTGTTGGAAGACTTGAACCAGTCGAACATATTGGCGGTGATTGTTGTTGGGGGTTGTTTGTTTGTTTTTTCCGTGCTCTTTCGGAGAATGGGAGGATTGGAAGATGGGAAGAGCTGGCTTAAGCCGGAATCAGACGGGTAGATAAGGAAGAGTTATCCGAGGAAAGGCGAAAGGGTATCTGGAATGATTAAGAACACAAAGAAGATTAGGTACCGGGCGGGGGGAGTTAGTAGTATTTATCCGTTGGCCATGTTTCGATCTGGGGGGAGTCGGAAGGCCCAGCGGTCAGCCCTATTGGCATCAGACTCAAAGATACTAGGCGAGGGGATGACCTCACCGTTAGGCGCCGATAGATCGTGGCCATCGCTGGTGGGTTGGAAAAGGAGACAGAGTCAGTTGCTATTCTTGCATCGGTTGCAGGTGGAGGTGACATCACTGGCTCAGCCCTGCCGAGAAGGAAGAGGTGGTACATGCTAGTAAGTGGATCAGACACGGTGGATGATCAATGGCTCAGGGACCAGCCATTGAATGCATAGATTAATTAATGAATAATAATTATTGTGATGAGGTGGAACAAGTCACAGCCACTCTTTCCAATCAGAGAGCAGCAACGAGGGCGAGCATTCATCCACTGGCGGTCAACTAAGCTTTTGGACAAGCTTCGCGACAAGGCTTGTCCAATGACAGGACCCAGATAGGCCAGTTGTGGTCCTCCATAATCTCATTCAACTCGAAATGGTAAATGTACTGAGTAGTCTGCTAACTAGTCGAAACGCGATGGAATCCTGTCGTCGGTCCCTCCGCCCGTGGATCATCTGGGAAATTTCTCCTGCTCGGTTTGCCCCCCCTTCCCCGGGGTATCGCCAGCCCTGCAGTGACATACGTATATTCCACGCCAATCAGGGTCTCGAGGGATGATCATCGCAGAAATGAATCAGTAGTATTGGCCACCTATTTTCAGCAGAGAAGAAACCAAGATGTGGAGGACCGGTTTTGAAGAGGGCCATGACGCACGGAAGGAAGGGATGGGGCAGTGGATGATGCAGTCTCTGCTAGTCCAGGCAGCAGCCCATCCAGACCCCTGCTTCCTCCGAATAACTAACCGTCAGTCATTCAGTAATCTAATCAATACTACCCTAAGAGACTGTGCTCGGAAGTCGGAAGGCCCTTCTGACTACTCTTCTACCACTCATTCTCATTACAAAGTAGTAGAAGTGACTACGGAGCTTCCACCGGTCGCCAAGGGAGGATTCCAATAGTTGCTGCAGGCCTCGGGTTTCCCTGACTAACCCAAACCCCGCTTTCCAAGTAACTAATCGACTGAAGCCATGAGACATCTCGGTATCACACCCTAATACTAGTAAGACTATAGACTATCAGATGGAGCGAATACTACATATTAATCGGCTTGTCTCATGTTGTTTACATCAATCAATAATATTTAGCTGTGCATCTGCGACTCAGCCCCCACACAATAACGAATAGCATCCCTGCTTAATAATGGAGTAACTGAACAACTAACTCACTCCTACGCCTCACTCAGCTGATCCTGCTGCAGCAGACGTTGCTTTTCCGATAAGCAAACGCCTTGCTTCCGTTGGCAATGCTTCCGACATCTCCGACCCTGCATCCTGGCACACGTGCATGCCACCATCTTCCAGAGGAGCAGCCCCATCGTGCACACTACCAATCCAGCAACCGCGCCCAGGAGTCCCGGGATGATGGCGGGCACCACCAGTCGCCAGAAGTCCCGGCGGTAATCCTTGTTACGCAAAGCCGTCGGTCGCAGAGACCTGTCCACCCCATACACCCGGAACGGGGACTCGGATGCACTATTGCTGGGATCAGCCTTGGGAAGTGGGCTATTCTCTTGAGCCTCCTGGTGTGCTGTGGGCTGTTCCTTGGAGGTGGGGCTGTTTCCCTTGGGGTGATGATGATGGTCATTGTGTTCGTGGTCGTCACTCTTCTGCGACTCGGGCCCTTTGTGATGGCCGGGTCCTTTCTGCTCGCGCCAGGCACGGTACTTTTCCATAATCAGGTTCCAGTACTTGGTGCGCCAGACACAGTTTCCATCGCCGTGGGCATCATGGTAGTAGTCGAGAAATGGCTCGACGATGATCTGTGTAATGTACAATTCGCCCGACTGCTGCGTGGACAATCGAACGTGGACGGTATTCGTCGTGGCAGGATGGCCGGAGAGATCGAAAAACTTGAGTTGCACACGGTAGATGTCTTGCACCAAGGATCCATCTGGACGGGGGGGCATGTATTCGATGTCCACCGCGTACTGCAGGAGCAGATGCTCCGGATTTTGGCCGGACACGTCCTGGTATCGGGTTGCCGGTAAGTGCATGGGAAACGAACTCGAGAAGACGGGAACATCATTAACAAATAGAGCATTGCTCTCCGTGCGGATTTTCATCGCCTAGATGACAAGGTTAGTGATGCTTGGGCCTTTTCCGACCATTGTTAGTACGGGCGCACGTACCAGATATGGTCTGGGGGTATACTTGGCCTCATCCTCCTTGGATCCTGGGATTGTAGCATATGGCATATGGATCTCATGGCCGGTGACGATGGGGAAGGAGGCGTGCGAGTTTGCAAGTGCCTTTTGGGGCATGGAAGCATCCGCAGAACGACTGGCAACTGGACTGGCAGCACAGCTGGCCAGCCAGGCGCCCACTACACACAGAAAACGGAGACGCATGATGACTGATGCGCAACCGAAAAATAAAATAGATAAAGAAAGTATGAATGAATCTGTAAAGAGTGACGGTTTGCCAAGATAGCAGTCGGTCAAATGGAGGGATTCATGAGGGGAACGGAACAGAATAGGAGACTAAATGACTAGGGAAGATGGCGGGGTGAATGTGCCGATATGGGGCGTATAGATAAGTATGAATATCGTGAGCAGTGCAGTAGTACTGGATATTGGGAAGAAGATAGGATTGAGATGGATCAGGGACCTGGTAGGCAGCCAGGTTTCAATCGATCCCGTCCAAAAGAGAGGGAATCCGCGGAGTCCGATTGCAGCAGCACACGCGCCCTATAAGGCTGACCACGCAAGCCCGCCCGTCGTCTTCCCTTCACCACCACCAGTCAGACTTGGGAATGGACTTGTTCTTGCTATTTGGTCCTTTCAGATTCTGTTGGTCCTCTTATTTCCCTCAGCGGGACCTTATTTGATGGATGCCTACGCTGAACCATTGCTTGACCCGAGCTTGTGTCGGAAGCTTCCGAGGTATTTCCAGCAATGAGTGGAGGTCGTCAATGGCTGGCCCCTTTTTATTCGGCCTCTGGCCCGTGTCTTAACTTGTCTACGCCACACAAGCTTTTTCCCTCCAGACCCTCTCCGTTGGCTTTAGCGCCAAGGGAATTTGACTCAATCGAGGTCAATGTAGCGAGCAGTTTCTTCCCATCTGATTGGTTGGCAATGCACTCACTGCCACCGATTTACACCGTCCTGCTGCTTTGGGCTGCCAACGTCAGCTTCCTCCGAAGGTAAACGCTGCGGGGCAGATCCTCTTCTGAAAATATACGAGCAGGCAAACGGGACGATCGGGATTCGTCTACCATCCTATTGGCAAGATTTGTGTGGTTGTTGACGATCTCTGGAATGGAACTCTTCTCCTCGGCTATACAGAGTGTCATCGTAGTTGTTGTTTCATCCTCACACACGTGTTTACCACCATCTTGGGCAAGCAGGCAATATCTCAGGATCATCCCAGTCTCAGATCCTGAGACAATCACTCCCCGAAAAGCATGCCATATCATACGATTTCGGCTCTTTTCACTTTGACATGAGCTTGGCGCGATCAGCGTCCTGTCATTCATTGATTCATCCATGACGATTTCTCCCGCGACCCAACTAGATGGTTCTTTGCTGCAAGGGAGTCTCCCTTTGACATGACAGGTCTTCTTCAAGGCTTGATATTCACGTCGTACCAGGAAATCTTCCATAGTCATTCTTTGTCTCTTCTATTTGTCATGTGATACTTATGGCTTTCCTGCATATTCCTAATACTGACTAGTTAGCCTTCAATCATCGGTTCGCGTATCGTTGACTTCCGCGTTTGCCTCGGCCACAAGGTTTCGCTGACACATTGACAGGCTTAAACCTGTCAAGAAGATCAGGCGGCGACTAAATTCTCTAGACAACGGCAATCCCGTGTCTCAGATGCATCGATGTCCCGTCCCGCTGTGGCAGTGCTAGCCACCAGGATCGTGTATGCCTACTGTGGAGAGTCGTGGGGGTTGTGTTTGAGCCTAGGTGCAAAGTCTCACCTATCTGATCAGTATTAACTACAGAAATAGATTGATACGGAATTGTTCTGGATTCTATGATAAGATGTCTGGTCCTGATCTTCATCAGAAAGATTGTCATTGGTGTAAATCCCACAACGCCATGCCCGGTCACAGTTTCAGGGCTAAAAATACATATAACTTGTGGAATGCAGAAGAAGACTGGCGGGTTACACGAAATAATGAAGAGATCCGGCGGTGCTGATGCCGGTACATGATGGAGTGCATTTCTTCTTGCGTCCATATGCCCTCTACAGTGAATGCATCCAAGCCGAAGAAGGTATTTGGTAAGAGCGCGGAAGAATTCTTATGCGCTAATACCTGCTTCAAAATAATTCAGCCCCAATTAAGGCAGAGTATAGGACAAAGTGCGTCAGTTGGGCCGATTTCAGGATCTCGAGATCTGGAAGATAGCAAAGAACGGCTTGGATGAAAACCTAATACGCTGGGGGGTCCATTACACAAATAAACATCACTTTCGTAAAGATATGATAGGTGATGGACGATGTTGAGAGAGATGCCACGCTGCCACCAGGATTATGAGAGGAAGAAATCACTGGATATCATGGTTATTCCTAATTCAAGGCAGGAAACACCTGGTCTCCTTTAACAGCCCGCATTGGCAAACCACCACTGGCAGAGTTTATGCAAATACTGGCAGTCATTGCGAAGCCCAGAGCATTGGCTCCTAGTGCTTGGAATTAGACATGTTCCTGTCCGGTTTTAATTCCTACTGTTTTGCAGCTGTCGAGCGCCCTACGCGAAAGACCATCAGAGACCACAAAGTAATGGCCGTCTCTATATATAATAGAACCTCGAGCTTACCTGAGCACCCATACCAATATAACTAGAGAATGACTTCTCTCTCGGCAATACTTGGTCGCTAGTGTAAAGGCCCAAGCCAGGTTGCTGACCACTTATCAAGGGTGGGGTATCTACAATATAAGTACTTATCCATAACACGCCGTGAATACTTACTACCTACCACCCTCCAGAACATGCAAATGATGCTGGCACTCTCCCGTTTAACGGTAGTATATACTAAGAGCACATTATATTCTCAGGAATTCATGCTTGAAGACACTACCCATGTGCGCTTAATTAAGGACTGAGTCATTCATCAGAGTAGCCATCAGGCATGACTCCTGCAAACAAATCCAACACCTACAAAGCACTCTGACACGAGTCCGTAAAGTGAAATGGAACGAAGTGAATTTGGCCCACGGCATGAATTCACCATCAAGTCCCATTCACTCAATTAACACTGATTCAATTTACCTACCTACCTTCAAAGGATCCCTTCTTCTCTCCCTCTCTTCCTTCTTCCCTCTTCCATCCCCTCACACCTCTCTTCCAATCCTCCCACCTTCTCATCCATCATCTCCTACCTCATCAACACCAATCATATTCATCAACAATTGAAGAACCCAAAATGAACATCAAACGCGAAAGCTTCAAGGAGTCCCTCTCCAAAGCCTTCACCAACCGTGAAGCACCAACCACGTCCCCCTTTGCCATGACACCCCCCTCCTCCACCGCGACCTCCGATGCCTGGTCAGCTTTCGGCTCCAAAGCGCAGAAGAAACGCCCTGCCGTGGTATCCCCCCGTCTCGCAACCCGGGACGCGAAGCGCACCACTACCACAACCACCACGGCCACTACTACCACCAACCCTACCATCCCCGCTCACCTCCTCGCCAATCTGAAGGTCCTGGTACAGCAACTTGAATCCACAACCACAGCCGCCGCTGCCGATGCGGAATCCACCATCTGCACTGAAGATGTCCTCTTTAACAGAAATCCCGAGCCAAAGTGGGCCGATCTCATAGCTCGCGACAACCTACCCTGGGTGGACACCGCTCTCGACATCATTAAGCAGGGCGAGAAAGTCTACGAGAAGAACATCAAAGCATTCCAAGATATTACCGAGAAGCTGATGGCGTTGGGCGAGCAGGTGCAAGAGATTCGGACCGAGATGGACGCAATGTCCTTGAAGCTCAGTCAACTCAATGTGGATTGTCTTGATTTGAACGCGGAGGTTTTTAATATCCCGACTCAGGAGGTGCGCGAGATCACTCGGTTGTCGTTGAAAGCGCTGTTGGAGGCTAATGCGGGTGATGTGGATGGGTGTGCTACTGTGAAGAAGGAATTGGAGGAGAAGGATGCCGAACAGATGATGGGTCCGCTTGGTTGGTACTAACTCATGGTTGCCTAGGATCACAACACTGTCTGCAGCCTCGGGTGAGGTTAGTTGGTATTCCTGAAGGAAGCTGAAGTTGGAGCTGGCTCTGGCTGGGTTGGCTGGTGGATCGGGGCTTGGGTGGACGATTGTTCTGCTGGCAGATGGTAATTCTGTGGTTACATTGGCGCTATGTGCTTCTTTCATTGATGACAATAGTATCCATTGGGTTTGAACACTCTGCTCGCACGGTAAACTGGTAGTATGCAATTGGTCATGTCATTCTTTTATCAAATCATCTCAGCTATTCTAAATTCCAAAGATTCCACTAACAGATCAAAACCGCTCTATTATTATCATTGCATAGAAGGGGGAAACAAAATGGGTAAATAGAACAACACTCAAACAGGTCCATAAATGTACAATCCCATGGAACCACGCGCTGGATAACACGACATAATCATGCAAGGATAGGTATAGATAGAATAGGATCTCGGCGCGCTCTCTTTTCTCCAACGCGATCGCGATTAGCGCCGGGACACACAGCACAGAATACCCGACCGGCCCAAGAACCACAACGAGCCGATGAAGCGGAACAGCGACAGACCGGCCGTAATCCACAGAATGACTTCGAAATACCAGGATGTACGGGTGGTGGAGGTGTTCTGCAGTTCGTTAGAAGATGTCACAGATTATGGCTTTACCAAAGCAAAGGGATGATACGTACCGTCAGACACATCTTGTCCACTCCAGTGGCGGTGATCAACAGCGTTACGAGCAAGTTACTAAACACCCACAGACACACAAGCACGGTACGGAAGTTGCGGTAGGCATCGTCCAAACTCTTGCCGCCCTCTTCCTCCGGTTCGATCCACGGCGTCAACGCTCTCTTCACAGTCGCCTCGAACTGACTGTCGATATCGGCTTGCGGCTTGTCGATTTCCTCGATGAAGTTCTGCTTGTTGTCGTCGTCCTTTTTGGTTTGCGCGGAAGGCAGTGCCTCGGCCTTGTCCGAACCCTTGGTACCCCAAGAAACGTCGTGCCAGTTACAGAACGCGTAAACCATCAAGATGTTGATCGAGGTCGTCATACCCAGGAAGTAGGCCCAGGAACTGGTGATGATGTGCCAGGGATCCATATACAGGATACTCGCAATGATGTAGATTCCGTAAGTGGAGACCAAAGCGATCAGCACGATACCACCACCGCTGGAGCTGAAGAACGAGGAGAGGAATGTGCCGACGCCTTCGTCGAAGTTGAAGTCCATCATACCACCGTTGAAGGCACCCACGACCAGGTAGAACGACAGGATGAGGACGTACAGCTGGACGAGAGAGAAGTAAAGGTAGGATAGGATGTAAGGGATCTTGACACCTTTCGGCCGATTACCCAAAGCCATGATAAACTGCAGCGTAAGAACCCAGACATAACCGTATTTGACGAAGTTGTTGACAATGGGCGACGCTTCGTTGCCCCATGGCCAACCCTTGTTCTTGTTACTCGTAGACGGCGTACCCACCAAATCCATGATGACAGAACTAGTGAGCCAGTAAGAGGCAAGTGAGAACCAGGTCATGATCAGTTGACACACGTTGTAGAGCATCTGAATGTGCAGGAAGAACATGCGAATGATGCTGTGACCACTGCGGTAGATACGGCCGAAATGCATGATGGCATACAAACCGGCAGCGAAAGAACCGTTCAACCAACGACGTCTTTGACTGATGAATTCGGCTGCGCCTTCCGGAACATCGGTCTCACCCTTGGACGCCTTGACGTAACTGAGATGCCACTTGAAACCAGCCTTGGCCACCAATTCGAAGCAAAGAATACGATCTTCAGCCAAGAACATGTTCTTTTTGAAGATATTCATGCCGTCAATACCCTTCTTTCCAAGACGCTTAGATAACGTATGGTCACCGTGGAAGTATTGCTCCAGGGGACGGCCCATGATAGCGCGATACCGATAGGCAGAGAATGCACCAGGCAAGACACTGACATAACCGAACGCACTTTCCAGAGGTTTATCGAGAATATTGGAGATCTTGTACTCAAAGTTCTGCGCAGCGACTAACGGATTGATGACCTTGCGCCAGCCCTGACCCAGCATTGCATGGATCTCACCACAGGCTCCACCGAGAGTCTTGTCATTGTAGAAGGCCTCCCACAGAGCAAGCAGAGATTTGTGTCCGGGCTTAGTACCGGCATCCAGCAGAATGACGACTTCCGGGTTCAAGATACGACTGAAGGCGTTGAACAGCCAACGGTGGGAGTTGATCTTCTTGCTATTCTTCTGCTTGAGACAGAAGATCATCTGCACGGGAGGCAAGTTGGTCGACTCATTGCCCTGGGGCCGGATCAACTGCTGCGTCGGAGTGACGGACAATTGGGTAGTATATTCAAACTGCGGCGGTCAGAGTCTCTCTTTCATCCTCCTTTGCGGTGCCGATCTCCGATGGTCCGAAGGCGGTCTGCACCAAAGGCGGCAGCGGAAGAAAAAGTGGAAAGAAGCAAAACTTACAACGTGGGCGACGGTTTCCCGCCCGTCAACGTCCTTCTTCATGACTCCATCCTGGTAGATACCAATCGTCGCCAACACATCCAGTGTGTTTTTGTCGCATGGCTCAATACCATCGAAAACCAAACAGACCACGATCTTCTGCCAAGCAGGGCCACCCTTGTTCCAGAACTCGGATTTCTTCAAGTTGACAATATCACGGATATTCTGCATGACACCGTGAAGGGTACGCGCGGTCAACACCTTGTCTTCGTTGTAGTAGGTGATGGCGATCAGCAATTCGGTATGCCGGTTGTAGATAGCCGGCCGGAGATTGTAGCCATTGCGCAGCGTGAACTCGTCGGGATCACAGGTGGCGGCCGTGTCTGCGATGCTTTGGTCAGCCGGACAATTGGCCATCTCCGCGAAGGCGCGAGTGGCACCTACATCTCATGTGCGTGAATTCTTCGGAAAAGGCCTCCTCCGCATCCCGGTATTGAGGCTGGATGGCGTTCTGAATGGCACTCGGCACCGGGTAGTCGACACTCAGAACGGAACCTTGCACTAGGTTGATCTTTCTCGTTCCGTAACGGCGCAGGGCACCCGCGCGACTCCCTTCACGGGAAGCCTTGTCGCCATTGCTCCGGGCACGGAAGGTGTTTTCGGAAGCGGCTTCGGATTCTTGGTAAGGAGGCGCGGCGAAGACCGCTGGACCGTCGTCGTGCAGAGTGTAGCGACGGAGGGAGTCTGTCGACACGGCGGGATCATCGAAGGGCGTGCCATAGTGACTGGAATTGTTGCGCTCCAGCAGAGACTGTTCCTGCTCGTCGTGCTCATGTTCCTCGGAGTGGTAAGTTTGGTGCTATCACGATTAGGTATTGAAACAGCCGGCCAGCTTGACGGGACACACTCACACCATGGGGGGGAGACGTGTGGGAGAAGTAGCTGCTTTCGCTGTCCCGCGGCGAATGGGCCGAGTAAGGTGTTGGCGTACCCATCTTGGAGGTTGAAGATGGGATTGCCTGAAGTTGCGACGGGTGGTCTTAATGAGGCAAACGGGGAAAGGGAAAAAGTATAACGAGGGTTCTAGGGAGGTTCTGGGGCTGGGCAAAAGAAGGATCCCAAAAATAACACTGTAAAATTAAAAAGGGCACAAAAATAAACAGGAGTCCCCCAAAGGAGGGAAGAAAAGAGGGCCTAAGGGGAAAAAAATGGGCTGGGGACAACAACGGTACCACGCAACCGTCAATTGGGCTAGGGCGTAGATAAACCAACTGCTAGAGGAGTGGAGCACCCATGGATCATTGGATACGTGCCTAAGAACTATATATAGGGGGGAACGAAGCAGCTACGGGACAGGGCAAATAAGAAGACGAGATGGCGGGGGATGAAAGTCTAAGCCTTGGGGAGCAGTGGCGATAATTCGACGGAGGATGCATGTTTACAAGTGTGCGATATATCTGGCGGACCGGGGCGATACCAGAATAGTAGCCAGATGAGGCTTGTCCATCGCGGTGGGAGCAGGATAATTTTCCCTTTTGGCCCGCCAGGAACAATGCAGGCCGGCATTATAGCCACGCCGGGCGGTGCACTGAAACTGAGAATGGCCAACGACGGTCTTGACTTGTCGGTAGCGGATGTTTAAGATCTCTGTCGTCAGCAGGTTGGCTCCACCGGGAGTAAAAATCCTTATCCGGGGGGACCACCTCCATTCAACGGGTACCCATGGTCGACAGGATATATTTATACTGGCTCATGACCCTGCGTCCTCCGGACTCGACGGACAATGTAGAAGTGCTCCAACATGGCGCTCTTGGGAAGGAACAGGCGAGAGGCGTGGCCGCGTTGACAGTGGAAAACGATTGCGACGACGAGGACGGAGGAGGGGGCAGACAGGATGATGTGATGAGCGGGCGTTAAAGGTGGGCGTCGAGAAAATTCGGCGGACTGTCATGGTTCCCGGATCGGATCCAATGGATGACGAAGGCCGGGGCAATCCTATTGGACCCAAGAATGAGGGTGCCTACTAGCGGCGATTTAGTCCGAGCGACTATCGTAGCTAAGACCGAGTAGCCATGCGAGTTCGGATGGGAGACACGCAGCAGAAGCGTGGTGCAGGTGGAAATGAAGGTGAACAAGGCGAGAAGTCCAGAGGTTCCCCCGAAAAAGACGCGCAGCCGGTGGGCCCCGGTCCGGCCGATTTTCCGAGCAAGCGAGCTATAACCCTATTCTGATTGGCTGCCGTTGGGGCCAGCGAACATCGCGTGATCCACAGTGGAGATTTCGGCCACGCAAAATTCCATTTCCGGCAAGTTTCCAGTTCGGTAGGTTCAATGGACTGGATGAGAAGGGGAAATGAGAGGAAAGAAACGGGGGGGGAAAAGGAGTAAAGCAGACAGAGCAGAAGCTAAAGGAAATGAGGGCATGATTGCCGTCGCTGGAAAAGTTTCTGCTCAGTTGCTCTCTCGCGCGCGATAGGGAAATGCATCATCGTCGTGCAGTTGAGCTGACTCGTTTTCCACGCAAGGCTGTAAGATAATCAGACACCAAAGTGACAGGTCCCAAGGCAACGCCAGTTTCACCATCAGAACCAGGATCAGCTTCCTCGTCACGAATTGTTGGTTCTCTGACTTGAGGAGCGAGCACTAAAGGGGTAGGAAGAGGGTCAGTGTAAAGCTATTAGACCAATCACCCCTCGGTTCCCAGGCAGCAACCAGCTCGGTCAAACGGCCGGCTGGCAGGCTGCCATCAGGCTGTCTTCAAATGGACTTGCTTGGTGTTCCGATGTCCAGGGGGAAATACTCCTAACGTCCTGTTCCTCTTCCTCTTCTTATATACCCATGTGTTCGGTCCTCCTCTCAGGGCAGAGAATTAAATGTTATCTTGGCAATAGGATTATTATGGAGCAATGGTCCAATCTCCAAGCGAAGGGGGTAAATAGTCTTCCAGGACTCATCCCTTCGCCTGAGGCACCACAGTGGTGGTGGATTACGAACTAACTGTCCGACTAGTTGGGAACTGAGTCGAGACGTTCCCAGCGTTCGACTGGCTGGCTCCACACGCGGGCGGATCACCCATGGGCGTGGCGCTCCGTGACCGTCCATGTCTCACGCATATTCGGACATTTGACATCTTCACACTGCGCAGTCATGGCCAAGCTCAGGACGAGTAGAACTGAGCACATAAAGGGGGTGGTAGGCTCTCAAAAGACACAAATTGTAGATTGTGCCGTCTCGAGCAGGGTTCTGGTGCTATTTTTGGGGTGGATGTCTCGGTCATCCACCCAGTGTGGCTGTTCCGCAGGGATGCCGGATATATATATTGCCTCCAGTGGGTGTTCACCACCAAGACGAGTAACTTCAACTGGATCATGGATACAAAGCCGGCGACGAGGATGGAGAACTGCAGAGCGACAAGGGTAAAGCTATTCTGAAATTTGGTATGGAGCTCCATACTCGGTATTCTTAGTCGATATCTATTTATACTATCGACCCTGAAAAAGGGCCCTGAAAGACGAGTGGAATGAGTGGAAAGTACTAGCTGTGGTGCCTGAGAAGTAGCATCATTTCTGATTAATACGGGATAATGCATGCAAAAAGCCGACACTTCATCCTATCAGGGATGGTATAGCAGGGTTGTTCAATGGCAATACATCCCAGGTGTGAAGCCAAGCTTTGCACACAAGCAATCTTGGTCGTGGCTAGCCGAACCCAAATGTCAGACGTGCATTACATCTCACGTGTTGGAATGTCGGCAGCAACTGACATTGATGCTAAATTCCACTTCCTGAAAGCGCTGCTGCACCCAATTTCGCGGAATGAATTCTTGCGGCATTGAGGAGGCATATTTATTTCACTGTTGACCGTGTGACGGCCATGTTGAAACGAAGATGATGATTTGCATCTGGTGTTTCTGCATGGAAGCTTCAAGCGGGGGATGATTTACCGATTGGCGGTCTTGGCTTGCTGAATCAGCGGGATTCGGTCCGAGTCCGACCACAACCACGGCCCCACCCATGTCACGTGATTTGAATGGTGCTATGTTCCCCGTCCAGGCAGCAACATTCTATGACTGGTGGCCTCAGGCCCCAAAAGCAGTCGGCTTCCGTTCGACACGCATCGATCGCACCTGCCTTTTCTGGACTTGGTCTTCTGTGTCGATGCCAGTGTCATGTTGGCATATCTCCGCCACTTCTTCGAAGCCCACCAGCCATCTGTCTGTTATTCCCCGGAATGCACGGTGAACTTTCGAGAAAATAGAAAGACCAGCGCATCTCGACATATCTCTATCCCATAGGAAGAAGCTAAAAGCGATATTTGACATGGCATTTGATAAGCTTTCAGCACTGAACTACCTGCTACAGAGACTAGATCCGTCCGCTAACTATACACAAGTCCAGGAGTTAGGATCGGTGTAGTTACCCGGCCCCGTGTGAACATTATGCTTCGGATACCGGCAGTGCTTGCGCATGTACTCAATTGACCCGTTGGCGTTGAGCTTGTTGCCCGGCATGTACTCGGGCGCCTTTCCGTTTTCCACCCAGTCCACCATCGTGCGCAGCAGGTTGACTTGGGGCGCCTTGGAGGTGTACGTGCCATATCCCTGGCCGATGTACGATGCTCCCGTGCCATCGCCACAGTGGCCCATGCCGGAGATCTGGAAGAACCGATAGAACTCATCTAGCTCGGACGGCGCGGCATTCAGGGCATTCGCTACCCGTCGGTAGTAGAGCTTGCTATCCGTGGAGCTGATAATGGGATCCTGCGTGCCGTGGTAGGACAGCAGCTTGCCACCCCGGTCCCGGAAGGCCGTGATGTTGGGATCAAACGCCTGGATATTGAACGGATTCTGCTCCAGGGCCAGCTTGGCACTCTCCAGCGTCCACTGGCTGGAGTTCCAGTTGGTGTCGTTATAGACCACATATTTGTACCATTCCTCCGTACGGCTGTACATCGACCCCGTGAAGTAAAGGTAAGCCGAGTCGGCCTCACCCCCATAGTTCAGGCGCGGATAGTACACCGTCCCGTCGGGGCCATAGAAGTCACTCAAGGCCCGGTTGACCTTTGCTGCCTGGGCTCCCGTGATACAAAAGGTGCCGTTGTTAGTCCCGTCGCAGATCAAGCGCTCGATGACTGGAGCACAGAAATCGGGGTCTTCGATGATTCCATCCAGAGCCCCATCGACCAGGTCGCACTGACGAACAATCTCCTGGTGGATTACGGACCACAGGTCTGCAGAGATAAAGTCTGGATCATCCGCTAACCCCGTTGCCTTCCACAAGAAGGCCCCCCAGGAGATCAGGTTGATAAAGTTCATCGCTGCGGAGCCCGCAATTACTCCGTCATAGTCGTCGGGAAACCGTTGGACTTGCTGGTAGCCTTGGCGGCCTCCGGTGGAGCAACCCAAATAGTAGGAGTAGTTGTATCCCTCGTCATAAAACAATTGAGTTAGTTGCTTACCTACCACGGTCCCTTCGTGCACTGAGCGATAGGCAAAGTCGGCCAGAACCTCCGAGTTGTTGAGGAAGTATTTGGCCGTGTCCCCGTCATGTCCACCGTTGGTGCCCACGGTAGCGAAACCAAAGTTGGCTGCAAAGTTCAGGTCCGTTTCTTGGACACCTAATTCGGAATCAGCAAATTCAGAAGAAGTGAAAGATATACCGGACACGACGGCCTAGAAAAGGGTGCGACACTTACAGCCGGCTAGACCTCCATTCCCCGTGCTCACGAAGCGACCGGTATAATTTCTTGGGAGCCAGGCCTCAGCCCACAGATGGCTGCGATCCGACGTCGAGATGTTCATGGTTACCCGGCACAGGTCGACACTGGCTTGAACCGATGCTTTACACACGGAGGCGACCTCCGCTTGGGAAATGTTCTGTCCAGCAGCAACGTATGCGACCGATCTGACGGTGACATTGGCGATGTCGATCTTGTTCTGGAATTCATTGCACCGCGACTGGAAGGGGTCGGTCGCAGCGAGGGCTGCACCAGGCAGTGCCAGGGATAGGAGACTTGCTACTTTCATTTTGCAAGCTCAGAGTGGGAACGACACACAATGGGAAGGGAGAGGGGACGCTCCTGTGCAAAACACGAAAAAAGTCCCAGCAGGTCCCCCTTCTTATAGGCATTGATCAGCAGGTTGGTCTCACAGTTTTGGGAGTTACAAGAAACTCCGCAGGATACGATGAACTAGTGACCAGCTTCGACATCATCACCGGAGAAACTGTACCCATCGTCTGCTCCCCTTCCCCCGCATTTTGAAACGATCTGACGGGGTTATTGCCTTTCTTGAACGTCGGTGATTCGAGTGCAACCCAGAATTGTGGCTCCACATGCACTGATCTGGGGAACGACTGAAGCGGAAATGCAAATGCAGTTGACAGTGGCTACCCCGGAAAAGCCAGTGAGAACCCCGGAGTGGCTCAGGAAAAGAAAGTTTCGTTAGACCGGCAGAAGATCACGGCAGGTGAGAAGCGGGCCGGGCCACGGAGCCTCGGTATCCTCCTAGCCCTGTATCATACCTGGTGCATACATCGGAGGATTGTATGGACGGCAGGAAGCTGTCGGTTGATACGGAATCCCGTGTATAAGCTTTATCGTCGGGCAGCTTATTCCTCAGGTGCACCCGCACGTTGTGGACGGCCGGACGGCCATGCCCCTGCTCCCGACGTACGTGGCCGATTTTACTTCATGAGACCCTCCTTGAGCTATAGATTTCTTCATACTCGCGTAACCTTTTGTTCCAGTAGATTTGCCATCAGTGAATGCCCATTGTGGGATATGGAAAGGCCTACGAACACCCTGCTGGAGCTGAACAAGGGGGAGGGAAATTTCCCCGGTCGGTAGTTGTTACTCCGCAGTGAACCCTTGAGTCTCCACTGTAATCAAGCACTGACCGGGGTTGGTACGCTGTGATTGGGATGCCAATGTTTTGGACGAAGGTACAAATGAGGAGAGCAGGAAGCACAACCCGTGTCTATACCCCGCAGTGGGTCGTGGGTCATCACCGATCGGCATGGGGGAGGAGAAGGACAATTGATTAATTCTGCGGGATGGAGGTCTGCACGCATGGTCGGAGTAGGAGCGGTAGACAATGAGAAGGGAGAATATCCTGTTGCCTGATGCTGGGGATGAGCCAAACAACCTTATGTCGTAGTCGTAGCAGGAAGCAGGATGTCTATCTGTCCTGCCTTAGAGCCTGGGCGCATGAACCTGTGTGCCTGAGGGAATGACATGATTCTGCCTCAGGCTATTATCATGTGACCCATCCAAGACAAGGCACCGACAAAGGAAAAGCAAGGGATACAACATGATATCTTCATTCTAAGAATCTTCATAAACAAGGACTCGAACCACTGTACACTTCCTGCTTCATGCACCCCCCTTCTCGGTCACCCACGCAGGAACCTTGAAATCCGGAGGTAACTGATACTGCCCAAAGCAACTGCCGGCGCTGCATCGGCCCAGATTGCACCGGCCATACAACCGACAATAGCATTCGCCCGCCCGCGGACATGCAATGCCATTCAATCGCTCCAGGTCGATCGCTGCCGATCCATCATCGGCATGAAGAGCACCGCGTCGAATAAACAGGATGTGCCACACATACGACAATATCCGACCGGCAATGCGATCATCCCGTGGTGCTGCTCGGCGGGCCGACGGGGATCGTCGTCCCCCTCCTCCTGCTCCGGGCTGGGCGGCATCATCGCTGCCATCCAGCAGCCACTGCCGCAGCGCGATGTACTCGTCCCGCGTGTGCTGCCAGACGCTCTCGCGACTGACCACAAACTGCGCGCAACACTGAGCGCGCACTGCGTCGTTCCGACCAAGCAGCACTCGCGCGCTCTCCAGCTCCAAGCTGATCTGGTCTTTGCCAAATAGGTTGGCCAGCGCGCCTGGCAGCGCGACGTCAGAGGCTGTCCGCGCGCTCCACGGCTCAAGCACCGACTGCATGGACAGCTCCAGGCTGCCCTGCGCGGGCGTCTTGGGGGAGCATGTGCTGACGCTCCAGTCGCAGCGGAGATTGTGGTATCCCCAGGGAGCCAGGGCCGCCGATATGTTCAACGCCGCCAGCAGGGCCGCGTTGTCATAGTCGGGCGCATCGTTGTGCCAGGCCCAACGAGACCCGTGCACGAACACCATCCCCGTGGCGGGTAGTTGGGCATAGTTGTCGATCAAGAAGGTCAGGTAGCCCATCGCCTCGTGGCCCCGGTTGGCGGGCACTTGCAGGTGCGTGCTACGGGCATCTGGCGGTGCGTCTGCTGTGTAGACGCAGAGATGATATTGCTCTGCTAGCGGTGCGAGCCAGTCTGAGGCATCTGCCGTGACCCGCGATACCACTAGAACGGGCTTATCTGTCTTGGCTAGACCGGGACATTGGCCCCGGGCTTCCGGGAGTTGCTTCGCGGTGGTCTCATAGGTGACGGTGGTCCAGGCAAAGGGCCGACCGGGGGAGGATGGCCGGTTGAGGAAGAGGATGAGGCTGAGGATTCCGGCGAAGAAGGCCAGATGAACGAGACTGCGGCGGGTTCGGCGCCTCATTATGAGGTGCTGCTTGGGTGAACAGGCAGCAGAATCGGATGAAATAAATTATCGCCAGTTATCTCCAGTTATGATGCGTTGGGATCGTTGGCAGCAGGACCTGACTAAGCGGCAGAACGAACCACTCGGAATCTCGCGGATGATCGGCATTAGTATTGCTTGTCTCTACGGAAGGACTATGAGGATGAATTCTAGAATTGATCGTTCCAATCCACATAAGGATGGTATTTGGTTAGCTGTATGTGTGCCTAGTGGAATAGTATTACTATTGGTTGAGTATACAGTGTTAAACAAGCTGCCAGCCACTCTGCACCATATACTTTCCCGCACCATTGGAACGTATATCTGTTCGCTCAGAAACATATATAACAGCGTTCCTTCGACACTATAAGTACTTTACTTGAAGATACTAAGGGTGATTTAACTTATTTCGAATATGTCCGGCGTCTATTAATGAGGGCTAGCGTGCCTGAGAATGGGTGACATGAATGATGCTGAATTGCACTTCGCCACACGAACCATCTGGGTTGAATCGCACAATAAGATCATTTATTGACCTGTAGTCCTTGGCCTACTAAGGCGGTTTATAGTACTCTCGGTGAAGAAGCCCATTATGGGTAGGTTCGTTGCTACTGACGGCTCTGGAGTGTTGGATTTCCGGGTATATACCGGCGGCGTCAATATAATTGGGCTATTCGATGGAGTTGTTCTAAATAGTCAATGACTGCATGTATCTGGGGTAATACTTCCCGAAAAATACAACTCGAAAAGATGAACCATTCGATATTTCGCCTCTTAGAGACATCACTATTGTGGAAAGCATGTCAGCTTCATAGTATGCATATCTCCCACCCAAGATTATACCAATCTAAAACAGCAACCACCCTGTTCCAAACCCCAAACCCCACGTTAAAACAAGCTATTCAAGCACATGCATCCATCGAAGATCGAACATTCCGGCCGCGCGGCCACATGGTAACTGGCCAGAGATAAGCCCCTCGAAGAGGAGGAGTACGCGGCCCTGCAGCCGATGTGACCCGTCTTCCTGACTGCATCAACCGCTGCAGGGCCCGTTTCTTGATTTCAGTTCTAGCTGCAGCACATGGTTAGAGTTCTTTGTGGTCTGCACTTGATCCGGGGTGGCTTCGGCTCGGCCCTTTGTTTGTGGAACTCTGATGGGAGCCACTCGGCAGGTTCCCGGCATGTGGAATGTCACTGGGCGTGCTTGGCGGAGGAGCTTATAGGATGGTTCGTTTTGATTGCGACTGGATGGATATGTTGAGATGAGGGGGTGGTGGGGGTGGATAGATAATCAGTAGTGAGGGCTGGGAAGATGTGCTAGCATGTGGCTACGCTGTTATATATATAAGTGATGAACGGGTGAGGATGGAGACTGACGAGTGAGGGTACTCTTACTAGTACTTGCTAGTATGATTGTTAGTACTACTAGACAAAATTCTAGTCCAAAGATTTGGTGCTTCCTGGAGGAATGGTAGGTAATACATTAGACAGTTCAAGTCAAAACGATGCTGGCCACTTGCATTTTCCCATGATATATGAAAACCATACCACACCCCCCAAATGAGATACACCAACATTCCAAGACAACAAATGAACACAAGACACCAAATTACGTATATTATGTACGGATCAAAACCAGAAAACATGAACTAACCAGACCAAGCCAGATTACCATAATGCACAAACCCACCCCATCCCATCCCTTTAACCTTCCATCCTCTACAATCAATCCATCATCATTTCCACCGACCCACCCCTCAACGAATGCCACAAATCCTCACACGCATCCTGCAAGGACTTCTCCGCCTCCCACCCCAACTCACAAGCCGCCCTCTCCGGAACCGCCACGCACTCCTGCACATCCCCGGGCCTCCTCTCCGCCAGCCGTCTTGGGATAGACTGATGACTGACGCCCTCCATCGCGGACACCACTTCCGCTACGGAATGCCCTCGCCCGGTCCCCAGGTTGAAAGTGCGGAAGTTCGTCTTTACCTGGCCGGCTAGCGCTGCCGCCAGGGCTGCCGTATGTCCGCGCGCCACGTCCGACACGTGGATGAAATCGCGGATGGCAGTACCGTCGGGAGTCGCCCAGTCGGTTCCATAGACGGATAAAGCTGGTAGTTGACCCGTCAGGACTTGCACGACTACCGGGACGAGGTTCGAGGGTGTCCCGCGGGGATCTTCACCCAGGAGACCCGAGGGGTCGCATCCGATGGGGTTGAAGTATCGGAGACCTATGATGGTCCAGGATGGATCGGAGGTTGCTACGTCGGAGAGAATGGCTTCGCCGATCCATTTGGTGCGGCCGTAGGGGTTTGTGATTCCTGTGCAGCCTTGCTCTGATGTTATAGCTTCGCCAGAGGAGGCACTGTGGTATGTCTCGGGTTGGTGCACGCAGTGCTCCTCGCGCAGGGTGCCGTGGTTCTGGGCTAATGTGCCATAGACGTTGGCTGAGGAGGAGAAGATGAAGGTTTTGATGTCGTGGTCCGCTAGTAGGCTGACTAGGTCTACTAATCCGGTGACGTTGTTGTGGTAGTACTTGAGGGGGTTGCGCAGACTGTCGTTGACGTCCTTGAAGGCGGCGAAGTGGATCACTCCTACGATTCTGGATCGGGACTGAGTGATGCTATCGTTGGTGTCTACTGAAGATGACTCCACTGTGTACGAGGCCAGCAGGGCGCGCATGGCGGGCACGTCGCGAAAGTCGATACATCTCAGCTCGGCCCGTGGACAGTGGCCACCCGTCCGGTCAAAGTGTTGCTTGGCTGCCAGCAGAATCCGGTCGAAGACGTGGTGGAAGCTATTGCTCAGGTCATCCACAATGATCACGTTGTAGCCAGCCTTGAGCAACTCCAGAGTGGTGTGGCTGCCGATGTATCCTAGTCCGCCGGTGACGAGTACATATGGGGCGTCATCCTGGACCGACAGGGAAGGTTCGTCGAAGTATTCATCCCGCTCGGTCTCGGGAGTCGTAGGTGCGGAGAATAAGGGCGTGGGCACTGGCGAGCTTCCTTCAGAGGCACAGATAACAGACATGGCGCAGCTGATGGAGAAAGTATAAAGGAATGGAACAATAATAATAGCAACCGCAGCAGCAGCAGCCGTGACGAACGGGAACAGACAACGACGATGACGAGGCCAATATAATTCACAACCTCTCGCGATATTTGACGAATCTAGATTCTCACCAGGCCAGTATAAATCACGAACTTAAGCACTACGGAGAGACTACTCTGGCTGGGCGAAACCCGGGCAGGAAGTACTTGGAATCGTGGGACTTACCCTCCACTCGCTTTCCACCCCCCTTTCCCGTGTCAAGGACCGTCGATTCAGCTACATTACGCCGGCATCGGTTTTCAGGAGCCCGATGATTTCATCATCGTCGTCGAGTCAATGTCCTTGGCCCAGTCTGCCTACTACATAGGACCGGCGCCTGCCGCCCTAGTGAGGGATGAACGCAGCGTGGTTCATATTTATCCGACAGCCAGGCGGCGACAAGCGACAATGTGTTTAGGGACATGAGGACTCGGGATCTGCCTTGTGTTTTCACTTTGGGAGATAATTGGCGATCGTAATCGACGTCGAATCAATTAGGCCACACGAGTCAGCCGGAGTGAGAGGGGCATTGGCAGTCAAGGTTCGACCGCGGACTTGCTAGTTCTACATTTTACTGGGGGGGGGGGGGGGGGGGGGGGGGGAGACGGAGAGAGACTAAGGGCAAAAAGGAAGCAATTGGGGCAGAAAGAAGAAAATGACGAGATGACGGTAGTTCTGGGTCTGCAGTAGCTTATCTAGTGGTGCCTTAGTATGCATTAGACCCATGTTGCCCATCATTGGCTTTGCCGGATCGACTCCGTGGCATGACGGCGGCATTTCTGAAATTAAATATATTAATTCGGGGCTAGTTGGAAGCCTGGCCGGGTCTAGCTGTCTGACTGACTGACAGGTTGGACTGACTTGCTTTGGTGTCAAAGAGCCTTGTCTGCCATGAGGTCTGGCGTGACTCCCAAGGGTGTAGATGTGATTCATGGCAGAAATTGTCGCTGCGAGGAGAGATACACTGAAGCATGCAGGTCTCAGCCGGGGTAAGCCCTAGTTTCAACCGTGCAGGGCCAGCGCATCTTCTTTTTTCCCTATCTTCCTGTCTTCTTGCCTTTCTTGCCTCGTCGTGTCGAGGGCCGGTGAGGTGTCCTCCGTACCTGATGCCGGACATGCGGCATCAGGCACTGGGGACCTGCAGATACGAAGGCGAAGAGAAAACGGTGAGACTTTGATTTGTAAAAATTATCCTTTCTGTTGCTTTTTTTTCCTCTTTGCCTCCCAGCCACTGCAGGCTACCTGTCTAGCTAAGCAACAACGTAGGTGTACTCGCAGAAAGTGGCTTTCCAGAATTGTCCGAATTCCCGAACATCCCGATCAGCGCTAAGAAGGGGGTGAGGAAAAGGAAAGGGAAAGAACTCCGCCTTGGCTACTCTGTACTCCATAACTACTGCATCTCGCCATGAAAAATGATGAGACAAGCTGAGGAAGAAAAAGGAAAAAGAAAAAAAAAGAGAGGGGCGCCCTTGCGTGCGACCCATCGAAAGTGACACGTTCGACGAGTCAGAGGACACAGGAACACCAAAAGTTGATGGGGGTTCCGAACTCCACCGGTTCATGGTTCCCCTTGTTTTAAGACGATGGGGACAAAAGGGATTCGGGATCCAGTTTTTAACTAAGCAGATAGTCTCTCTAGTTAGTTATTTACTAACTATCTACTGTACCCTTTCCGACAAAGTCTCCATCAACATGCCCCAGCTGGAGGGACCGAAGCGCTCGTAGAAATCGCCTACGATTTCGGTGACAAATATGTAGGCGGCACGACGACGCAGATCGCGCACCAGGGCGGGAATATGATGGTTCGGGACTTCCGTGACCATGTAGCCGCAGCGATCGCGAGGATATGGAAGCTCGCCTAGACGATGCTGCACCTCATTGGTTTGCCAGCGTGCAAAAGGCTCCTCACAGACCAACAGGAGATCTGAGCCTGCATCGGCCATCTCGGGATCCGGGGGGGTGCCTGGATTGTGTACCACCTGCATCATCATCATTATCATCGTTGTTATTATTATTATTAGAAATGAATTGACCACGTTGTTCCATGTTTTCTCATTTGTCGGGTCTCAGTGAGACAGAAAACAGCTGTCGGAATTTTCATTTTTCTTCTCCGCCACCAAGGTCGGAGAATGAGGGGAGAGAGAGAGGGGCAGTGGCTGAACCAAAGAAAAAAAAGAAAACCACCATCATAATAATCATAATAAGAGGGACAAATGCTTACCAATCGGTCGCGGAGAAGGCCCGAGCAAGCCTTGATGTGACTATGAAGCGCGCGCAAATACTCGGCCTGAGCGGCATTGAAGTGGTTGGGAGTCTCATCGACCATGATGCCACCCACGCCTAAGCCGGTAGTGGCATATTCGGCGGCCCAGCTGGCATAGCGATCGATCTCCTCACAGGCGACGGCCAATGGCTTTCGGCAATAGTCGATGCGGATATAGCCGACGGGATAGACATTAGGGCAGGCATTCAGGCGGGCCACTTCGCGCGCATAGTTGGCATCGGGGCACGGCAAGGCACCGGGTCCACTGTTGGGGTTGACGATCACCAGGAACTCGAGGTCGGGATAGGCAGCGATTCTACAGGTACACTCCCTACCCATCAGTCACTTTGCTAGGCAAGAACGATGTAGATAGGCCATCGACCAGAGAGAAAAAAAAAAAAAAAAAAAAAGAGAAGAAAAAAGCAAGCAAACAAGAAAGAAGGTAGGTAAACTTTACGCGTTATAAAGTGGATCCCAGGTGGTCGGAGTTAAGGGATAGATATACAAGGGCACGAGCACGCCGGACTTGGGAAGCGTCATGGTGGTGGTGGTGGTGGTGGTGGTAGCCATCGGAATCAAGCTGGATGGGGAATAGAGGTGGAAGAGGTGGGAAGTTGGCACTTGGGGGGGACACTTTGGGGCAGAGACAAAACTGGGAAGACGACAACAACAACAACAACAAGAAGAACAACAAGAGAAAATGGGGACTAGCGGTGGCCAGGGTTATTTTTCCCAGCAATTTAGATGACTACCGGTCTTATACGAGAAATCATGGCATGAATTCATCTATGTGAAGTCGCTAACTAGTCAAGAGGCGCGACGTGGACACCACGGGCCAAGGCAGACATTGTGAATGGGAGATGACTGTACCATAGCAGCCCGGTGATATAGGACTAGTTGTCTTGTCCTGTCTGTGTGTGCCTGTCCAAGCAAGCCGAAAAGCAAGGAAAAAAGCAACGAAGAAAAAGTACCACAACGCCACTCCCGCGCTAAACCATGGACCAAAGGCCTGGCCGGGCGTCTCCAAGCTTTTCTCTTGCAAACCTTCCCCTGCCGGCTGCAGTTGGTGTATCTCACACCAATCACAGCCCCGATCGGGGAACCTTGACCGGGCCAACTCACAACGCATGGATCTTGGTCCAAGTGGAGCATCCTCTTTAGCGCCAGATACTAGTCAAAGGGGAAAAATTCACTAGAGTTGTTCGAACTTCCATCGAGAGCGACCGTCCCAGAGTTATCGAAGTTTGGGTGCGGCGGGAGCCACACACACGGGGATCAACCGGCCACTCATCGTCGTTCTTCAGGTCGGCATCACGTCGCAGATGGTCTCACCCTCCGGATCGAAACTCTCGTAGTAGTCTTCCGTCAACGTGGTCAGGAACAGATACTCGGCCTTTCGGCTCATCTGGTTGACAAAACTGCGCAACGTGCTGTTGCTGAGACTGTCAGGTACCGAGTGCAGCATATACGCATATGCTGTGCGATTCGAAGCCATGGCATTCAGACTGTGTTTCTCCGAGTGAAAATCCTGGTAGGAACTCTCAAACACCACTGTGACGTCCGTCGCGTTGTTCTCGTAGCGACTATCCGGAATGGTACCGGGATTGTGGATCACCTAAAGGGCAGATCCGCCAAAAAAAAGTTAGCCACTGGGATCGTCATAGCAAAAGAATTTTCTGCGCTCTTGCTGCACCCGAACCGCGGTCTCGCTTACCATGCGATCTCGGCCCAATCCCGAAGAACTCTTGACGGCCTCGCTGATCGTCTGCATGTACTCAACCTTTGTTGCCGAGTAGTCATAGGGAGCTTCGTCAAAGAAAATCCCATCCATCGCTAGTGTCAGCGATCGATTCGCCCACCCGGCATAAGTGGCGACATCATCCAGCACATCGGTGATGTTGCGCGTGGCATAAGCCGTGCGCACATATCCAACCTTGCGTACATTGGAATATGTGCTAAGTCGTTCCACTGAGGAGGTATACTCCTCCGAGGGATACGCACTGGAGCCGGGTCCGCTCGACGGATTGATGATGACCGTGAAGTTCAGGTCCGGGTGCGCCGTGACCCTGGGACTGTCAGTCACCGTGCGCAATGTAATCGGGGGGCGTGTGTGTTTCAGGTTCAACATACGATTCATATAAAGGATCCCATGTACTGTCATTGGTGGGGTAGATGTATAGTGGGAACAGAACATTCGTCTTTTCACCACCATGCTTGCGAGTCAATATGACTGCACAGGGGACAACAATGACAATAATGATCACTAGGGCAATGGCAATGGAAATGGCGATGCACCAAGGCCGCCGGGGGCGCGTAAGATTAGGGCGAGGCATCCATGCGGCAGCCAGTCCGAGCTGGCGAGGGTTAGTCGAGAAGACGGAGTATAGTCTAGCCAAAGACGCAAGCTGAGTTCCGGCCTCTGCCTGACCTAGATAGACGGCGCGCAGGAAATGATATAAACCTGGGGGGGAATCCGGCCAAGAGTGAAGTCCCGGACTCGCCGGACTCACATGTAGGAACTAGACCGTTGTGATTCGTTCGCCGTGTGGCGCGATAACAACAAAGGATCCAGTGATATTGGGACCTAATGGCAATCGAGGCTGATGACATGACCGTGCTTTTTGAGGTGCAGAGCAGCGTGGCTAGGACAGCAAAGGCAATTAGAGCCCCGTATTCGAGTCAGACATGCATAGACCCCCACGTTAGCGCCGCTTTCGTGCCCACCAGTCCACTGGAAAGTCCCTATCGGTTCGAGGGCCCAAAAGAAGAAAAGCAGCCAGAGCAGAAAGGAAAAAAAAAGAAAAAGGAACGTAACGGAAAAGGGAATCTCCCACTATGCTTGATGCTGGCTGGTAGACTAACGCCTGCTCTGCTGGCTGGCGCTAGGCCCTTTAATCACATTTGATTTTTCATTTTCTTCTGGGTCAGCGGTAGGTTCCAGAGATACATGCATCTGCTATAAATAGTTATATTAAATGAAGAGATGGCGCCTCCCTTGGCGGCTTGAAAGGGAGCTTGACTTGGGTAGTCAGCGATTCTTATCGCCCTAGATCATAATAACCACTTAGGTACCCCGTCCACAGTCGGGTCAAGCAGCGGTGCCGGGTTTTCGACAAGCTGCCTGTCACCATGGGACTGGAATACCTGGGTTTGGATGCCGTGGGATGGCATCGAATGACCACGACGTGGTGGGATAAGGTACTTTGGATTCCTCTCCCCTGGGAAAACAAAACAAATCCCTTGTCTCCTGTCGTTTTTCTGACAGTCGCAACGTTTAGGTGATAGCAGCATGTTTATTAACAACTATTGTACTTGGTGCCGTGTTCGTTTTGAGCTTCATAGCTCGGAAGATCTACAGAGTCTGGCAGGTATGTCGTGCTGTCCTCCATCATTTTTATCGCCGTGAGGAATGCGCTGATTATTGGCTTTTGCGGTGGGAGTTCAGAGGCGGCATCAACTCTCCGAGGTCCCAACGGCCATTGCCCGTTATTTGGACCAACTCAAAACAAACAATGCCCCCCTTGCGTCGGAGAAACCGCCCGCGAAGGAGCTTAAATCTTTTGGTGTTTTTCTCGGCGGGTTTTCCAATCCTCCGACACCTGCCGAAGGCCATCTGCTCTCGCATTGGGATATTCTCGTCGTAGATCCCCTCCAAACCGGGGTTTGGGAAGCGCTCACCGGCCACTGCACGTCATCGCACATTCTTGCTCGCCTTGACGTTCGAAGTCTAGTGCGCTCTGATGCTTGTCGCAACAATGATGAAGCCCTCCAAGCCCTGGAAACAGTGGTCCAGACGATGTCCACTACTCTCAAGCGCGGCCAAAGCAGCGCATCGCCTTTTCACGGAGTACTTTTGGCCGACTGCCATGCGCATTTTCAACCCGTGATCCTGAATGAATTGGTCAAGTACATGAACCACCTTGGCCTAGCCGTATGGCTGGAATTGGCGCCACCGGCCTACCTCAGCGAGGAGCAAGGTCGGGCTATTAACATGCAGCAAATCCGTGGCGTGGTTTACCGAAATGGCACGATTCTGCAAAATGGAGACAGGCGCAATTATTTCCAGATGGCCGAGATGCGTACTGCCATGCGGGCCGTGGCATCCCAGAAAGCTGTTGGCGACTCGGCTATTGCCCTGTGGGATACGATTGACGATGACGTCGAGCTCTCTCACCACGTTCTCGGACGCAGCTTCAAGTGGTGCAACTACAACAGTGCCTTGTGTTGGATCGCGCCCCAGTCTGCGTTAATTAATGCAGATGTTGCTGTCACACAAACAGTGACACAGGAGCCCCTGGGGGCTATGATGTGGCTGAAGCGCGGCGAAGTTCTGGAAGCGCATGATGTTTGGAGGCTGAACGACAAGGCAAGCGCCCTTATGTGATTTTGGTACAGGAGACCGGATTGGAAGCTGACCATCTCCGACAGATCCGCCAAACGCCGTGCGGATATGACGAAATGTACGAATCGCTAGAGTCCTTTGTCCCTGACCTGAGAGCAAAGCTTGCCCTGTCACCCCCAGTAAAAACTCGATTGTCTGATAGTGCTGGTACGGTGATCGAGGGGCTCGAATGGTCTGGAAGAACCGAAAGTTCACAAACTGATACCCTTTCCGTTTCCCCTGCTGGAGCAAGCTATACCGGACTCGCATGCTTTCAGATCGGTCTGGATTGCACATCCAAGGATGTCACGGACCTCGTCGAAGGCCAAAGACAAGTTAGGGACCTCGATTTGCTCCAACGTCTCAATGCAGAAGATCTTCGTCAAATTACCGAGCCATTGCGCACGTTGCTGAAGGCCCAGAGCTCACACACATATCTTGCGTCGGAAATGCAGTCAATCAAAGACTTGGTTGACCTCCTCACGGTTTGCAGAGGCGACGACAATGACCGTCTTCGAATTTACGTCGGCTTGCATTCGGGCTTCCGCACTCGGCTGGGAAGCCAGATTTGGGGTCTGCACGATCTCGATTCCAGCATGGGCGTGCTTAACATTTATTTGTCGGGAAAGACGCAGGACCGCACCGGAACCATTCTCCACACTTATCTGGCCAACAGAGGGTTTAGCCGCTCTCGTTGCTTCCTGGCAGAGATGGCCTTGGCCGCAGAGAACCAGACGTTATCGCAAACGTGGGGCTTGCCTAAGCGCATGGTGGATGATATCGAACAGCTTACTCCGGCAGAAACTCTGGCCTGGCTGCGACGACTGGCCTTGTCAGGCCATGAGGACCCCATGAAAATGTCTGCCAAGCTACGCGCCTGTGCCGAATATCAACTCCTGGAAGCCCCAACTCTCGCACAACTCCGTGCTCAGTGCTCAAGTGAGTATCTCGACGGAGAGATCTCCGCAGCAGAGCTGGTATCCTCCCGCCTGGCATGGTTCAGGGAACAGGGCTGTTGGTGTCCCGATGCTTCGGCTGCCGAAGCGCTGTTCCTCGAGATCGATGCTCGGTTGCCAGTTCTTCTTATGAACGGAGAGGCAGAAATTCTCGACCAACTAGCCACAGTTGTCGAGTCCATTCTTCAGAAGGGCACTATCGACGCTGGAGCGGATCTTCTAGCTCTGAGCATTTTCTGCGCCTTCCGTCGACTTGCTTTGAACGAGATCTACCTTGAAGTCCTTGACCGCAACCCCCTACCGAACCTCGAGCCGGTGCAAGCAGCGTGTTTTGCTGAGATGTATGCCTGTGGTGCCCGCACAGATATGTACTTTGATATGACGCCGAAACGCTTGGGTAAGATCATCTGGCGTTGGTACCGCGCATATTATCACGAGCACCAGCCACCTCAACGAGAGGAAATTTTCACCGAGTTGCCCACAGCGTATGCCTCCATGAACGTCGATTTGGACCCAGAGGGTGAGAAGGACACTGCAGCGTGGCACTACCGATTGACATTCCTGGGAATCTTTGCAGTCCCTGCACTCATTGATGTCACCTTGCTGACAACGATCGGTCGAGGCCTTTATTTGACCACTTATATGAGTGACATTGACAAAACACTCGCCACTACTGCGTTGATGATCGCCCTTCTCGTCTGTGGTGGTTTTGGTAGCTGGATCAGTTCCGGTGGAAGCTATTACTTGTACGCGATGGCGTTCCCAGCTATGAGCATGTTCATCCTGACCCGCTTTATTGCTGGGTTGGCAGTGGCCTTCGTCGGTGGCATTATCGCGCTGATCGTTGTTGGCGTGGTCAAAGGGTTTGCAGCCGGCATCCTGTTTTTCCTTTACTTCTTTATGCTGTCGACGTACCTCATGACCTTGTCAGCCTTGTCGGTCTACCAGCTGCCAGGATACCAATTCCAATCGGTAAGTTGATCTTCGCCTGTGACTCCTCCGCACCGCATCCCACTACTTCCGTTTTTGTGCAGAGTAACTGACCATAATACTAGGGACGAACAACAGTCATGTGTTGCATTCCGATCCTCTTCATTTCACCAATAGTCACCCTGTGGGTACATCGCGACTCGGTCATCTACCTGTGCATCCTAGGCCTGTTCCTCGCGTGCCTACTTCTAGGGGCTCGGCGGGTCATGGCTCGGTGGAATAGCTGGTATCTGAATATTCCTTGCGTCACGGACACGGAAATCGTCAATTGGTACATGCAATCTTCTGCGTCGGACTACCGCGGATCTTCCACCGAGAAGGTGAAAGACGTTGGTGCAGATGCTCGCCGGGCCCTCCTGTCGAGCGTCCAGAAAGAAAACAAGAAATGGTTTTGGAGCAAGAAGACGACAGACCCGTTCATCGCGAAAATGGCCGAAGGCTATTCATCCACAACCTTCCTGCTTGGATGGTACTGCCGCTACTCGAGAACAAAGATGCCTTTGGCGTACAGCCCAACATGGAACTTGCAACTAAAAGCGGCGGTGGATACCATGGCGGAGATGCAAAAGGGTCTGAAGATGCACAACGCGTTTCTTCACTGGCGCCACACCGGGTCTGATGTCTGGTGTGGAATCTTATACTTTGTCGTCGCTCTGTCCGATAAATGGTCGGCATTGCTGACAGGCGAATCAATCGTCGGTCTGTCTGCAGCGAACAGCGCCAAGTACCGTCTCACGGTCGGCTTTGCTCTCGGATATTATCTTCTGGGTGCAGTCATCCTTGACGCCGTTTCGCAGCCACTCTGGACCCTTGTCACGAAAGCAACTCCTCAGCCTGTCACCTCGCTTGCCAGCCTTCGCCAGGTAACCCTAAATGATGCTAAGGCTCGACGGAGCCTTTACTGGAAGAACCTCATGAAATTCTTCTTCTTGCATATTTGGGGTGCAGCCATCACGATGGCGGTTATGTGGACTTTCGAGGGGTCCATGAGCTCCACCATCATGTA